TCATGTCAGCTGTCAGATTTTCCCTGGGAAAGAATAGTATTGCAAAAAATGCTCTTTTAGGGGAAACACGAGCCATGGGCTTGCATTTTGTCATTAATAGCAGCTAAGAGTGGTTCGTATCGTGTACATTCGAAGCTGTCGATTTCGATCAATAAAGAGCTTTATTGAAAATTACAAAACTACTTGTGACCATTCATACATTTAATCCTGCTAAAAATGATGTTCCTTCGCTTGAAGTGGTAAAAATCGGGTTTACAGGATACAAGTTTCTCTTTCATTGATCATTTCTATCAGATCGATCAGTTCGAAAGAATATTCTCTGAAATGCTGATAATGAAAAACCGCCTGATTACATGTGAGAACTTACCATATCCCTGATAATTTTCAATAGCTGCTCTCTATTAGTATACAGGTAGTCTTGATTATCGAATCAAGAATATCTACTTTTTAAACATTCTAACCTCTATAAGTAATATAAAGAAAAGTATATTTTTCTGTATGCATAATTTTCTCATTCCAAATTTTCCTTATATGTATATGTATGTGCTTCTTCATTTTTTGAACGATCTGTAGAATAGTGCCTCGTAATGGGAATATGTATGTTACATCATCTTTTCATTTATACTACGAGAACTGAATGTGAACAAGAGCTTGAAGAGTCTTTGATATCCTCCTGACTTCATTTATGCTTAAAAAAATGTAAATATCAAAAACAAGATCTTTTTGGAATTTGAACTAATAAAATATTGCTCCTGCAAAACCTATGCTTTATCTTGCAATAGCAGTTGTAAAAGTGAAATTTCAGGTCATATACAAAGGCCATTCATGCTGGACACCCGAAAATGGGTAACAATTGATTGGAGAGAATTCCACGTTGACCACAACCCAAATTTTGCATATATATTGAATTGCTATACATGCATTATCAGAAATCATGTAATACATACCTACATTCGTAGGTATGCTGAACATATAATAAATAATGTTTTTCATTCAAGTAAAGTTGATTATATTTTATATCTAGCTCTGGTTTGTAGTAGTAGTCACTAGATTATCACTTTCTATGGTAGTACGTGAATAAACTAGTGCGGAAGTTTCAAAAGAATGGATCAAGAATATAAATTTTCCGACCATTTCCTAGGCCCCACCAGCACAAATGGACAAGGTCGAGCTGCCATACATTTTACGTAAAATACGATAAGTTATACAGTAGTAATATCGAAAGATAGCGCTGCCTATTGAGAATCAGTTATTCTAACCTTTGGAGATAACCATGTTCGGCGACCGATCCCCATTAGATATTTCCATACTATAATGTTTTTATACAAAATGGAGTAATTTTGAGAAGCTGGATCTCCTCAAAAATTTTGAAGTAATATTGTGTTGTCATCCAGATTTCACGTGTAGTTTTTTAAACATTATTACAAAGTAGTTAATTGTGTGTTTCCAATAAGAACTTATATATATAACTTCACAGAAAGAAGTGTCAACAAAATTTTTGGAAAATATTACAATGTTAGGCTTTTCCATAGATTGTTATCAAACGCAAGTACTACTTTAATGCAAAAATTCAGCGAAACTGAGAACAATCGCAACTATGGAAATAACTTGCTTCTTTCCTTCAACTCTAGCCTTTTTTCGATATCAATTAACCAACAAACATACGACATAAATTAAAGTCACTTGTTACATTTGCATCGTAAAATGTTGGCTGTCAACTTTGAAAGCAAATATTGGCCAGTAACGAATAAACTAAATAACACAACTTTGCACAAAAGTAGCTGTAGCGACCAGAAAGGAAAAACAAGCAAGGTTATCAACGGAACGTTACGATTTCACCCAACATGTGTTCCCAACTTTACAATTTATCGCCACCAGATGAACTTGTTTAAATTGAGAGTTTTGTAGAAAATATGGGAAATACATGATATTGTCATATGTCGCGGTTACATTGAAAGTATTCTGATACTATTTTATTGTTTTTGCTGACCGTTAAATTAAACTACATATGTGAGCTTTAGTTTTTACTAATGTTTCGGTCGTCTCGGTGGATTTTGTCAAAGTAATGATCAAACAAATGTATTTGTATAAACTTCATACTCATCTGTCTTCCAGATGACAGTTCATATGTTTTTGCCGGTACTAAGATATATAAAAAAAACTGTCATCTGGAGGACAGATAAATACCTAGTTTGACTAGTGAGCCTTTTACTTCCCACGCCCACTTACGAGGAAATATTGTAATGCAAAAAAAGATTGAATGAAATATTATGTTTTTGGGATACTATTCGTCCTTGTTCGTAAAAGCGATCCGGGTAACCTTTGCTCTTGGTTAAAGGTCTCGTCAGGTCTGGCTGCCCAGATACCAAACATGTTTAAGAGGAAAAGGGAAATAATGAAACCAAGGAAGAAAGAAATAGAGCAAAGAAAATAAGTCCATCATTCAAATTAGTTTATTGGACTACTTAATAATTTTGTAACTCCAAAAAATAGATTTTTATCGTTTTTGTATATTAAAAAAATTTTGGGTGTTCTGAAATTCACAACTTAATTTTGATCACAGTGCGAGGCACGGCCTGGAATGTTTGATAACTTGCTCGACTATGTAGTCTACGCAACAGAGGGTTTTACATAATCCCTTAGATCTGGGATATCAAGATCTCTGTGAATGGTCTCATTTGATACGTACCACGGGGCGTTGGTGATTGTGCGTAGGGTTCTGTTTTGTAGGAGTTGCAGTCTCTGCATGTGCGTCTTAGCGAGAAAGGACAAAGCTGCGCATGCGTAGGTGATTGCGGATCTTATGACCAGCTGAATCTTGTTGATCAAACTTAATTTTGAATTTCTGCACAACGAAGGATAAAGCTGCTAGGTCAACCTCTTGGAATACGAGTTCCATTCACAATAGATTATCTGCATTTTCGAATTATTAATTTTGATCAACCACCGAGATCCGTCCACTCCAATAAATCCTCCACCGCACTCTCCAATCTGTCGTGAAACAAGTTACCAGAGCACGACTGGGCTACTAGTGCTGTGTCGTCAGCATAGAGTTCATAGTCGTTGGGGCAAGGGACCTCATGTACATATATAAAGGGAATAAAGGACTGGTCGTAAGACTGAACCCTGAGGAACACCAGTTCTTACGGGCAGTGTTGTTGATGAAACATTGTTTTCGACGTGACGATAAATAACCTTTTCAGCGAGCTTAGAAGGAGCTGACAACAGGCTTATGGAACGGTAATCCTGGTGGAATATCGAAGCTACCTTCTTTGGGATCATGATGATTTTAGCAATCTTCCACGCCTTAGGGAAGTTCTTACTTCTGAGCATTGCATTGATTATTGCCACCAGATAAGTCAAAGCGTTAAGCGAAAGCAACTTCAGTGCTTTGTTGGTGATTTGTTCCTCTCCAGGTATTTATGAGATTTTGCCACTTTCCAGAGACAAATACTTGAGTTAAGCATCCCCACCAGAAAGTCGCTTCACTGCTCATTGCGTAACTCATGTAGTGTATTTCTCACTTCATGGACTAGATTCGTCGCTCTACGAATGTCATCTGGATGACAAGACCTTTTTGCTTGGTTATTCGCAGCCTTCCTCTCGGAAATTTCCTGACGAATGTCAGCAGGTAGACTTTTTTGGATGTCACATATTATGACATATGCATCACGAAAGACCATGTCACTCATTTCCGTAGGTTTGACTGTCTGTCCGCTAATCCTTGGCCCGTCTATAACTTGGAAAGTACCACTCGGATTTGGATGAAGTTTGTAGATAAGGTTACCACTATGCTAAGGACGCAGAACCCTTGGAGTTTTTGGAAAGGCCAAAAATTCCGTTTTTTGATATACTCCAGCCCCAGTAAGTCTACGCACCGATTAGACATATTTCACTCATCATAAATTCTTCCGTACATTTACCCTTTAACTCTCTATATCTCGGGCCGATACGTGCGACGTCGCCCGGTTAATGATGTCGAAAAATAGCTCGAAACACCTAGTTGCCTTGTTTCAACCTAACAAACTCAAATTAATATATGTAACAGACAGCTGATTTGGCTTGCTCTGGTCCATACAAGAGAAGTAAGACGCAAACACTTTCCTTTTGTTAATATTCAAACATTATAGTGATTATCAGGACATCCAAGAAGGTTAACTTCATGAGGAGCTACTCAAAATTGCTTATTTCTTAATAACTATCAAGTGTTTTGAAAAATATAGCCCAGTTTTCAAACAGTGGAAGCATAGTGAAATTGACATGATACAATCTCAAATGACACTTCTATTCACCTGCGTGTGTTTTCTTTTTTTGTTATCGATATTTACCCAGGGAGAGAGATAGTATATTTTAGGATAATATTGCAAATAAGGCAGACAGTTTGTATCATTGGGACAACTCATCGAGTATCGCAAGCATGCATTTTATTTATATATTATATTTATTCCGAAACGATCGCTGAAACAAACCGAGACTAGAAACGATAATTATAATCGGTTAGTTCTCACCACATATCAATGGTCAATGATCTACGGAAATTAAAGAAAACCTTGGAAAACCAATAATTGATACATGTTACATCTCAATTTTGCAATTTTTTAATAGTATGAATGCATACAGAGTCGACTGTAACGAATGCCTCAACAAGCAATCATATATTGAATTGGTTTAGCTCATTTTTTCTGTTAGCTTGTAACTCCTGATAAAAAAGTATAGTATATATCCTTCCTTGGTACCAACAATGAATCGATTCTACTGGGACCATGAGCTCATAGATATTGTAACCGGGGGACAGGCAAATCGGAAAATCTACTTGAAACAGTAATGAATATTTCGATATTCATGGGTAACCAGATGGTCTGAAACATATTAGAAACATGTTTTTCCCAAAATTAATTGCACAATTGTTCATGTATGGTATTGAAGTCTACGCACTGATGTAATTGCTATTGTTTAAATATTCCATAGAAATTCATTCCGTTACTTACTGATACGTGATAGTTTATAATAAGCATATCAGTTGGGCAAGTGAAGCGTCTCGTGTAGAATCACAGCTAAATATGTGGGTAATAAATACGTTCTTAGACGTCCTAGATTCAGATTTACTAGGGACAAGGTCGGTTCGGTCATCCAGATTTGTAGAACGATAGCGTAAGAAAATGGATAAAAGGTATTTGGTTTCAATATCTGATGATAGTCAATCATGTTACTGTATTTCATATGGTTGGCTACTCCCAGGTAGAATACGTTGATTAAATGTTATGGTTAAATCGTCTTCTAGATGGGAAATGCACAATTAGACAAATTGGAAAATTATCCCCGTACATTCGATGAACCACTAGACATGAAGACTAGGTACAGGAGGCTTATAGAATGAGGGTTAAATTAAAAGTGGTGAGGACGAAGGATACAGTCATTGCGTCTGCGTATGTGGCATCTCTTTTATGTCTGCATCTCGTTTTTTTTTTCTGAGAGCCATGCCATCCTTAATGACAGTATCTATTGACTTCATACGAATACGTGTCTTCCCTTAAGCATCTTAACCTCATATACCTATCTAGTCTTCATGCCACTAGAATTATGCAATTATCACTTGGCTACAAAAAATGCTGCACCAGAAAACAATGGCAGTATTTGTAGAGGAGAAAGTACCCAACTAGCATTTTGTTAAAATGGGCTACCACCAAAAAAAAGATTACCTATATTTGTCAAATTTGAGTGATGATATACTTGAATCTTTTTTGGGCAAACCTGTTGGTGAGTAAAAATTATCTTATTAGCGACCAATAAAAATAAAATTCTTTGTATATTTGCAAGATATATTGGTAAAAAACAAGTCAATATGTCTACTTAATAACCCTGAGGTTACAAGGATCCGTTTGATTGCCCCCTCCCCGATAGCATTAAATATTTATTAAATATTTGGTATCAGGAAATGTTTCCTATCGCATACACGCAATACGAAGTTTGATTGTAGTGTAATTCATGCACATCTTGTCAGCTACGGGAAACTAATAATTACATCAATCCAAAAAATTATGTAATGTCAAATTGGTTGTCCAAGTATAAAAACCAGAATCTAGTTTCACCTTGATTTGGAATTTGGCCTCTGAGTAATTATTATGTGTGAAATATGGAAAAATCACTACAGGTCGAAATTCAGAAAATTTTATATACATATTCTCTTTTGAAAATTAAAATATGAACATTTGTTTACATATTATGTTGCTTTTTCCAAAAATACCTAAGTCACCCAAAAACACATTATTTTGCATATAATTAACAACTTCGCACCTTGAAACAAAGCGATCTTATAAGTTGAGGTTATGTTGTTATCTGAGTGTCACTAAAATTGTTAACAAAATTTGTTAATTTAGCTTGTTTCAAAGGCCCCTGAATTTTGCGTAACTATTGTGGCCACATTTGACAAAAAAAATTCCGCAACAAGTACCCCACAACCTTCGCCGAGTCCGTATTCATCGGAAAGCCATTCATCACCACAAAATGATTATTATGGGACATGTCCCCCTGGAGCGAAAGATACCATGGACGACAGAAACATTACTGACAGATTAGCTGATTATTTAAATCAGTTTAAGCCATAATTATTGTTACATTTTGTAACGTATAGTTGAAATTTCTAATATATTTTTCAAAACAGCTAGATGAATAGTAATTAATTTAACTTACCTTGACATATTCTTTTAAAGCATGGATTAGCGCACTGCACACTTCAGGAATAACATAGCATATTGTAGAAGTAGAAATTTTAAACAAATATTTCAGGTTAACAGCATTCTCTCTCTTGCAGTAATTGCCTTTTTGAAACTTGAGTCTTGCTTGGAAATGGTAGGTCCAATTAAATTTAGCAAAAATTCCAAATCTGTCACAGACATTCTACAAAAGTTTGTTATTTGGCCCAAGTTATCGCTTGTTAAATCCATTAACAAAGCTTCGCCCCCTGTTTGGTTTCTTCTCTTTAACAAATTAGAAGACCATTTTCTTTTCTTTTTTTAAGTTTTTGCGAAAGGCCCGCTATAACTACAAAACTGGCAGCGCTAATTATAACGTCGTCATCTGACGACATGACGAGTTTCCACGGATCATTTGCGAATGCGAATGTTCGTTCGATGATAATGTGGAGACAGCTACCGATCGAGGGAGCACGAACGAATTCATTCGTTCGTTCGTTCGCTCGTGTTCGCTCTAATTTAAGCGCACCTTAAGATAAATCAAACTAACAAAAACAGAGAATACATAAAAAGCAGGTGATTTCATCTAAAGAAAAAAAAAACAAACAAGAAGCAAAAAAAACATATTTAACTCAGGAGAGAAACATATCATAATGGCTCGTTTACACAGAGCGAGCTAGCGTACGAGTCAGCTTGCCGAGTAGCTGCAGTGCAGTAATTCGCATAAATACGGACGTACCTACGAGTAACTCGTACGTGCGAATTGGACAGTAGCTCGCATCCGAGTTACTTCAACAATTTTTGTTTTCACTCGCCTACTGGCCCGACAGCAACGCGCATATGGCAACAGCTGGGACGTCATTCGCATCGTTCGGACATGTTCGGCAGTAGCTCGCCGCAATTACGAAGCAGAAGCTGTATTGTATGTGTGTTGCGCCAAAAGCGTTTACCCAATTCAAAATGAGCTCAGAAAGGTGGTCTTCTGAGAATAATATTACATTCATGAATCTCTACAGGGAACAAGAAAACCTATGGAATTGTTTTCATAAAAATTATAAAAATAGAGATATGGGAAAAGCATCTTTGGAATACATTGCAAACGAAATGAGTCTAGTTAACACCAGTGAGGTAACTAAGAAAATAAAAAAATTACGATCTACCTATAACCAAGAATGCGCGAAAATCGAAAAAAGTAAAAAGAGTGGATCTGGGTCGGAAGATATTTACAAGTCATCCTTAAAATGGTTCGATATAATGGATTATTTAATGAAAACAAATTAATTTGAAAGAAAAGGAAACAACAAGCAATCTGGTGAGTACCTGATATTTTATTCCATTGAGATAGTTCATTACATTTAATTATTATTAATCATATAATTTTGCCAGGTGATAGCACTCTCATTACAAAAAAAAATGTATTTTTCTCTCAATTTTTCAGCTGCGATCTTTGATCTGTTATTGATCCGCGAACGGGCGATACTTGGTAACGCATTTATTTCTGATCTCCACGTTCCTAGGTTCGTAGTGAAATTTACAATATCTTCATAATCTATGCTACCAGGTGGTGTGTAGGTGTGAAGTGAAGATTTGCGCAACCAGTTGTGCAGTACACATGTAGTTCGAATCATTTTTATTGCGGTTTCCTCTTGCAACTGGATATGTTTTGCCAAAACACGGAATCGAGATACTAAAATACCAAATGCATTTTCTACTATGCGTCTTGCCCTAGTGAATCTGTAATTGTAAATTTTTTCCGCAATCGTGGGCTCATTGGGATATCGTTTCAATGAGTATCATGTCCCACTAGGAATCCACCTTCTGGCAGTAATGACCCATTTTCCAACACTGGATACAATGAAGAAGCTTGGAAAGCACCACCGTCGGAATTTCGCCCATATGAGCCTATGTCCACATATTTAAAACAGTAGTCATGATCCACGACTGCTAAGAGCACCAAGCTGTTTGTTCCTTTATAATCAAACAGATATAGTATTCACTACCAGAATTGGGAGGAACTTGAATTACCACATGTTTGCCGTCGATGGCTCCAAAACATCCTGGAAAATTCCACCTGTGGTGAAATCCTACTTGTATGTCTTCCCATTCCCTTGTGTTTGGTACCTGAAAACATATTAATTTAGTATTTTCATTTCAGCCTAACGATACACCGTCGAGGTCCAAAATTTTGGAAGATGATGTTAATCGGGACATTGATGATAAAATTGATAATAAATCAATAAACTCCAGCGACAGCTTGTTGATCAAAAATAAAAATCCAGTTCAAGTTAAAAATAAAATAAAGCACATTACCCAAGAAACGAGTGGAATTACAGCAGCTATTAATGAGCTTAAACAACTGAATAGATATACAGTTGTTTTCAGCAATGTGTTGAGTACGATGTTATTGGAAAACATGTCGCTATTCAACTGAGACAGCTCCCATTACCCGATTTTATAGATGCCAAAGAATGAAATCCAACAAGTACTTTCCCGATACCGAAAAAAAGCTATATATGCCCGAAACACATCTGCGTTTTCCTCATATAATACATACGTCCTCGCCAATGTCCTACATATCGCTGACATCACCAGGATCCAGTGTACCAAGTGATTCATTCCCAGGACCTGTCCCAATATCTGATCGGCCTGCAGAAAGAGTTACTCGGCAGCCAGTTCAAACAGTTGTTGGACAACGATCAAATGCATCATACGAGGCTATCCACTTTAGTGATCCACTAGTCAGAGCAATGATAGATGCTGATATGAACAATATGCAATAACTTTTATCCTCTGTGTTACTTTTGTGTTAATTTTGTATGACTTGGTTTGTCTTTAATAAATGATTGAATGTATGATGTATGATCCACACATGTGTCATTGAATAAGTTAACTCAACCTTTGAAGTATCAACTCATGAAGCATTTACCACATTTCTACTTACCTGCAAATATTCGCCCAAAGCTTCATACATAACGTCACAAACTTCTGGTATAAATTTTGATATGGAGGATATTGAAATCCTGAAAAATATTGCTAACAGCCTGTATGTTATCCTTGAGCTTAGAAAACACAGGGTTACTTCTAACTTTACCCTTGCTGGTATGGCATCTCTCATAAAAGTGTCTTGACGCTCTATTTTCATTTTTATTAAATTTAAAAGTTTGTCAACTTGTTCGGCTGTCACTCTCAGCACTGCTTTATATTCTCGGGGATCTTCATGATAAAGCTCCATGAAAATCGCACATGTTGCCCCTATAGATCGTCTTGCCATGCAATCTCTAATCCAAACCTTTTTCTTCCTCTCCTTTTTTGAAGTTTTTTGTAGGATTTTTTCAATTCTTCACATAATATTATTGTCATAGAGCTTATCACCGTTTTTTTAATCACAGTAAGTTGACTCGACATCGCGACAACTCGGAAGATACTGGGCAGCTACTATCATCGTGGAAACAACTGAGGCGAGTCGAGCTACTGGCATACGAGTAGACCATCCGAGTAGCTATCTACTGTCTAGTCAGCAGCTCGCACTGTGTAAAGGAGCCGTAAATTATCCAAGCAATTTCTAGCTACTCCCAGAATGCTGTTCAAACTATCAGCATGTATATCAGAATAATTTGATATAGCATTGAAACTTTCACACATCACATATATGGGTGCCTTCAAAAACCAAATTTGTGCGAGCCCTGTCACAATAAAAGGTTTTAGCTATACAAGTTTGAATAGATGGAATTTGATTGTACTATAGTTTACGCAAGAACAAAATTGATGCGCACTTCCTTCTCAGTTATAAAGGCTGCATTTGAAACCTAGAAAATAACAAATTTTCAGATATACCACGCTCAGGATATGTACCGTCAACTTTGAAAGATAAAAATTTTAAAAAGCTTTCCCCAAACATGCTCAAGAGAATCAATGTAGCAGTTGTAAATTGGGTTCCAAATTCACGATGCACATTCCAATTTCGACCTAATATATGCAGAATACAAAACCAATAGTGACTCTGTGCGGCTAAAGCTTCTACAGTTTCTCACAATAAAACCATACGCCCGCGAAGCTTCACTCACTTTGTGAGCTGTGTGGCGTGAAAAATTAAGTTTATGGTCAAAAACTACACCCGAATCCTTAATTGAGTTATAACGATTGATGTAAACATCCCCAATCTTGTAATTAAATTTACAAGCAGAAGTTTTCCTGGAAAAGCTGACTACACTACACTTAGACGCATTAAGAAATAAATTATTCTCGTCACACCAAGCCACTAAAGAATCAACATCACGCTGAAGTGCAATACAATCAGCCTCAGACCCAATAATCGTGAATAATTTTAAATCATCCGCAAAGAGGAGTTTATTACAACTTTAAGGCCGTTTCCTGATTTGTCGGTGCGGTACCGGCGCGGTGCTAATCAGAAAGCACTCATTGAAATATAGGCGCTCGGTAAGCTTTCGGTACCGCGTATACCGAGCATACCGCCGCCGCACCGATACCGCACCGACAAATCAGGAAACGGCCAAATAATACACAACATCATAAATAAATAAGGTAAACAATAAAGGAACAAGATTTGAACCCTGAGGCACTCCCGATTCAGTTATATACTGGTACGACTTGAATCCATTAAAGGTAACATGTTCCTTGCTTTCATGAGGGTAACTTTGAATGAGTGCTAAAGCTGATGAATGGAATCCATAATAAAAAAGTTTATTCAAAAGTATGCCATGGTCCACCCTATCTAATGCTTTAGCAAAATCCGTATATACTACATCTAGCTGAGCTTGCCGATCGACACATTCAATAGCGAACTAAGTGAATATTGTTAAACTAGTTACTGTGGACCTCTTATTAAGAAAACAATGCTGAAAAGGGGACAGAAATCTATGAACTGCGGAGTAAATTCTACTAGGCAATATTATCTCCAGCAATTTTGAGAAATTTGACAATATTGTCATCGCTCTATAGTCTTTAATATCAGTATTATCCCCTGATATAAAAATAGGTTTCGCTCTAGAAAGTTTCAAAATATCAGGAAATGTATTGGTTTCTATAGTCAGATTGAATATTTTTAATAACGGTTTAACAAAGACACGAATACAATCTTTGACTATGAACGAGGGGATATCTGGGCCATCCGTCACTCTATTTTTGAGTTTTTTAGATGGCGCAATAATCTCATTTTCATGAATGTTATAAAATATGTTAACTTGACTAGTAGGATTCCTGCCTTCAATAAAATCATTACGAGTAGATGGATCAACAAAAACACTATTAAAAAAATCTGCAAATGCATTGACAACACAGTAAGGATCGTTCAGTGAGACGTCATTTAACTTCATTTTACCAGGAATCCGAGTAGTTCGATTTTTTGTATGCTTGAAACTCCAAAAATGTTTAGGATCTTGAGAGATTGAAATCTCAACATTATGTGTATAATTTTTATAGGCCACAGATATGTGACCCTTTACCTCAGATCTTTGTATATATGTATACACTTGTACTGTCCATGTAAATGGTTATTGGGTCTCATTTTGTACTTCTTATATAACTTTGATTTATGCTTGACTTTCCTAATAATTTCACTGGTGTACCACGAAGAGTACTTATGACTAAAAGATTTATATTTTGGTACATAAATATCAAAGATAGAGTATAAAAATTTATAAAATTCAACAATAGCTAACTTAACATCTGAGAAGTGAAAAAAGAAAAGTTTGCAATGAGGAGAGCATTATACAGATCTGTAAAATTTTCTTTTCGGAAATTATACAAACATGTTAATATCGCTGAATAAGGAGAATGCGTCAGGGTTAACATTAATATTTTCAAAACATATATCAAGAGCTGGATGATGGGGGATATCTTCAGGTACCAGTGGCAAAGTAAGTTTCTACAGAACAAGTTTCATTTGATAATATTAAATCTTACATCCTTCCATTATCATTCGAAACGTTATTGCATTGTTTAAGGTTCAACACATTGAGCAAACTTATTACAGCATTTTTCTTACGGTCAAAATTACCCACAAATTGAAAATTTGGAAGATTGAAATCACCTATAAGTTTGACGCTACCTGATTGGAAGCATATCATTTGTTGTAGTTCCTCGACAAACTGTTCAAACACGTCATTAGTTATAGTAGGGGGAATGAAGATTACGGCCACATGAAAGTTTATCTGACCTATCCAACATCTACAAGCTAATATATCAATCAGGGGAAAGCTAATAACTAGAATTGACATATCTACTACTTCCGCTATAATGTAATCATTAAATGCTAATATACCACCACCACCATTTTGCTCGTTAATGATGTCACATTTCCTATCCTTTCTGAAAACAACAAAAGAGTCCGTAAGAAAAAGTCCACTCCACCTCACATCCGATTGTAAATTAGATTCAGATAAAGCAATAATGTCAAATTCAGCACCACTAACAGATGAAACAGAAAGATCAATTTTGCTGCGCAGTCCACATACGTTCTGATAATAACAGCGAACGCTGTTCTCCTTACTGCTAGGCCGTAATGGTTTTCCGAAGTAATTTTAGGAATCCCGTTCACATGTTTAATTTTTATGTTAGACTCGCCAGAATCAAGTCTTTACTTTAACTCATCCTTAGTCTTTTTAAAAAAATAAGCTGCGGTCATATGAAAAGAACACTTTATTCTTAAAGCGGGACATTTGCCTTCAGTTAGTTTACCCAAACGAAAAGGTTTAATCAAAGTCCCATCAACATTTGGATCAACAACACGTAATATTTCTGTAACTTCATTCTTATCATTGGATACCGCGTTTTCATCCTGAATCTGCTCACAAACTCCAACTATCATCAAGTTTTTACGTTGTCATGATCTTTCACCGATCTCAGAAATGATCTCTTCTACAAGATAATCCTGATTAGATGAATTAGTATCAGTTTCATAATTTTTTTGTGTCTGAATGTCATCTTGCAGTTTCACTTCAGGATAAGGAATGTTATTGCAAAGTTGATTCTAAATTGTGGAGAGCCGCGGGACTGTAAGCGCGTTCAGATATAATTAAGGTAATAAGGTAATCGACACCCGAGCCATACAACGACAATGTAGGATTGGCACGTACCTAGGTGTTCCTGTCGCCTGGTCTGGAGGAGCTCCTCTCTCTTCACAACTTCTTCTTAGGTTCACCACACTTGCCTTAGAGAATATAAAGTACCCGGTTTAACTAGGATTCTTTTGTCGAGGTTTTGAAGATGACCGTTGCCTTTTCCGATCTTTACGAGATTGACTTCACGAAATCTTCTTCTTCTTGTGCGCATGTTTGTCTTGTATGCGCACGTGCTAAAGGGTTTGTATTTGTATGGCTTTTGAGTTCAAATAATAAAGTATGTTTACCAATTGACGGACAAGTTTTATATGACCATTTACATCCTTTATTGGAATTAATTAATCGAACCTACGCAGAGCTAATGTATGTCAACACATGAATTTTTGACGGGTTTCTTGCATATTCAACATTTCACTATGTTATGTATATTGCTTCATACAGCTTATTATAGCATGCACAAGTTACTTATGCTGGGGCTATAATCTCATATACTGTAACCAGAGCACTTACAACCAATCGCCTAAGTCCAGTCCTGTACGATATTATTGGGAAGGAAGGCTTGTTCTGCTTGATGCCTCTTGTTAATACTGTAAGTTGGATTCCGGACTCATCAACAAAAATTCAAAACACACTGGGAAACATAGACTAACTAGCTCAGTATGGATAAAAACAGGCACTTGAAAACCACCAAAATCAAAGAATGATTGAAAGCTAAGAATTAGAATACGGTAAACAAAAGTCGCAGGACCGAACTTCGAACAAAGAAGGAGGGGTTATGTTTTTTCTTCTAAACAAATTCAAACATTTCGTATTTGTGAGTAATTCGCAACGAGAGATGATAGACGCATCCGCTTTGTTTTAAAATGTGTATAGTAACGTGTGTTTTTCGAATATCGTAACGCATTTGTTCAATTACTCACAAATACGAAATGTTTGAATTTGTTTAGAAGAAATAAACGTAACCTTTGTTTTTCGCATAAAAATAACATTTATGTTTCGAAATGGTTTATGATCCATATCGGTAAGGTAAACATTTGTATGTTGCTATTAAATGCTCTTTGAACCAACACTGTATATTTTTTAATAAACTAGTAGTGATGGCCGGAAAACAGGTGTTTTGGGATAAACAATTAGAAATTCTCAAAAACTACTTGACCAATATACTCCAATTTGGTTGTTGTTATTTAGAAGTATGAATCCTACGGATTTGAAGAATTTCAAGGAGTTGCGTGAAATTATAGTAGCATTACCAACAAGGGCTAAAACCTGGTTTTTCGGCCATACAATTTTTGCTAATAGTCGGATCTTTTTACGTGTCGTGTCATTTTGTAGATCTCATACATACCTAAGAATCTTATGTATTACAGTTTTTTCGTACCTGTCAACACTCACGCTTGAGTCCCAAAAAAACACGTTTTCTCATTATTTGTTGTCAAATAAAAAGTTTTCCCACAAAAATTGGTGTACCCATTTTATGCGTCCATATTTTAAATACCCTTTTGAACAACTTGCACCAACAAAACCAGAATTTACAATTATTTCGGAGAAATTTGCCAATATGATTAGACTATAAATAGGCCTCTGCGTTTTGATGTTGACGCAATAAATGTGCGCAGTAGGGTTGCAGAATAATAATAAAAAAAAACTCGAAAACCTAAAATTATTTAATAAATCATATATGAAAACAACATAAAGGTAATAAATCATATAAATAATACTAAAATAATAACGATCAGTCTTTGTTATCATGTAGGTTTCTGTAGCACGAACCTCTTTCCTGCAATCGAATTATTGTCCGCGCAGTATTGTATAAAAGTTTGCCAATTTAGATCATCCTGTAATACTTTTCCGTTTCCTACCACGATTAACAATGCCTTAGCTCTTGTTAGTGCTACATTGAAACGCTGAAAAAAATGTTACAAATTAATTCACCTTGCACTCTACTTAGTCACTGGTCGCAAATATCAGCACAATGCAACTCAATTGATCAATGACACACTAGATCATATTGTTAATAAATATGTTTAATAGTGAAAATCTTTTCAACGGACATTTAATACAAGCCATATATTCAGGGAAAGCCAAATTTGTCTGCCGGCTTGAGTTCAATGTGTACTAGAGAGAAACGCGAGAAGTGTATGTATATCAACGCATGTTAGAAAGATATAGAAGCGGGCTCAAGAGCGAAGATCATCACCACATTGCCTAGCGATAGTGACGCAGTCTGCCGCGTTGCCAATATGTTACGCTATAAAATGTTCGCACAGACTTTTACAATAGGTTAGGTTACTGTCAAACCCAAGAAGGAGGTCTGTTCGAATATTTAATTTAATATTTGGTTTTCATTTTGATAAGAATTTTTTTTATTTTGATGCGACTCAGTGTTTTAATTCATGTTAGAATTATCTTTAATTTCCACCGATGATGATGATGATGATGAAATAAATACATCCTGAGTTATTGTTACCTTTTTCCGACAGCGAGGGGTCGGAAAATGTAACAAGTACCATTACGCAATACAAATTATCACTGTCTGCGTGTACGCAGATAAAAACCTTGTCGAAGCAGGACGACACTCCCCAATGAGCGCTAGATGGTTACTGACCAAAATCGCTCTCCTATAATACGATATGTGGTGTTGTCTAGCGAACCAAAGATGGAATGTTGCAGAATTTGTGGCGATCCCGACCTTTCATTTCGACCTAAAATGGAGCGCCGTTAGGACCGATCCGGAATCGATACTAAACAGATTCGACACAATTTGCAATTCAAAAATGTATACGCCCAAAATAAAACCATTATTTAGGCGTAGAGAATAAACTAACGCATATTCACAACAAGCATCTTAATTCAAGGATTGCCGCGTTAGCGTTGCTAGGCAACGCGGTGATGTACTTTGCCAGACAGTTGGCTTCTGTCTCTTTCTGACATATGTGTCTATATAAACTTTTCTCTGGTACATATTGAACTCAAGCCGTCAGTCAAATTTGGTCCTCAGTGTATGCTTGACGCTAGATCCTTTTAGGTGTTCTCGCTATGTGCGAGTGGTGGGTGGTGAGGACCAAATCGATCACAGCACGCGATCTGACAGAGATGTGAAACAACTCGGGACTCGGGTCCAGTCGATTCTGATGGAAAATCAATTTTTGACCCCTAGTTTTTGTATGCAGATGAAAGAAATGCGTGTCAAAGTTAGTGTAATAATGGAACTTCTAGAATATTTTTCTCTATTTTTTCTATTTATGTTTCATTTCTTATAGCCCACCTTAATTGACTGAAATTAAAATTTGAGGGGTATTGAATATATTTTGATGTAGACTATGAAATTTCTAATGCAGTTTCTAATTTTTAAAGTTGTGTACATCATCACATTCTGACGAAAAAATTAGTAATGGCACCATGTCTGTTCAAATTTTGACAGACCTCGGAGATAATCTGAAACGTTACCAAATCTTCAAATGTTGCAATCATATGGATTACATTCTGTTTTTTTCAACCATTTGCTAAGTGCGAAATCATTGGTGAGGACCGCCAAGCCCATCGCAGCGCACGATTTGGAAGATATGAGAAATAACTCGCAATTGACATGTGCCAATTTGCTATATTTCATTCCGTTTCGCACTAAATTTGCTAAGTATTTCCATGTAAAAATGTTCAAACTATAAAAATGCTGTAAAATGTAAAAACAATAGAGAAAGCAATACGTGGGAATTTTATACGATTCCTAAAGCAACATAGAAATTAGGGCAAAGAAATAAACGTATAGGTGCTGTAAAGAGAAAAAATAAGCAACATAACCGCCCATGGCATTAGATGCTTGTGAGAGTTATCCACAAAACATAAGCTTAAATGTAAACTGTCAAGGGCGTGATGTCAAAGAACACAATGCGACTCACGATACATCGAACCCAGAACATTAATGGGCACAAATGGATGGAGACGGAGAAAATATGTACATGCAGCTGTCCCAGAAATAACACGCCAGAGTAATAGATAAGATAAAATCTACATGACCTTAGTAAAACTTTTCTAGTTTTCGAGATTTTGCCACTTTTAGGCTTTTTAAGAAAATCACTACTTTTTGCTCCTTTTTTGTCTGTTATGGCTATAAAGAACTTCTAACTTAAGTTTTTTCCTAGGCTACCATTAAAGTTGGTTGAGACAACCGTGTATTCATTTTATTGAAAACTAGCACGGTATGCTAAAAAAAAAATATTACATTTTGTTTCAATGTGTAAACCTTTACTAAAGTTTGACTGATTAATAATAATAATATTTATTTGCCAAATATACAAAAAATGGGCAAATAAATATGAAAAAACCACAAGGTATCACCTGTGTGTGGAAAAGTATTAATATAATTGGAATTTTGTAGTTTTAGTTTTCTATATAATTATGTATAGTCATTCGCTGCCCTGTCTTCCAATTTTCGTCTAATTTTTTTCCAAAATTAGGTGTTTTTATTTCGTTTATATAATTTAGCTGCTAAGAATATAAATGATTTTCTGAATAATATTTTGTGTGGTCTTTGGATATTAGATGAGCGTGTGTTATGCTCGTGATTATGGGAATGCTTTTCATTACTGTGTAAAAAATGTACCAGACTGAATCGGCAAATGATCTTAAAAACTTAAATTTACACAATTTCTTTGCAACATCATCTACAAATTATTTTCGGAAATGTGCTTCTTGAGACAAGAAGAAGGATGTTGTTACAGAATAATGGGTGGCCTGCACCAAATGCTACTACAGTAAGGAGGTATCTTGATGAAACGTTCCCTAAAAGCTAGGACCAATTTTGTGACCCCCACGCCCCCAGACCTGAATTCTCTGGACTTTTTTTTTACCGGGGACGTTTAAAATACAAGGTCTATGGGTAACCAGTTCGATCAGCCGATGAACTGCGTCATCGAATTCGTCAAGCAGCACCCGAAATATCTATTTTGAGACGTTTAAAAGGACAATTTTTAAGAACATGCTGGTTATATATAGGAGAAAAAAGGATAATCAAAAGCTGTTTTAGACATTTGCTAGAATAAAAAGCTATTACAGCAACTACAAAGTTGTAATTTGGACACAAAAGACAGCGGCCTTACTATTTTTTATTTGTAGTATTTCGTAAGTATTACGACTTCAACGAAAAAAGTTGGAATTATTCAGTTTTTATTAAGAAGAACCCACAAATATTATAATATTTTTGAAAGAGCATTAAATAGCTAGTTTTTGAGGTTATTTGCTGATCCAGTCTGGTACTTTTCACAGTAATTAGTCAGTTTTTCGAATTGAAACCAAATGTAGTAATTTAGTTTTTTTTTTAGTATACCGTGGTAGTTTTCAATGAAATGAATACTCGGTTGTCTCAACCAGCTCAGGAAAAAAACATAAGAATTTCTTTATAGCCATAATAGGCAAGAAAGGAGCAAACGGTAGGGATTTTTTTGAAAAAGCTCAAAAGTGGCAATATCTCGAAAACTAGAAAACTTACTAAGGTCATGTTGATTTTATCTGATTGATCTGAAGCCAATCTACCTCCCGTGTTATTTCTGGCACACCTTGTATATTTGATGTCGCAAACTTTCTCTAATAAAGAGGGAAGCTAGAGCAGTAAACGCAATAGAGGCTGTAAACTCACATTAGCACGAATAAATATTTCCATCAATTTTAAGCTGTGTTAAGAGTGGCAAATACAATTTCAGTTGTCAATAAAGATGGTATCTGAAGAGAATTTCTGTGGAGGAAACATTGCTTGGACGGTAAGCACATGCTGTGCTAACGATAATTCCTTCTTTTTGCAAAGTTTGAGGTTGAAACTTTAAATCATATTTTACGGATTCAGATCACATTCATTTTAATTTGAGTACGCACATTTTTTTGTTTAATATGCATAACAACCTTTCTAACTACTTTCATATGGTTTTATTTAATTTCAACGAACAACAAGCGGAACATTGTTATTGAAACATCTAACTGCCAAGAATTGATAGGTCCTGAATCCAAAATAATTATGACTAATAGGCGGCGCTTTATCGCGGACACAGCAAATATGAAAACGTAATAGTGGCCATGTCAATCGTCGTACGAGTAGACCCATTCGAAACCATATTCCAGTAAATTATTAGTATTTTAGTGATCTTTATCAAACTTCCTGCAGGGGCAATACAATAGGTAAGAATTTTTGTGTACATTGGAGTTAAAAAAGTGTAACTTGATTTAACTTTTTGTTGTCCGTTGATTCTTAGTACCAACTGTTTTCATTTATTTTTATTTCATTACCTTCGGGTTTCTGAGAAATCCTAGTTTACATTTTTTATCTATCTCCTCATACAATGCGAAGTTCTTTGATCTGACAGTAGAAACTATAATAATTAACTTTTCTTTTCCTTGGAACTGCTCAACAGATCCAACCAAAATTTCATTCATTTTCTTCTTACTTAGAGCTTTATTAATTTTTTGTACCTGGAATAAAGGAAATATTAAGATGTGTGATTGGTCAAACTGTAAATAGTAGATGGCAAAAAGTAAGATATGATAGAAAGGTAGCCTATTTTTCAAGACTTAATTACGTTTTGAAGTCTATTGACTCGATCAGCAATTGATATCTTTGTCTGTTTATAATGTTAGACATGATCTACAATTTTATAAGCACCATCTACTTCTAGTTTTCCATATAACCGTTATTTCGACGCTTGTCATCAACTTCGATGTCACCTTACCATCATATATATCATCCATTACGATGCATGACACTGGTCATATTTTCACCGTGTGTAACTAACCACATAACTGTGCGACTCCTGTCGTTTAATTTGGCTCTCGGTCAGTACTGCGCTACAGCCAGTCAGGCTGGTGGAACATGTACCCAGATGATTTACCCTTAACATGAGTACTGGCATCTTGCTTTTTGATGTCTCAAAAGCCGTTGACAAGCTGTGGTACGCGAGCCTCGTGTGTAAACTAGCACAAAAAGGTTTTCTTTTCTAGCTTCTAAGACTTCTGAAATTCTTCATCGAAGGAAGGAAGTTTCGAATCAAAATTATAAACGTTTTGTGCTCAACAGGGCCAGTACGGGCCGGTCTTCCTCAAGATTCGTTCCTAGAATCAATCCCTTACTCGCTCTTCGCCCAGAATATCCCTTACCCCAGCAACTGTGAAGTCTCCATCTATGTTGACGGCACTGCACTGGTTGCCCAGTCGTGTACTGGTGATCTGGTTCACTACAGGTTGCAGGGTGCAGTGCAGAAAGTACTAGAGTGAGCGAACGGTGGCTCATTAAAATAAATCATTCGAAAACGCAGGTAATTTATTGAAACAAGAGACGTCACGGCCCCACAGCCGAGGATTCGGTAGATGGAAGTCGTATATTATGGAAAAATAATTCTGTCAAATACCTCGGGGTCATCCTTGATAAATTCTTAACCGGGTAGAATCCTCCAAATTAAGTTTGGTAACCAAAGTTCGACTATACAAAATAATCATTAGCCCAGGCATTACTTAAGAATGTGTAGCTTGATGTTTTCTTGCGAAGACACAGATGCAGTCTTACTGCAGAGCAGGACTTTACGAACAATTTGCAACACCCAAAATTACACTTTAACAAAACCTGAATCAAACATTATTTTTAGTGCACCTCAAAATCAATCCGTGTACCAAGTCAAAAGTCTAGGTGTTTTTATTTGATATTATCTGGTTTCTGGGCAGCCAGGACTGACAGATTCGACTAACGTACACTAGACACACTAAACAGTGGCTAATGGGAAAGGATCCAATCTATCGCCCGGGCAAACAAGAGATGTCTAGTAATCATGATTAAAACATGGTCATTGGTGTTGTGATACCTACGATGTAAAAATGGCCAATGGCATTCTAGTTTTCGCTGATCATATGTACGACGACAAGGTGACATCGATTTTGATTTCAAGAGTCCAAATTCAGTTAGTATCGGGCTCCTTGTATAATCTGTTTGAAATAAGGTGAGAGTGTCACTCGCAACTGTGCTGTCTGAACAAAAATATTATAGTCTCACCAATTTTGGAACAATATAACGAGTGGCAGATAGTTTAAGGAAGAGATTTAGAAACAAAGAATTAACGTTACTAGATTCTATCGTGTTTATAGTAGACCATCATATTTAAAGGATAGGTTCTATAATGGTGTTGTGTCTATACAGTGTGACGCTACGAGCGCTGATTATCAAGCCTACAAAGACTATTGCAAATTTCTCACTGTTGTCGATACTTTGAAGAGGTATAAACGCACATCTTGGAGAAAATTCTATCTGGTAGAATAAATATTTTGCCTTACACTAATTCTCCATCGTTGAATAATTCATAAGATTGGAGTGGAAATAGCCTGTTTAGCTCGTTGGGGCACGCCATCCTTGAACTTATGCCTGGTGGCATTGGTATTTATACAGAATGTCCCACAATAAGATGCATATAGAATACAAATATGCTTTAAAAAGAGCCTACGGGTTTACTTCTATAGCGACCAATTCTCTTCACTACAGTAAACTGGTTTTCCTTAAATAACTTTTGAACGACATTGTAGACTTTAAGGACATTTTGACAGCGTCATAACTAGTTGGAGTACCATGTGATGTTCAGAGAAAACAAGATATGCGAGTAATCCTGGTACTTGGTCAAAAAAAACCATTCATTTGCTACGTTGTTTCTGTGGATTTATTTTTGATATTTTGAAAGCGAATCACATCAAAAAAGAATCTATACTACGAGGTCTGCCATTTAAGTGATAAGACTGATTTTTTTAATTTGTTTAATCAAGTATGATTAAAATTTTATTTTCTCACCCTCAAAATAACTTCCTTCTGAAGCCACACAGCGCTGAGGATGGTTCGTTCACTCCTACTGGAGTAGCCTTTAGCTGGTCGGTTACAGCCGTTTGGATGTTTTCGAATGTCCCACAATGAGTTCCTCGAGGTGATTTTTCAACTTCGGGAAGAGAAAAAAATCACGACTCGAATTGGGCAAATAAGGAGACTGAGGAGCCACAGGAATGTTTTATTGGCCAAAAACTCGTTTAATTACATTGCTGTGTGACAAGAAGCAGCACCCAGTTGTTCTTGATCTGATAAACGGTGGTGTGAATCAAATTTAACCCATCCCCGATCATTCTGATTATCAACCGACGAATTCTGCCAAATTTTTTCATCGGTTCTTGAAGACGAAGGCCTCCCGCTTCGTGGTTCGATGGCCTTTATCCCTTCTGAAAATGCCTTGAACCACCGAAAAACCTGGGCCCTTGACAAAACACTAACTGTTGAAGTTTCGCAAGAGTCTCCGATGAACTGTGCCCAAGCATGAAGCAAAACCTGATAACACACCGTTGTTCCAAATTAATGTCACTAATTTTTAGAACACAATAGGAAAATGTTTCACAGAAAAAATCGCTACGGACAACCAAATGACTCAATTTTGTACTGACGTCGGGTCACATATTCACATGTTCCCCTTTCTCCCTTTCAAGTCCGGCGGCACCAGTGTTACCAGATCGAATGCTCACGTTGCCAGTCTCATTACTTAATTTACAGACCTCGTATGAACTACAGGACAGATACAAAAGTTTCTAATGTTTATACATTGTTATCGCGAAAATTTTCGAAAATGGGATCATATGTTTTTTGGATGTTATACGACATGTACATCACGAAAAACCATGTTACTCATTTTCGTCGGTCTGTCTGTCTGTCTGTCGATCTGTCCGCCAATCTTATAACCGCATAACACTTGAGAAGTTCCGTTCGGATTTCGATGAAATTTTTACAAAAAGTTACTGTTATGCCAAGGACGCAAAAGCTTTATACTTTTTGATCGGTTCAGTGGCGGCAGAGAAAAAGGTTAAAAGCAGAAATAAGTAAAAATCGCTCAAAAATCGTTTTTGACGTTTCAGAGGATCCTGATCATTTTTGAAAAAAAAATAAAGGTAAAAATAACTTGGGGATCGGGGTTGTAGGACGGTATTGATGGTTTATCTGATTTTTTTGACTATTATACGCTCCCTACCTTGGCAATTCTACGCACCTATTAAAAATATTTCACACATCATATATTTCTCCATACATTAGCTATTAAAACTTATTCTCAGCAGACGGATCGAGTACCTACCGGCCGCGCCTGCTGCTCCCGGTGTCGTGCTGCCGGCCTGCATTCTGTTGTTCTAATATGGTATTACACCTATTTCACCGCACCACCGCATAGTGTTTACCGGGTTAAGAATCGGAGACAGGCGACATTTCCAGAAGCACTACTGGTAGGGCAGAGCAAGAATTGTATGGACTTATTTGATTGACTTTTTTCTCAGAGGGTCAAGTTTGTGCTGAACGTAATCCTGGAAACGTAATGTGGAAAGCGCAGAATCAAGCTACTCGAATTAATTTTTCAATTTTGATTGCCTATTTACTCATTTTTTTACTCGATTAATTTCTTCAAACTGCCCTCTTATATTTTTTTAGTAAATATACCTGGAGATGGTGTATTATTCATTTAACGAAATGGTATAAAAAATAAATATTTTTGTTGATCAATCCCTAGATTTCGTTGTTTTTAAATTTGGTATACGATGGTGAGGAATTAAGGTAAATACTTGACACATTTAAATAAAAATGGCTGATTAATAATACTTTCCAAAACTTTCAACTTTAAGGTTAATAAAATTTTTATTTCGTGATCAGGTTCCATCATACTTTTTTATTTCCTTATAATTTTCATTCCAACAGCAAGTTCATGACCAACTAAGGAAATATATCACTGAATTCTAATATAGCGTCCATATGGCAAAAAAATTGGTCTGGAAAATCGAAAAAAGAAACCTCGAATTGAAAATTTTACTTGTAGAAGAGTAAAAGTGATAATAGCAACATTTAATTTACTTTCAAATCCCGTCTCAAGTAAAGTCAAAAAAATGATTTTGGGATAAAACTGACATACGAAACAAATGGCCTACCTACGAAATTGTTTTTCTTTGATAACTTTGGTTTCGCAATGACAATGACATATACATTTTTGAAATCAGAATTAAAAACTCCTGAGCCTAAATGGCGTCCATGAGAAAGGTGATGCTGGAGGACAAGATACGAAACATCATATTGAAATTCTAATTATGCCATCTTGTGAAGGAGAAACAGTGGCTAGGTTAATGTGTAATTTATTTGGAAATTCCACTAAAAATAAAGTCAGGAAAAATTAAAACGATTTTGGGAAAGTTCGGATTTTTCCGTATTTCTTCGGAAGTACTCTGAATTTAGAAAATTTAGAAACTTTCTAAGCAGCATTTTGTTAACTACCTGAATACGCAACTTTTCCCCCATTTAAGCAACTTCGTACCTCTTACTGTTTCTGAGATGCCAGCGGTGAGGGTCGAATTTGAAGCACCCGGTATATGACGGCAATGTGACATCAAAATTAACGTCAACGGTTGAAATTCAGTTAAAATCATTCCCAAGATCCTTCGCCCAGGGAACAGTTATATTGTTGTTGGGAGAGGCCCTCACAGGTGCTAAATTGTCATCTAATATTGTTCTCGATAATAGCTACTTTCTTTTAAAATAAGGTTTCTAATAAAAATTCGAATAATTTGAAAAGCATGAACATCCAGAGCCTTCCTGGCTACGTCCCTGATCAAGTTGGATACTGCAAAATCCAGTCCATGTTAGGTTTTACGTGTAGCATGTATTATGAAATAAAAATATATTTTTTTACTAATAACCTCAAGGATCACCATTACTGACCGCTATGCACTGTATAGAGAAGCTGCATTTCTTTTCCAAGGTAAATAATGAAAACACCTAGCAAATAACGATGTCATTTGAAATTACATCATGTTAACTTCTTTGTGTAATTTTGACAAGTGAATTTCAAAGTTCGAAATATATTGAGAACGATTGAGAAATAATTGCTGTGTACTCTTATAGTTATCCTTCTTGAGTAGAGCAATAATCGGCATAATGTTAGAACATTACTTCAATTGTTAAGAGAGGCAAAACAATTGCACTTTAGTCTCCTTGGATGTACCAGTCCAAACCAATTGGCTGACTGTTACATCCATTTATCAATTCCATAATTTGAGTTTGCTTATTTAGGCAATTGAATATTTTAAAGTATTTGTAAAATGAGTTGGATATGGCATGGTCGTGATGTAAAATGGAATATTTAGTGATATGTAGTGTTAGTGGTAGAAAGAATCTATACATACCTCGTCTGAGAAGACCATTATTGGTCTCACATATTATAATACTTCGGCCCTACGCGCCTCAGGTTATAAAAATGCTCACCCGATAGTGGCTCACTTCTCAAATTGGGTAAATAATTTACTATTTACTTTCAATGTCTAGTCAATGATTGAGAAAGAATTTGAAATTTATACCGCACTTCCGTTTCATAATTTGATGACAAACTAAAATATCATTTACCTGTTTTCTATAAGGTGTTATGATACCAAGATCACATTGTTTTATTTTCATCCCACTGACTCTAGAATCAACTAGCTTGGTCACGTATTCCATAACCTCCTCAATTTCTTGGACATTAAAAAAGCTGGAAAGAATAAAAATTTATATTGGATCATATTTATTTCTAGTTAGCTCTCCTGACATTGGCCCTAAAATCGGTTTGTTCGTACAGTGGTGGGTGACTTGTCGGTGACAGTGTTTGGGATCCGGCCTTGTAAGTTTTGTCTATATAGCGTAGCAGAATGAACGGAATTTATGTGGCGGGATCTTGGATACGATCACTGAAAGGTTGGTGACAGCTGTACGAACAGGGCTTACACCAACGCGTATTTGAACATTGAATCTTCAGTGATGGGTCCACCGATGGCATCGAAGTCCATAAAAAGTATTCCTTTATTCGTTCGCTGAATTCCATCAGGGCGTTCCTTTATTCCTGATAGATATATTTGTGATGCCATAGGCAGTTTGTGCTAGAGGAGCGATTGACAGGACCTTGGCAGATGTAAATTAGCTCCGAGAAAGCACAATATACATTTTTAACAAAATACTTGCCGCCCTCATTGGTTGTGGACAAACAAAATTATAGACGGCTAGTTAATACCACGGTACACTTGATTATTGATATTGATACTTTGATAATTGCTTCTATGTATCTTTACTCTCGTAGAACCGATGGCTTTCTTCTTATATGACATAAGCAATTTTAAAGGTATTGTCTTTTATAGCCCAATATTCTAGAAGTGCCAAACAAATATCAAAAAAACTTGAATTTGGGAAATTTCTAAATTATCTCCTACTGAACGGGCTCATGGAAAATTCTTGTTCCGGAAGTTGGAGTACTCAGTATACAATTTCTTCCCCTTTAAGTGATTGTGAAGGCGTTAAGGAATACCTCAGCAACGATAGCCGGGAGGCGGTAAAATTCTACCAACAGGCCACTTTAGGTCTGCTTGACATCATTAAGAAGCAAAAAAAAGGTGGTAGACAAGGACCAGTCGACCGAGGCTGTACCACCCACTAGCTCTTTCCAGGGTGTCATAAGAATGCCCGAATGTTTCCACACCTAAGCTACGCAGTCCGGTTTCTTCCCTTTTCATTCACAACGAAGAAAGTGATGATGATGGGTCCCTCGAGTAAACTCACTCCACTCTCGGAATGTCCGGGTGGAGAGTGGACTCGAGGGAGCAATATCGATGCAAAAATCTGTTTCACGGACATCTACGGGGCTAACAGCAACATTGATGCTGTTCAGTGCTATCTGCAGTCTAATCGATCCGCCATGCTTTTCTTGGCGGAGATAAACAATCTCCTATTCTGCGCTAATTAACATACGAGGTGCACTGGAATCTGAGGAAGAACGGGGTAGTGGCTTTTGTCCGCAGCAGTCTTTCCTGAGACGTTTCTTTGGAATAAGGCCGGAACGACGTTCTGCGGCTTCGCCTCATCACCAAAACATACTCCAAATTGATTTGCTGTCTTTGTGATGGCAGCACTTTACATTCAGGAATTCAGAGTGACAAGCCAACCTCTGTCGGTGAGCTGGAAAAAAGAATACTAGCAGTGACTTCCTCTCTGACTAGAGACCTGGACGTTATCACTGCTTGGAGACTCAACAATCTTGTGCCGTTTAATGCTTCCAAAAACATCCTCCAAATGTATTTGCTGTCTTTGTGATGGCAGCACTTTACATGCAGGAATTCAGAGTGACAAGCCAACCTCTGTCGGTGAGCTGGAAAAAATAATACTAGCAGTGACTTCCTCTCTGACGAGAGACCTGGACCTTATCACTGCTTGGAGACTCAACAATCTTGTGCCTTTTAATGCTTCCAAAACTGTATCTTGACTAACATCCGGTTTCGATGGATGGCCAAGTTCCATCAAAGAGCCGTTTATTTTGGCTGGTCAGAGTCCAGATCACCGAGGACTAAGTAGTTCTTTTCTACCGCTACACCAACGGGCCCTGCTCCTCAGAGCTCTCCTCCATGATGCCGCCGCGCGATGTGCCTGCTAGACAGACTTGCCTGACTTCTGCCTCCCAACCTAACCATGTCGAACTTCGTAAAGCCAGAATTGATCGATACGACTGCTCCTTTGTCCCTGAGGTATCGCGATTGTGGAATAATCTACATGAGGAGGCTTTCCCCAATTCTACTAACTTTAGCCTGTACAAAAATCGAATTAACAAAGTTTGTTTAAGTTTCTCATAGCAGCCGCGGTGCACTGGCATTTAGGCGCCTGCCTGCACGGCTGCTTCGGTGTAAAAAAAATTAGTATATTGAGGTTAGGCTTAGAAATTGACAGCAAAACAATAGCAGAGTCAGCAATCCGTTTTATTTCTTCGCCGATCGCAGTGCATTAGTTGGCGGCCTCGCCAGCAGAACGCAGGACTGGTGGATTCTATCATCTTTTTCTGATAAATAAAAAAGCGCCCTTTATTTAAATGTTGTTTATTACTAATCTGAAATCAATGGATTTCGAAATAACTTTTAAAAAAACTTTATTCGAGGACTGTAACTGTCGGTTACAAAATTGCAATGAACTGACTAAGACGTAGTCTAACCGGGTATTGAACAATGGCATAGGTCTGCAGGCTCTATTTATACTTTAGGTTCTGCTTTCCCTGTATCTAGGTTCAGGCACACGTAGCTCATCTGTTAGCCCATGCAATAACACCCCTATGTGCGAGGAGATGGTGCGACGCTAGTTTATTGTACAGAGTGCAGTGCGGGCAAGGGCCGGAACAGCACTAGCAATCTCTGTATAAACATGGTTACTAGTGTTGCTTTGGGATGGGCAAAAATAAACGGTTAACTGAATAACCGGATTTTTAAATTCCATTAACCGGTTTTAACTAGTTATTTTATACTATAAGCAATTATCGGATCAAAAAGTTCAATACCTGGAACAAACTGGGGAACAAAGGTTATTTTTGTTTTTGGAGTGGCCATGGCGCGACTTGAAGTTGGAAAAATATTGTCTTTATTTATACTCGTAATGTCTACATTATAAAAGGACGAAGTGATCTAAATGTTTACGTTTCTTTGTAATGATTCGGTGTTTTGACATTCTATATACTTACTCATCTTATTATATTTATTTTCTGGAATCTCCATTATATTTTTTAGGTTGAAGCTTAGTTATGAGAATTTACACTTGTTATTTCTAACACTATATAATATTATCCACAGGGAAAACGTGCCTGACCACTTGAGTTCAATGTGTAAGAGAGAGAGAAGCGCGAGAAGGGTGTATCAAAACATGTTAGAAAGAGACTGAAGCCGGTTAAAGAACTGAGGTCATCACCACATTGCCTAGCAACGGTGACGCAGAAGATCGTGCAATGTGCCGCGTTGTTACACCAGAAAATGTTCACACATGCTGCTCCAATAGGTTAGGCTACTGTCAATCCTAAGAAAGAGGTCTGTTCGAACATCTAATTTAATATTTTCTTTTCATTTTGATTAACTTATTTATTTCTTAGAATTGTCTTTGATTTCCACCGATGGTGGTAAAATCAACACATTGAGTTATTGTTAAATTTTGCAATAGCGCTGCGGTCGGAAATTGTGGGCTATATAAACTGTCACTGCCTGCGTGTACGCAGGTGAAAGCCATTTCGAAGAAGGACGACACTCCCCTAAGAGCGCTAGATGGGTATTGACCAAAATCGCTCAACTACGATCATGGAGGTGGAAACCGTGTTATTAAACGAACCGATGATGCAATGTTGCAGAATTTGTGGCGATCCTCGCCTTCCATTTTGACCTAAAATGGAGCGCCGTTAGGACCGATCGGGAATGAATCCTAAACAGCTTCGATACAATTCAAAAATGTGCACGCTCAAAATAAAACCATTATAAATAAATAAACTGACGCATATTTTCAATATGCATCTCAATTCAAGGATTTGGTAGGGGAGACCGAGGTGGGTTGTGACAGAGGAGAGTGGTAACAGAGTCGATTTCTTGTAACCTTTGAGGGCCAGCGAATGGGCAACACCGCTTCTTTATTGTTTCATAGACGCGGTATGTGATGTAGTTCGTTCTTCTGGTCTACAGCGAACGATTACGTCTACACGACTTTCTGATTTAAAAAAGTACCAAAAGTAAGTTTCTGTCCAATATTTTGCTATCATATTATTCGATACGTATTACATTAACGGCACTGTGTAATTTTTTTTAATGTATATTGGTCCTTTAATTTTCATACCACGGTGGTGTTTTTTGAGGTTTACCACTTGTTTTTAGGTTAAGGGTCATGATTCCGATAGAAGCACGAAATTTCGCTCCTGGGAGAATTGTGATAACGTGTCACAACTCTCCTAGATATTTTAATTTGATTGCCAATAATATGTATCGCTAAATATCAATTTTATGCTTTTAGGATGCCTAATAAATATGTAAGAAAAACTGATAGAGGCATGTCTAGTGTCGAAATGAACTGGCCTTTGAAGAGGTAACATCAAGGGGACAGAGTCTGCATCTGCGTATCATCTGAACTATATGTCATTACAAATATATATATCAAAAAGAGAAAGTCATACCAGGCTTACTCAATAGGTAAGCCCCCATCGGTCGGACATGTCAGCCAAACGATTTTTTCGAAAGACGAAGAAAATATACTATGCGAGTATTTGTTGACTTCTGCGTCGCGGTAGGAAAATAAAATGGCAGGTGAAGTATGGCTAAAGCTATTTATGGAGCGTCATGCAATTTTATCTTCAACCCACAAGTATAGCTCGCGCTACGAGCATCAATAAGACGAATGTGGCTGCCTTCTTTTAAAACTATACAGGTGTCCTCGCCAAACACGCGCTTGAAGCAAAGGATATTTGGAATGTTGACGAAACAGGAATTACGACAGTCCAGAAACGTGACCGAATCATTGCACGACGCGACGAAAAACAAGTCAGTGCAATGACGTTGACCTTGGCTGGAAATGCTGTTGGTAACTACATACCTCCTCTCTTCATATTTCCACGTAAAATATGCCAAGACCACTTTATTCGAGCTGGTCCTACTGGTTCAGTAGGAACAGCTAACGGATCTAGATGGACGCATGATGACGACTTTCATCTGTTCCATCATTTCATCAACTACGTAAGACCATCAAAAGAAGAGAAACTGCTGTTACTTTTAGATAACCACTCATCGCATTTGGCTTTGAAAAATATTGAGTTTTGTAGGGAACATGGTGTGGTTTTGCTTACGTTCCCTCCGCACTGTACTCACAAGCTGCAACTGATGGATCCTGCTATTTCTGGTCCTCTGAAAAAGGCTGTGAACACAGCTTGTGATAACTGGGTGCACACAAATGCTGGCAAAGTTATGTCTATCTATGACATTCCATCAATTACAAAAACAGCATTTGATGTGGCGATCACGGCGAAGAATGTGCGAGCTGGCTTTGCTGCAACAGGAACGTGGCTTCTTAATACAAATATATTTGGAGAAGCCGACTTCCTACCTAGTCAAGTTACTGATCGCACTTTCACCAATACACCGCCAGATCAAACTTTCAGTATTGTAAATGCATCTAATCTCACTTCTCCAGATCCATCAGTAAATAACGGAGAAAACGAGGCAGATGCAATTGAAGAACATTCCAAAGCTACTTATGATGAAGTCGTAAAACTTTCTGGAAATAAGAACCTTGCAATCGATGCACAAAAAAAACCTGCCGTCAATTCATCCGTTTTGAGCAAAAAGGTCAACCAGCCTGCAAAAGATGAACCTACTGCCTCCACATCGTCAGCAAGTAGCCCGCTCGCCACTATAACCAATGAATTCTCTCCAGAAGTTCTTAGACTTCTGCCAAAAGCTCCACCAAGAAAAGGTAACCAACAGAATAGACGTAAGATCAAGTCTACTGTGCTCACTGATACACCTATTAAGGACGAAATTGCTGCTATGGAAGCAAGTAGGAGGACGAAGAACGTTAAAAGACATTTCAACAAGGATAATTCTGAGCAAGTTAAAGCAAAGAAGATAAACAGTAAGAGAAACAAAAGCGACGAAGAACAAGAAGAAAATGATTGCTTCTGTCTTTGTTGCCTTGAGCCTTTTGCAAACAGCAAATCCAGGGAAAAATGGGTTCAGTGCATTGATTCCAAAGGATGGTCGCATGAAGCTTGCACTGGGGGAGAGCTCCTCTATTTCTGTCATAACTGCTTATCAGACTAGAATGTGCTAGGAGCAGACCTTTAATGCGTTTTTATTTCTGTTGATCTCACAGAAGTGTCATGTTATGTTGAAGTTATAAATAGTTTAATAGTTATGTTAATAATCAATAGTGTACTCAAGCAGATTAGTTGCGTTTCATTTAGGTTTGTTCCCTTCTAATCCCGAAATATGTTGCAGTCACGACCTCGTCATGTGTCACAATTTACCTCGATACTAGGAGAATCGTGACAAGAAACAGTCTTCCAGTTTTCATCGAATCTTTCAAGGACCGTGATTATTTTCTAAAATCTTATAATTGTTTCACATAGCGGACAGGACTAGCTATTTTGAGTACTAAAATCATAAGCATAGGCCTTTTTCTCACCGTGATATGCTCGTGAAAGTGAAAATTGTCACAACCCTCCTCGGTTTCCCCTATGACATATTGACAACGCGACAGACTCCCGCGTCAGCATTGGTTGGCGACACAGTGACGAGCTTCCTATCTCTTTCTAATATATGTGTCTATAGACACTTCTCTGTCGTACACATTGAACTCAAGCCGTCAGACAAATTTGGTTCTCAGTGTATATTACTAATTACCTATTTATCGAAAAGATGAAAAACATTATGAATTACCATTACTAATGTTGAGACGTTTTTAAAATCACCTGTCAGAATAAATTACTTTTTGTAGTTTATTGTATCTAATGTAAATTCATTACTGTAAACTACTACAGCTAACCAATAAAAACACGTTTGTCGATTTTGTAGAAACAACATACAGCCTGTGATCGTGTGCGTCGTGCAATTTGTCAGTCATATTATAATACAATTTGAATGTTCATTTACATAAAGCTAACATAGGTATTCATGTCAAATTATCGGATAAATATACAAAGGCTTCAAAGCAGGGGGCTTATAAAGTAATTATGGCTGGAAGACCAGACACAATGCGTACAGGGCTTTCACAAAAACTACCTATACTTAGTGCTAAGCTTTTCCGGAGAAAATAACCGATATCAAATACAACTGTCACTGTTGAAGAAGATGAATCTTTGCACCAAAAGTCCGAAAAGGTAAAATACCGTATTAAAATTTCTCTAAAAAGCACCCACATAATGATTAACTTATGTTACGTGAAGTTACCTTAGCCAAATTTGGAGAGTGATAGCTCCCCTCTAGGGGCCAACATCTCAAAACCGTGTTTAATCGGAATTTTGGCATTGTTGCATGGTACGTTACCCCGATTTTTATAGATTTGTGGAAGTTATGGGATCGATGGAAATATACTTCTTTTTTGAATTTCGGGTAGGAAATTAAAATTTCATTTCATAATTTTGTCCCGCAAAAATACCAATAATCTAAACCTCGTTTTCGCTGATTTTCTTCTTGAAGTCTTCATATTTTGGATCTGGGAATGAACATTTGGGTTACTCAAAATTCATGGTCAAAATAATCGTGAAAAAAATCCAAAAATCGGATAAGCCGCTTTCGATGATTTTCTTCGATTTTCAACACTTTTTATGAGGGAGGAACCTTTACGTGCTTTTCCGTTGTTTTCATGTCCGTTGTGAGAATAATGATTTTTGGCTCAAAAAGTGCCATAAATTAGACAAACCGCTAACTTGCTTCCATAATGTCATTGTAGGTTAGGAAAGAATCATTTTTGGCATTATCGAAATCAAATAATAGCGTTTTCGCCGATATTTCTGTTTTTGGCATTCTAGGCAAAACCGTATTTTTGTTGACTTATAACTTATACTTATAACTAAATAACTGGTGATACGACCATTTTTATTCCATTGTCCAAAACTGCATAGCGAAGTTATACTGTAAGGGCCTCGCACACGCAACGTAAGCGTATCGTTAGACACTGATGATCTTACATTTTCTTCAGACGAAGAGGATTTTTTATTGTTTGATCATGTTAGAAGTAGAAAGCGATGCCTCGTGCTCTTTGAATCCATCCATATATCGTAAATCATAAGAAGAAAAGATTGTTTGTTGCCGCACGTAAACTTTCAGAAGACGATAATAAATTCCGCAGTTTTCATCGAAGTTTCATGATTCTTGCTTCTGCAACTACAGCCTCTCGCATTTTTGTATCTTTTATCAACAGGAGTGGTCCTAAAATGTTTAGAAGAATCCTAAATGTCTGCTTCCTCATTCGATAAAAACTTGGTAATTTACTATCATCTTCTGAAAGATCACGTGCAGCAACAAACAATCGATTCTTCTTATTATTTGTGATGTATGGATGGATCCAATGAGACTTCTAACATAATCAAAATAATAAAAAATCTCCTTCTGAAGAAAATTAGGATCATCAATGGATAGACCAGAAACATTTGGGGCTTGATTATATACTTAGCGGTCTGGCGTAAGGCAGGCGTAGAAGCAAGCGTAAAATTCAAAAGTTTTGTTTCATTGCTCTCGATGTAGCTGACATATCTCCTTCCTCATGCGATAAAAGTTTCGGAATTTATTATCATCTTCTGAAAGTCCACGTGCAGCAACAAACAATCTTTTCTTCTTATTACTTGCGATGTATTAATAGACCCAATGAGCACGTCGCTTTCTACTCCTAAGATAATCAAACAATAAAAAATTTTCTTCGTCTGAAGAAAATGTAAGACCATCAATGGATACACCAGAAACGTCTGGCACCGTTGACGCCATTATTTGAACTGGAATCTTACAAAACGATGCGTGTATGGAAGACTGCAGGTCTCGTAAGCGTTGCGTCATAACGATATGCTTACGAAACGACTACGCTTACGATGCGTGTGCGAAGGCCCTAGGTCCTCTCTTCCATCAAACAGATGCGTTAAAAATCGCATTTCAATCTATAGTATCACTGCCACATTATTCTTCGTGCAAGGTGACTAAAAATAAACCTTAAAAACATTCTACCTGGGAGAAGTTGTTTCTCTGAGATCAACACCTTCGACATGATGGAAAATCACAGGAAATCCCGGTGTCTTGAGATGTTCCCACTCAGTGAAAACATGGCTCATATCACTACCACCTGCTATAAGTTCACTGTGGTAGAATAGTTTGCTTGGCACTGTCAGAATTGCTTCGTGAGATCTGTAGTTTTTCAGCAGTTTGGTCAAATATCTTTGATCATAGTTATTTTCCAAATTTTCGTTTCTGCTGTACGGTTCACATGAATCCAGCAACCGTTCTAGCATAGATGTACCTGAAATTATTAATGGGGATTAGCAGCACGGTTTCAACATCTCTAGTTGGAACGACAATTTGAAAACACAGGAGTTTTAAACCATGTTGTCGGCAGCATAGTACACATTTCTCGTTGTTGGTTTGCTCCTATTAAATTTATATCGATCAAATAGAATTATTAGCAATATTATAAATATTTTTGAAAACTGGCAGGCAAATAACTATCAGCTGGAATATTCATGGATCATGATCTGGCATTCCATATTCAGGGTGTCTCGAAATTGAAGGATAATCCTGGAACTGTAGATAGGTCACAGCATGGCCTACTAGATGGTAAAATTTTGTTTTAGTGAAAAAAAAAACTGGCTTGTGTTAAGTTAACCCAGTGCCATTTCTACAACTTTTTTAGACCAGGTTTATTTTAAAACACTCGGAGTTAAGCAGTTAACTCGTCTAGTGTTATTTTCCTTTAAAGTAGTGAAAAACCCACATAAAAGTCATGCCAAAGTTTAAATTTTAATTAAAACCAATTGTTACGTCTGACTTTGACCCCCTGTAGAATGAGAGGATCAAATACGATCACTGTGTCAATTAGTAATGTAGTAATGGACAGGGTTGATGTTGAAGGATAATTTACATTTAAGATATTTATGTAATAAGCACCATTGACCTACATTTTTACTCAAAGTATTTAACGATCTTCGTGCCAATGAAGTAAGCCGCGTAGTCTCATCCACCATGATGAATGTTGAATTTTTGTAACTGAAGTGGTCTTACGTGTGATGTGGCGGAGTATTAACATAATGGACCTAAATCCACTGCATTTCTTTATTAGGGTTGCTTTAGATAATTTCTATACCAAGCTGAGCAGAGTTTGAATAAGTCTCGAGCTTGCTAGCGGTTATTTTTGTAAGTTAAAAAAATGTTTTGAGTAAAAACGTAGGTAATGCATAACACTTGGTGGTGCTCATTACAAGAATATCTTGAATGTAAACTATCCTTCAACATAAACCCTGTCGCTTTTTTATATCAAAGTCATAAATTGTTATTTTCTATCTACGAAAACTGACCCTCGTCCGTTACGAGTACAATAAAACGAAAAACAGCAGAAAGCGAATGACAATAACACCGTTTAAAAATTTGGTCAACCTTTTCGACTCTCACTCTATAGGGTGTCAAAGTCAGATTTAAACATTTAGACTTTGGCATCACTTTTATGTGAGTTTTTCTCCACTTTAAAGAAAAATAATACTGGACGAGAGGTATTGCTTGATTCTGAGTATTTCAAAATGAACTTGGTCCAAAAAAGTTGATATTTGTAGAAATGGCACGAGGTTAACTGAATGTAAGTCAGTTTTTTTTTAAATTGAATGCTGAAAATCTCGAAAACTATAAAACTTTTACTAAAACAAAATGTTACAGTCCAGTAGGCCATGAGGAGACGTATCTACAATTGCAGGATTATCTTTCAATTTCGGGACACTCGGGAAATCAAAAAGTTAGCTTACAAACATTGTCACTGTCAGTGTGACAGCCCTCTTGATATGGCCATACCTGTCATTGATCTTCGTAATATAAGCATAGCAGTACTTGAAAATACGACTTTCGGATAGTGCCGATATTTTTGCCAAAATTATTGAAGTATTTTAAGAAAGTGAATGAAAGCAATAGCTTTTTATTAACCTATTCATGATTATAATAGCATCTGCGTTCAAGACCGGTTCGCCCAGTGGGCAATTTTTCTGTGGAGCTTCAGCTCCGCACAGTTAGTCTATTTGCTTACGTATTTCGTATAACGTGAAAAAGAGCTATATACGCTTCATGAAATATATGCCATTTTCAACAAGACGATCATAACTACTTGGCACCACAAACACACAATTTTCCCTTGAAATATCTTGTATACATTAGTATATTCTGAAATAAGTAAGATCTAGATGTAGCAAGATTTGGTGGATTTGGGTCGCTTCTTTTGTTGCTGCAGAATATCTTGCTCGAAAAAACGTCCAGCTTCGACAGCTCATCAGTCAGTTTTGCAGATAGAGTGGTGACCCTTTTTCAAAAATGAACTTCATATCTCACAGATTCTCGTAATGCTTTTTGAATATCGTGCATCATCTATACAAGGCAAAACGTGCATTTATGTTTGTATGTGAACAAAAAATTCTATTTCATGGGCAACAATGCAAACGGCTTAACGGACTTTAACATAGTTTGTTATTAGATTCGTCGTAGCAGTGCCAGTGACACTGAGTAGAATAATATTTTGTAAGATAAAATGATGGATGTTAATCAAAATTTTCTTCTTCGAAATAGAAATTTCAAGGCTACAGCTCAAACGGTTTGATGAATTTTGACATACAAGATGTCTCCAGATTTGTGTAACACTGAATATACTAACATTGTATACAATCAAAATGGCGAACTTTCAATATTTCTATTTCACGGACTACAGCAAAGCGGATTCATGGATTTTGACATCTTGATCCTTTTTAGTTACTGTAATCAGGTTCTCTGTATTCTTTGAAAATGCTCCTGAATATCTTATATGATTAGCTTTGGTATATAATTTTTGCGTTGACTTACTAATTTCTGAGTTATTTGCAGATTTGCACAAATAATTATAAATAAATAAATATTTCCAATAGAATAAAAATCTTCTCTTTTCACAAATTATGTTGTATTCATTTATTTTTATTTGTGATTTCTGCATAACTACAAATAACTTAAAATTCCAGTGACATAACTCCCCAAAAATTGTAAACCAAAATAAAGCTTACAAAAAGGATAATCCAAAAGTACATTTCGGGGTTATACTTGCAAAATTTTGAAAAAAAAAACGCTTAAATGACAAGAATCTGAGGGATATGAAGCACATTTTGAACAAAATTTTGTTACTCTACCTAAAAAAGTTACTGACTTAAAATATGTCAAAGTTGAGTGTTTTTTCAGGCAAAATATCCTTTAGCTCCAAAAGTAGTGATGCAAACTTTATAGTATCAGATATCAAACTTCTTTTTTTCCAGAATAGACTAAAATAAGCCATTAAGAAAAATAAGCGTATGTCGCCACGGATTAACTAATTCCCAAGGAGTGTATAGTTGTCTGTAATTTTTGTAAAATTTCTTTTGAGATGTTTACAGTAACGAAGCTATGGACCGAATGCATTCTAAAAACTCATTTTGTATGCATTACGGGCATCAACAATAACTGGGCATTGACGTGACTTCATATTTTGCTACCTAGCATGGTTTGTTTGTTGCAGACTCGTAGAATAGTTTTATTATGTATTTATTTCCCAAGCTCTTTTCACCAAGAAATTCCCGAAATTTTGGAAAAATGTGGTAGTCTGCTTGTTCTAAGTCGGGGTATGGTGGATGATCCAGGAATTCCCAATGAAACTTGTCCAGTCGCGTTTCTGTTCTTACCGCAACGACGCTGCTAGAGAGCAGGCTCCGCAGGCGATTTTGAATAACGTGGCTAATTCAACAAGGTGCTGGTGAATTTCAACAGGAGGAACTTTTTTGTGCTTACTCGTAAAAACTGTATTAATGAACGCACTTCAGATTCGGCGGGTTTGCTGATTGACTGGGGACAAACAAAGCAGTATAACCATACAACTAAGACCGACAGAGACAGACTGGCCAAAAGCATCCGAGGATGAACGGACGTCACGTGACAGGATGTGCAATCGGTTCCTACTTTAAAAATGACCCTCATATTTGGAATACCTACTTCTAGAACAAGATGTGCGGAAAAAATATGGCCAAGTATAATGGTTTTTTAACTGCTTGTCTGTGCAACAATGGGCATGTCTGCAGATTGAATGCTATTTGATCATATATTATTACCGTCCAGGTATTATTTAAAAAAACCTATAAAACGTCAAAAAATTCCATAAAATGTCATCGTGCAGACTAGGTAGTTTTTTAGGGTGCCAACAGTTATCCCACGTTTGATCTCTAGGATGGTTGTCAGCGTCCGTCTATGGAGGAATAGCTCAACTACCCGCAACCCGCATTGTTGGTTGCATATGTTTTGTGAAGTCGAGTAGTATATCTTCATCTCTGAGAAGAAAGTTGGTTGAATAGCAAGATCGCATCAGGATGATTGTGTATCTTGGTCTGCATGTGTATAAAATCAGTGATGTTTGCTGTGTGATGTGTGAGAATATCATTACTGAATATGCTGCCAATGAAGTATACTTATTTCATGAGTATCTATCACGCTTTGATGTCTACTGAGGTGAACAGCTCATCAGCAAGTCATATTTTTGTGTTAGTCTGCAACGTTGGCTATAATGGATCGGGTGTAAATCTAGCAAAAATTTGTTTGTAACGTTTTGTTTTTTGAATGCAAATGAACTTTTCTAAATAAAAAAACTTTTAGCAAGTATAAAATGAATATGTAGCGTACAAAAAAACAAAACAAAATATGGCTCTGTCCACCTGACATTGAGGGATTAATCAGAATTATGTGTCCTTTGCCGACATGGGGCAAAGGACACATAATTAATATAATATGTATAATATATAATATCTGTATAATATCTTGTGGAATTGACATCGTGAGTCAACAACGAAATGAGTGGGCGAGAATACAAACAAAGATTTGATAATTTTTCGGTCGTTTTAATCGTCGCAGTTGCTTGTAATTTCAAATTTGAGTTTCTTATTATAATAAATCAAGGGCTGCAGATAGATCTTTGTGATATATTTTGAAAACATTTGCTGTGAGCGGCTTCTCGATATTTTGCATAGTTTGCTGTTTATGCTTTCAATGTTCTGCGGATTTTTTATCATATTCTCTCAGAACCTTGTCATCGATTTTGACGATTTATCATCGTGTATTCACTACAGTACTTTTACACGGTGATCCTAACGTACATGGAGGAAGTTTTGCTCCCAGATTAAAATGTCTGAAAGACCACTGTTCATGGATTCCTATGCATGGTATCAGATAGTGCTTTTTGGATATATATATATATATATATATATATATATATATATATATATCCACAATTATTTAGCTACTTATCAAGGTTTAATTATTTTATTACATGTTTGGGTAGTCACCTTGAACAGAAGAAGATTGGTGTAACATGTTTATAAGTTCTGAATATTAGTTTGGGGAGTATTGGAGAGTACTTTTTCTGAAAAAGAACTCTAAAGCTTGACAGCGTACATCTTTCCAACAACGATAGATATAATAATAAATTTGACGCCAAATACTTTCTTCTGTCTGCAATTAGAGCCTAAGTTCTTCATTTTTCAATATACTTTAAATGGTTCAGTAATAGCTATATTTTTGTGAAAATTTAAACGTATAGCATATATAAAGTGAACAATAAACTTTGTCATCTTGGAATGCAGAGAGTTCTGAAAATAAGAATACATTTTTATAGCTTGAGAAATGATATCGCGACTAGTGTAGCTACATACATCTAACAATATGATGCAACCAGCGCGCCGTTGTGATAGACCCTGAGAGTTGCTGGGAAGATGTAGGGTGTCAAACTTACTTAATAATTCAGAAAAAAGGTCGTTATGTATCCCAAACTAATATTCAAAACCTATTGTTCAAATGGTCTATCTAAACACGTAATGTAGAAAAAAAGGACAATCTAGTAAATAAATGCCACTTTGACATGAAGCTTAATAATGAGATACCCTGTGTAATTGTGAATATATTAAGAAGCATTCTCTAATACCGCGCATAAGAGTCCATGACTGTTATCGAGATGTTTTAGTCAGGGTGCAGAACTCCCTCCATGTACGTTAGAAGCACCCTGTAGAAGTAACGTAAAGAATGTCTGATTTTCGATAGTTAAAATTGATGATAGAGAGCTAAGAGAATTTGAAAAAATATCATCAGTACATTTGAAGCATTTGTTTTGAAGCAGCAAACTTTGTAAGGCAACGAAAAGCCGTTCACTGGAAAAACACAAAAAGAAATACAAATTAGCAGCTGCGCCGGTTGAGACTACAATAAAACTTTTGCTTGCATTTTCTCCGACTCATTCTTATTCATTGCCAGTCGATTGACTGACTAATTCACGATGTCAGTTCCACAGGGCATCATAAACGAATAAAAGCTATTTTGATATTTGCTCTGTGGGCAATGATTTTCAAAAAACACCACAAAGTGTGAGAGAAAAAACGCCAAAAATCGTATGTTTTTTTTTTAATTTTATTCGCTACACTGCTGCATATATATGTTCTTGTTATACATTATTTTGAGTTACAATCGAGAGAACCCCGATTACTTCAGAAAACATCCACCTCAAAGCGTAATACGCCTCGAGTAATAATAAATCGGAACCTGATAGTAAGAATTTAAGTTATAGAATGAGTGCGGCTATAATGTAAGTAATCTAGCAGTATTAGGAGTGTAACGAGCTGTTTTGTTTTCTCTTACCATATCCACAGTGAGTAGCAAACTGCGAGTGAACTAAGGGTCCCAACTGTTTCGGATCACCTGCCAGTATCACGTTGCCTTTAATAAATCCTTTTCTGTCATCATGTGACAGAATTCCAGCGATGGGAATGAGGGTTTGCGATTCTGTCGCGTAGCTTCCTTCGTCTATAAACACGTGCGTGAAGTGGTCTTTTGGAGCGCCCCCGTTTACAATCCTGGAAGGCAACAGTAATTTAGCAAACCCAGCACTAGATAATAGTACAGTCAGATTGTAATGGCTCCAGTGACTAGATATACTGATTCTTGAGCCCCATTTTCTTTTTGACCTGGGCGGACATTTCCAACATTGACGGTAAACGGCCGAGTAGTATACCAGTAAAATAGCAAGATAAATTAAAATATACATACGAAGCAATATTTTATATTCGCTCTTGTACTAGAAATTTGTTTTTGGAAATAGCAATCTGTAAAAACCATTTTTACCAATAGCTACTTGCACAAACAGGAAAATCAAGGTTTCCAACCTTATTTTCAAATAAAATTAAAATCGATTAATTTAGATAGCCTATGAAATTTCATAGTTTATCCAATTTAAAACAATCGAGTCCAAAAATTTCTTGATTTCTCTGTAACAATTATCAGCTCAAATAAGTCCACAATTATCCTGGTAATTGTAAAAGCATTGAATACAATTGTTCAAAAGAGGTAAGGTTTTTTAAATGAATGAAGCTGCATGAAAAGTTTGTCGCCAAGTAGATTGACCCTGCACTCCCCAGGCAACGCTGTCGTCAGTTGATAAAGAATTATTTTCGGCCCAAACTAGGCCCTCAGAAAAGAAAACACTCAACTACGAACATGTATAACAAAGGAAATGAACGGATCGAGTCAGTCTAGCAGGCCCGCACAATTAGCCCATACAATTTTGTCTCTGACCTATGTACAGTGCCGACCATCTGACAACGTTGCAATCACTAACTCGCCCATACCTCGATACTCGCTGTAACCACTTGTCAGCCTTGGCAGTACGATCGTCATGGCATGACACTATACACTATTTGGTGAGACCGCGACGTCGGTGTACCCAGAGACGCATGTTGAAAATATTTCATTCAAGTCTAATAGGCGTTAAATTACCGGGGTTGGAATAGCATAAATTGAGACATACTCCCCTCTCACACGCTACAATCCCAACTCACAACTTTTGACCCATACAATTTTATTTCTGAAAATGAATAGGAGCCTCTGAAATCTCAAAGAATGAAGTGAAATTTTCAAAAACTGTTACGCCGTTTCGCCCTTTGCATAGTAGTAATGTGGAAACAGAGGCAGACAGACCGACGTAAATGATATGTTTTTTATGGTCATATTTCATATAACATGTGGGAATTAAAAGTGCTCACAAAGAAAATCAATTTTATAGACCTATTAGAGACATTTACTCCAGGTTTTCAAATTTCCCATCATTTCCCATTTTCCTCTTATTATTTTTGCTGCTGCAATATCGTCAACACGTTAAACAAGGTTCTAGTTTGTAATCTTAGCGTCTAGTATGACTCCCCGTGCAATCTTGTGCTGTAGCGGTCGCGTATGTCATTTGGTGAATTGCCCAGGGAATATAATAATCTAACGAAGGTATATTCATCAAATCCAAGCGAATAAGCAAAATTTCTGTGTTATGTGCCGCGGTTACAATATGGTTCAAGATGACACACGGGTTGATGACAAATCGCTTGAACGCGTTGGTTTTAACCGCGGTTTTGTTGCAAGTTGTTTATTTTAGAAAAGCGCGTATATAATCTCTGATTATTTTTATTATCACTTAATAATCGGTGCTTTTTCGTCTACAACTGTATATGGAAAGTTTAAATAAGAAACCTTTCATAATATTCATGGGAGAAATGTTTTTTCAGATTTTTTTTTAATAATGGAACCATGGCTTTGTAGCTATGATAACTTTCAATTCTCTAAATGTTTCCGCGTGTCAAAGAAAACATTTATTGGTTCAAGAGAAATGATGAAAAAAGAAATTAGCAAAACCGTATACAGGTGGATATCATCTAGTGAGTTTATATGGCCATATTTTAATATTCTTGTGGTATATGGCTACACAGGATACTTTGTTAAGCATAGGAACTACATTTAAAGTGTCCCCAACGACCGTAATGAGTATAACTAATAAGGTGCTCCACTTTATGGTAAAACTGAAGTCAGCCTGTATCATTTTTCTCAAAAATGAAGCTGAAGTACAATAACAATATCCAATACCCGGCAAAATTCTAACTTGTCACATTTCAAATAATAACCAGAAATATAAAACTACTCTTGAGTTGGGTAAATACCACAATTTTGCGGTGATAACTATGACAATATGACATATATCAGCTGATTCGTGACGTCACGGATCTTATAACCAAACTGATAACTACACTCGCTTGAACGGATTGGTAAATACCAACCCAAAATGGTAAATACCATTTCCATTTGGTTATCCGCTTGAATTTGATTATTAAATACTTTCCCATTGGTTCGGTCTGGTGTGACAAGCCGCGGTCTGCTGGCACCACTGCTGCACATTGGTCAATAAGAAGGCGTCTTAGAAGTAACGTATCTGAGAAATTTGGCCGATTTCTTGTCTCTTAGGCTAGAGAAAAATAATATGACTATTAAATCAAGAAATTCTTCATATATCACATGATTCAGCTATAAAAACCTATTTTTCACCCGAGTCCGGACACAAAACTTGACGCAAATTCAATAAATCAAAAAAGTTTTGTGGCCTACACGAATCATAGATCAAACCTGGTACAATAGGTTGACATGACGCCATCACTGAGAATTTCATCAAAAATAACAGTGTTTCACTGTTGCTGTACAACTTTCTGCTTAATAAATTATTTGAAGAGATACATCAAATTACAGAATGCTTATTCTTTAACAATCATCGGGTAGATAATTAATTTACGAACTGTTAACAGGAAGATATCGCGCACTCTAGTGGGCAGTATGACGACTACACGATCACGCTGCGCCGCGGTGACGGTGGTCAGGTTAGTTCTGGGTTAGTTGTCCTACTGCTCAGTAGAGGACGCGAGAGTTCCCAGGTAACAGGGCTTGCTATACTTTACTATTCGTCTTTATTCGTCAGAGCGGTCCAGTGGACCTTTGCTCTTAGTTAAAAGTCTCGTCGGTCTGTTAGTCTGTCAGGTCTGGCTACCCAGATACCAAACATGTTTAAGGGGAAAAGGGAAAGAAAGGAAGGAAGAAATAGAGCAAAGAAAAGAAGTAAATCATTTGAAATAGCTTAAGCATTATTGCTTTGGCTACTCGAATTATTTTGTAATTCCAAAAGATAATTTTGATCGGTTTTGTATACTGAAATAATTTTGGCTGGTCTGAATTTACAATTTAATTTTGATCACAGTGCGAGGTGCGGCCTGGAATGTTTGCGAGCTTGCTCGACTGTGTAGTCTACTGAATCACGCAACAGAGGGTTGCTGTGCGATTCCTCTTAATTATAACGCCGCTGCGCCTGTTGTTTTACGTAATCCCTTAAATATAGGATATCAAGATCTCTGTGAATAGTCTCATTTGACACGTACCAAGGGGCGTTAGCAATTGTGCGTAGGGTTCTGTTTTGCAGGACTTTCAGTCTCTGTATGTGCGTCTTGGCAAGAAAACACCCAGCCGCGCATGCGTAGGTGATTGCGGGTCTTTGACCATTTTATACAACCGAATGTTGTTGATCAAACTCAATTTTGAATTTCTGCACAACAGAGGATAAAGCTGCCGAAAGGTAATTTGGAATTTTGTTTTCAAAATATCGGTACGTTTCTGCCAGGTCAACCCCTTGTCAATGATGACTCCAAGATACCTGACAGATGATAAATGCAGGTTGTCTATTGTACTTAGCCATTCAATGGCTGCGGAAAGATCGCCTGCAATGCCCCAGTGGTGCTAATCAGGGGACTTATTATTTGTTGAAGTTACCTAAGCGCAGTTGCTAGGTCCACATTCTGCGTGTTCAAAGTGGGTTGAACAGAGGGGGCAGCCGAACATGTTGAGACGGCTGCTTCCGCGTATGACTTGCTGCGTCTTTGCGCTATGACTTCCAGATTTCGCCTGGGGGTGAATCTGCAAGTGGGACTGTTAGAGGGATGCGCCCCTCCACAGTTCGCACACTTTCGCTCACCTTATCCTGTGAGGGGGCATAAATGTGTCATGTGGTCGGAAGCACATTTTAAACATTTGGCAGGTGCTGTGCAGTAAGACTGCGCATGACCATACCTTTGGCAGCGGTGACACTGACCAATAAGTCTAGAGTTCCTTTGAACTTCAACTCTGATTGCTAGACCCAGCAGCTCATGTTCATTGAACAGCTGCTGGGACTTTTCAATCTTGGGCAGTATCACGGCCACCAAAGGCATGGGTGCGCCGCCACTGCGTTTGAGTCTGATAATGTGGAGAGGAGTATATCCCCTCTGTTCTAATTCCCCTTTGATCTCCTGTTCCGAACATTGCGGGTATGCCTCTGTCTACCGCGTGAATATTTCTTTCTGAAGGAAGATTGAACGTATGATGGGGCACGTCCTCCTCCCTGAACATGCGAACGATTCTTCGGTAGTCATCCTCAGTTTTCGGCAAAATCCTGATTTCCGCGTCAGCGGCAACTGCGCGTTCTATCTTAATGCCTAAGCTTATAAAGGTGTAGTTTAGATGTCGCCACTTGGTCGCATCACGCAAAACAATGGGCGTGGTTCGTCCCTGGCGGGGTGGTGTGCTTGTCAACTCATCAGCAACGTGAGCTTGTTGAGATAATGCACCATCAGTCGATGCAGTGGTTAAAGATTGAGAGGATGTGGTCGCTGCATCGACCGTCATAGGACAAGTGGCAGAAGAAGTTGATACGTTTAATGAAGCAGGTTTTGAGGGGACTGTCAACTTGAATTTTGATTTTGCTTTTGGAAGAGGTGGGAAGTCATCCGTCTTGTCGGTTTTGTTCGTTTTGTCAATGTCAAATTGTTTTCCTAGACTTGGCCTGGATGAATCCGTCATTCTGTATTTCATCGTCGGTCGATGCCACGTCAGTTAAATTTTCAAGAGATATTTTTAAATTGACAGCCTTGTCAGATTTAGAATTAAAATTTGCATTATTGATTAACTGTTACCTGGGTGGTCAGGCAGTCTATTTTACTGTTTTGGTCCCTAACTGTCTGTCAGCTCCTTTATTTGCTGGGCCTGGCTTTCGATGATCAGGGTCTGGCGCTGGATGGTTCCGTCCTTTTCGTCTGCTACAGCTGGTGTCATCAATTCCTTTGATTTCATGGTAATTTCTGTTCTCTCCTTCTGACTGGGTCCATTCATCATCGGGGACGCTGGGGATCATTACTTTGACCTCCAGAGTCTATCTCTATGTTTTTAAATCGGATTTTCTATTGAAAAACTTGAAAACTTTCACGAGCAAAAATATGACGTATTGTCAGTTATCCCTTATACAGGGCAATTGGGCTTGCTTAAGGAACAGGGTTTTTCGTACAGATGTCAAGTAAAATGAATGTTTAATCCACGTTTGCTAAATTTATCAACCAAAATTTTGTACAGCAACAGTTATTTCCAATACAATGCAAATTTAATTGCTGTCATATCAATTTAGATATTGTGTCAGATTATTTTTCTTTGGCATCTGATCATGTCCGGACGCAAATGAACAAGTAAGTTTTTGTAACTAAACCAAGTGATTTTTGACGTATATCTTGATTTAATATGAGAAATAGGGGCCCATCTTCCACAAATCGTATAATTTTTCTCTAATTTGAAAGATATTCTACAAGTAATTTTATTTTGTCAACGGTAAACTTATTAAATAAAACAAAATAAGAAATCGACCATAGTCATTATATAAATTACTTCAAAAACGCCTTTTCATTGACTGAATTTTTGTGACCCACGTGCTTTTTAACTCGTCGGTGTAGTAAAATTGGGCCAGAATGTCACTAAGGTGGAAGAAATTAAAATTAAACGAAAAGCTTCATATGACGGATACAGACGGATACAGACGGATACAGGTTTGGAGACAACAAGAAATATAATAATGAAAGACTGGATTTTTGCAAAAATTACCGGTCAAAGTATAACCGTTGTTGCAATTAGTTTTGAAAACTACAATTAGTTTATTTCTACGAAGGAGGCCCGCGTCTAATTTTTACATTTAACAAACTTAAAGCGAGCTTCTTGGAAATATCAGCGAAAAACCGAAAATGCCCATAAATGGTTCGATACATTAGCCTCCTAGATCCCCTAACCTTTCACCATTGGATTTCTACCTCTGGGGTCTCACAAAGAATGAGGTCTATGAATTTGATCCTCCCGCGACCATAGAAATCCTGAGATAAAGAATTTTCAGCACAGAAACATTAACAGTAATACACTAGCTAAGGTTGTACGAAAAACAGTCACCAATTGTCAAAAATGTCTGGTTGCAACTGGACGTTATTTTGCAAATCTGTAACTTAATACCCACTTACATAATTAGATTTTACATTACATTACAATTTTGTAAATTGTATGTTCAAGTGTAAAATAAATTTACGACGATTTTTCCGACTTGTTTTTTAACACACTCAGTTGGAAATTTGTCCCAAAACATTTGAGTTCTTGAGAAGTCGATATTTACGATAATATTCTATTGAACGTTCAAGACGTGTATGTGCCTTTTTATACCTTACTCATTAATGAGCAAAGACTAATACATAACATTACGTGTGATGATACTTCGGTGATACTCCAATCGTTTATGCACCTGTGAGACATCACTAGACTGGAAATTTTACATTCTCCAATATGGCGGCCATAAGAAAAATGAAAGTTAACGCGGGTTGTTGGAAAACAAAAGACTATTGAGCCATGTCATACATTCTATCTTATTTAAAAAAAAATGTTCGATTAATGTCACATTTTGACAGCTGTCAAATTAACCGTTTTGGATTTACTGGCAAAAAACAAATTCCGTCATTTTCGGTTTTTCGCTGATATTTTCAAAACCAATTGACCGATCGCAAATCTGAAGCTGGTTGTCTAAAGCACTAAGTTTTCTCTAAAACTTTTACTATTTAACGCTTGCTGTAGGTATAACAGGAGCCGAGATCCCTGTAGGTATATAAAGAAGCGAACTTATTATTTTAAAATATTCCAAATTTCTACCTGGCAGCAGTGACCAAAGTGGTTAGCAGCACTCTATATCCTAAAAGCTGTTGCATGGAAGGCATGTAGAAGCTACCGTCTGGGTATAAATTGACGATTTTTGCCAATTTTTTCATTTTGATGTCGTGGCCGTAGCTGTTACCTACGAAGCGAAATATATCCGTAGTTGGCATCACGTTTAAGAGTCTGTTGGTTATTTCATTGACCGCCGCATTTGACGGAGCACAGGCTAGTATTTTTGATGACGGTTGTGTTTTCCAAAGCTGAAACAAAAATGAGGAGCTTAAAATGGCGTCAATTAGGTTGACTTTGCACTTCCTTAGCAACGCTGTCATCAGTTCATAAAGGGTTATGTTCGGCATAAGTTGGCCTCTTTGAGAAAAAAAGTTAGCTTCGAACATGTATAACAAAAATATTAAGCTGATCGACTTATTGACACAGACTCATACAATTAAAATTTGCAGATTTACCATGGTTTTTGTAAATTTTAGGGCTATTCAGGATTTGGCTCCTTGAGAATATACATATGCTCTCCCTCGCTCTTCAAAAAGTTTTGGCGGCAGTTACGCTTCACACAAAAGTCATCTCTTGTCGATGGATGGCCCTCACCCTTCCCCCGAAAACGGGCCCATATGCACAAGCAACAAGCTTTGTGCATCAGGCGTGAATGACGATAGGTTCACCTCCAGTCGAGCTGTGGAGGCTCGGGAATATTTCTCCACCATTCCAAGTTTGAGGGACAAATGTACAGAGAAATCTATGATCATTTATGAAGTACACCACTGTCAGAAAATTTAGATATACTTTTTTCAGAAATGATCCGGATTCTCTGAACCGATAATAAACGAAGTTTGGGCGTTTCATTTTTTTTTATTTCTTGCCTCTAGCTCCGCCGCCACTGGATCAATTTTCAAAAGCTGTAAAGCTTTTTCGTCCTTGGCATAGTAGTAACCTTGCGTGGAATCTTCATTAAAATCCAACTGGTCCTCTCCAAGTTATAGAGGGGTCAAGGATTAGCAGACATACAAACAGACAGGCAGACCCACGGAAATGAGCGACATGATTTTTTGTGATTTAACACCCAAAAAACATAATATCTCATTTTCGAAATTTTTCGCCATTACACTACTTCCAGGCCAGCGCCGTAGGAAGTAAAACACGTTGTTTGCGCATAGTACAATAGTAGTAGTTACAGCCAATTACCAAAAGGCTACAATCTTCAGAATTGAGGAGACATACTATATTTTTTTAGTTATTCCTGTTGCTTTAGATTGTATGAAGAGAAGTCTTGTCACTATTAGTCTGCACACTATCTTTTGTAGCAGCATGAAGGGCTTTCCGTAAGAATTTGTCTCACAGTATCTGTCTTTCAACAGGGAAGATGCAAAACTCTTATGGAATATATGCGAACAAAATGTTGAGTAGTTAATAAAGTAGTTCGAAGTTACTTGGGACGGAACTTAGTTTATTCTACGAATCAGCATCAGTGACAAGCGTATGCATTGTCCACTTATTTAATCTGACATCTATCACAGCTGCTTTAACAGCTGTTCGCTCTCATTATCATCATAACTGTGCCTCAATTTATACGAGAAAAAAAATATAATTACGATCTCGAAACAGTATGTCCTTCAAATAAACTGACTTTCATTTTTTGGAATACATGAAAATGGGATAGATGCTCTGAATTCGTCCATCCCAGACGTTTGCGAAAGTAGCCCCAGGAGCGTGCATCAACTCTAACGGCTTTATACTGATACTCGACAACCCTAGTCACATCTGGTTTCTAATGCAACACGCTGATTAGATTATTTAAGTCCTTAGCATCACTATCAAACTTAATCAGCCACTTGGTTGTGTAAGCAAGTAATCTACGTTTAACGTAAACTGATTCCTGTGAGTTCTCGCCCAGTAGGGAGCCTTTAATCAACATTATCTTTACAAAGTATAGGCTGGACGGATGACACATTTAGATAATAGTATAATTATTACTTTTCTTTTGTGTCATCTTCATGAAAAATAAGGGGAACGAATTCATTAGCCTTGTTTGGGTCAGTGTAATTCTATCAAAACAAGAGTCAACGCTGGAAATTTCAATAAAAATATATCTTTGCCCACGGAAAATGTTTGTGGCATTTCTTTGATAATCAAGTAGTATCTGCCGCCATATTGTAACACCTGTGGTTTTCATGGTAATAAACCTCCATGTTTGTGTGGGCGCTCAATGTCACCACATGTTTTTACAAAATTATCCTAATTTTTCTTGTTTAAGGTGATGAGATAATAAAAATAGAGGGTTTCCATTTGAAAAAATATACTTTTGATATTTTTAAAAATTTAATCTTTTGTAATTAGTAATTGTCAAACCATAGGATGAAGTAGAAGAACTATACAAAATATTGGACTATTTAAAAAAAGAATTTCATTGTGGATAAAAACAATCCCTAGAAAAAAATCAATGAGTATGGCGAATCGTTGTACTGGCCTCTATGTAAACGCCAGATATAGTCACCAGCTTGTATGAATGTGACGACTATCGTATATTCGTACCATATATTGTGTATTTTTATATTAATTTTGTTTTTACTATATTTTGTTATATTTATGATATACATAACTTTATTATTGGCAAGTTTGAATACTTTTTTAATGTGTGCATCTCAATGATTTGTAAATGTACTATTTCTTGTGGCTTAATATTTTTAACCTTTTCTATTTTTTATTTTCACTTTTTTTATACTTTACAAATAACCAGTGCCATTTCACGTCTCACAAGTTGTTTCGCGAGCGACCATGATGGCAAATGTGACAAAAGATTACACTATTGCCACACACAAGATTTCTCTTTCGTGACAGTACTTTAATTTGTCATTGTTGCTCCTGTTCAGGCATTAATTATATAAATCTGTATTTTTGGTAAAATAAATCATCAGTTCATCAAAGTAGACCCCCTAATACCAGGAAGCAGTTACAAATCGTTCATCAAAGACATTAAATGCACCTGCATTTGTGAAAATTTGATATTTCTCAAAAAGGACGTTATACACGTATATTAAAAGTAGTTAAAATGTTGCATCAAATTCAAAAATAAATTATACAAGATGTTATCTTTAAAATAAGCAAGTTATAGTATCTACTTCCGGGGTACAGTAAACATTTATTTTGTGACATTAGCCTTATGTACTCTTATACCCTTGAATTTCTTATTTTAGTTTGGTGGTTTGAATTTCACCTGTCATATTTATTCCACTTACTTGTAATATGGCCTCTACAACGGTGACAGTCTTTCCTGTTCCAGGTGGTCCAAATATTATGTATGGTACTTTCAAATCATGATTCATTATATTCTCTACTGCAATTTTCTGTTCGTGATTCAAACTTGTGTTGAAATAATATAAGCTACAAAAAGCGAGGAAATGAGGAATAAATAGCTAAAATGAGTTTTACCTCATCTGGCCGATTTTGTCTGATTTTCATTGCCAACCAGGATACAGAAATAGCAAACTACATAAGTACATAATAAGACAGTAACGTAACACACATAAATAGGGGGAGAAAATAGTAGGTTAAAGTTAATTCTATAACACTAGCGGTCCTGAATACTACAGATTTGTCAAACTGGCTCTGGTTTTTAAGATAAGGACTATTAACCGTTTCACTGAAAAATCTAAATGAAATTATCAATACATACTGGAAAAATATTTTTAACAAGCTCCTTTGTGGGAATGAGACACAAATAAAAATATATACATTATTCACACAAATAATTAAAAGACAATTGCAAGAAGTTTTTAGGTAGGTTTTTCTATTACGGTTTTACTCAGGACAACCTTTTATTAAGGTCCAGCAGCAGTCTGTGATCATGTAGCGGTCACGGCGAACTTGGCATCTTTCTTCCATTATCCTGTCCTGGTGGATCGGTTTTTCTTGTTTCTCACTGTAATCGCCCAGGTCATCCGGGAATCTGTCCAAATGGCTATGTAAAAATGCAATTTAATGTTCGTATAAACCGAGAAAATTTCCTTCATCTACTACTTAGATGTGAGCGTCACGCATAGCGTCTCCTATGACGGAATGACTCAACGACATGCATTGTTGGTTGCAGAATGCCAAGTCTGTAGAGTATATCTCTGAGAAGATGTGACAGAAAGATAATTGAGTAGCAGAGTAGTAGATAAGATCGCATCTGGATGATTGTGTGTACTGGTCCACATGTGTATATAATTTTGTATGAGGTACCTGTACCAAATAAGGCCAAGCACCTAACAAGGCCCTGCGAACCTATATAATGTCAAAAAACCTACATGATGACACTTTTTAAGATACGCAATACCTTTATCGTTCTGTGTAAAATAATCGGTATCATGGCTATACTTGTTACTTAGCACAACGATCTATATAGTATGGAACTTAGAGCATGGCGGGCTACTAAAACCTATATATAAAGATGTAATGTAATTTATGTGTGTAATTATTTGAATGAAGAGTATTTTTAGTATGTTATAATGTAGCTAAATAACAATGTTTTTTCAATATAAAGTGAGGTTTTTTTCGATGAAACATTTGCTTCTTTATCTCAAAAACTAGAGCCAATTTAAGAAATCTAATATTTTTTAGTATCCAGCTCAGTAGTCTTACAGGTGGTTTGCACGTTTTGATTGATTTTTTATGCTTTTTTAGTTATTAAGAACCAGAGCTAATCCAAAACAGTGCATGCATACTACGTATGTACAACACTAGAGTTTATAAAAACAATTTTCTATTTTTCTTCACAATGTAATATCAGGAAGTTGCTCTAGTGTTACAAAATATTGTAGGGATAATGTAAGGGTAGCTTTACCACGTAAGGAACAAAATTCACATTAACATAGGTCCGAAAAGTTTGCCTTACATTTCTCTTAAACAGATTGAAATATTGGATTTTGTATACGAAATGTATTATTGATTGGCGCATTAAAAAATAGGCTACTGATTTCTAAAAAAATATTATCCTGAAGCTAGATTGATTCTTTCAGGTTTTCGTCAAAAAAATTAATATTTTACTAACCAGTACATCAATCTGGTCATTGCTATCGTTTTCGTTTTTTTTTTTCAACAAATATAAATGGGAACTCCAACAGTTCTTAAACAGAATCAATATAGCCTACACAGTTACTTTTGAAAAACCGGCACTTTTTTGTAAGTATCTGTGGGATACAATTTGTAGCTAACCACAAGTCTAAACACCACTGTACCATGGAAACTAGGAGATTCCGGACCCACGTAATATGATCCTTTTCCATATTTTTACGTGCAGAATCTACCCTTGAATTTTCTTGACAATATTCTTTAACACGCTATATTCTGTTGTTGGCTGAAAGATGCAGCTAAAAGTTCATACTTATCAGGAATCACGCTCTCCATCTCTTGGCAAGTTGGATAAAAATATGGAATTATTTTATGGTCGTTAGCCAGTGCTAGTGCCTGCTTCTCAACTCGCATAGGTCTTCTGTTGAAACCAAACTCAACAAAGTACTTCTTCTTTGAAATGAAGTTTTGGGCGAATCTGCAAACGAGACCTCTTTTTGGCAATAGTAGAAGAGAAATGGTACACTATATCAAACTTTTGGAATGTAAGAGAGGACAAATGTATCGGCGAAAGCCAAAATACAAAATAATACTGCAGTATATACTTATGTGTTGGTCTACTTCTTTTTCTACCTGGAATTGAATCCAAGATGAACGGCAGTTTCAAGCACCTTGTGGACTATGCCTTCGTACTTCACATTATGAGTCTTTTCTATTTTGACATACACTGAATCATAAGGCAATAAAGACGGCCTTGCCTCTGCTAATCCAGGTACCTATAACAGATAAATTTTTTTAACGCAAACAAAATATTGAATAATAAAACATAAAATAATAAAAAGACTCAAACACTTTGTAGTCAAATTGGGATAATTTTCCTTGGGATCACTTCTATTCTTTGCAGTTAGATAATTTATTTTTTGAATGTCCAATCTATTGTTAACATATTATTCACCTCCAGCCTGTAAAGAAGTGAACCTTTCTTGTATTCATTTGGCACTGCTTCCATTGCAGTGTGCATGTCATACTCACGAATGTCCACCTGCATTTGGTTTTCTTCTACATCCAATATTTTCATCAACATATCTACATAGTTATCTTCTTTTATTGGTGGTTTTATTCTAAGAATACGAGCAAAGTCCTACGATACAAAATTTAAATTATTCAGCAGATAAAGAGAAATATCCGATTTGAAGTCACGGGGATTTAAATAAATAATAATGTTTCAGGTGAGAAAGACTAATAGCAAACTGAAAATACCTATGGTGATAGTTATTAGGTATTAGTAATAGGATATGTTCCTTATTTATTTATGATATTACGCAATATTTAAGTTGTAATAAGCTCCTCTTTGCAGATGATTTGAAATTACTCAGGATTATTGAGTCTAAGGCTAACTGTATTGCCCTTCAGCGGGATATTGATGCTTTAGTAGCTTAGTGTGACGAAAATAATTTATTTCTTAATACGTTTAGGTGTAGTGCAGTAAGCTTTTTGGGGGAAAGGTCTGTTTGTAGATGTAATTATAAGATTGGGGATGTTTACTAATTTGTTATAATTGAATTAAGGATAATAATATATAATAATAAACTTATCACCCAGATAGCTCAAAAGGTGAGTGAAGTGACGTACGATTTTATTGTGAGAAACTGCAAAAACTTCAGCCGCCTAGAATCACTATTGGTTTAGTATTCTGCATATATTAGACCGAAATTGGAATATGTATCGTTAATTTGGAACCCAATATTTACAACCGCAACACCCTCAGAAATGGAGAAGTATTTCCAGTCATCTCCGTCAGGCACGGGAACTCATTGTAGCGCCCAGCGCTAAGGATGGACGTTTCTGCTCATCTCTGGATAGAGCCAACCTAAGATTGCTGGTGGGACTGTTGTCTGGCCATAACATGTCAATGCGCCACCTGACGTAATGGGAGTGGCTGAAGATCCCTTGTGTGAGCGCTGCGGGGTAGAGAAAGAGACCTCGGCGCACGTTCTGTGTCACTGTGAAGCTCTGATGCAGACTATACTGGAGTCCATTATTTTGGACCCTCAGGACGTCAAGGAGCTTGGACTCAAGGACATACTCAACTTCTCTAGAAAGGAGAGGCTTGAGGTCTAAGGAATGTAGCGGTGCATAAGGGCCCGTTTAAGCGGCCCATGCTCTGGCTCCTTATGGTGGCCGGAATGCCTCTAATTTCGTGATTTATTCATTCATTCATACACCTGCTACATTGATTCTCTTGAGCATGGTCAGAGAAAGTTTATCTTTCAAAGTTGACGGTGCATAACCTGAGCAGGGTATATCCGAACGTTTGTTATTGTCTAGGTTTCAAATGCAGTATTTAGAGCTGAGAAGGAAGTGACAGGGCTCGCACAAATTTATTTTTAAAAGCACCCATATATTTATTGTGTGAAACTTTCAATGCCATATCTAATTATTGTGATATACATGCTGATAGTTTAAACAGCATTCTGGGTGTAGCTAGGAATTACTTAAACAATTTATATGTTTTTCACTAGTCTGACTTGAGTGAATTGGATCGATTTTGATTTTATAAAATTACAGTATATTTCAAGGTATAAAGAAAATAATATGTTTGCACTTAGAGGGCAAGCTTTCCAGATCAAATATTTTATGTATATTTAGGCATGGTTTTTGTCCCTAGTACTATTAACTGTATCACGTCTTTCAGTTCCTTATTAGTTTTTCTGAAGATTCATATAACATACTACCTGAGTAGGTGAGTGATGTTAAGAGAGGTCAAATCAGCCGGAAATTTGAACCTCCTGCTTTTATCTCACCTGAAACAGATCGCTGTCTCGAAACTTTTGACATACCCGACGCTTTTAATATGCAACAAATAACAACAGAACTACTCAGCTATACATGCTTAAATCCATTCTGAGTATACACGTAGTTTTCCAGGACGGTTTTTAAAGATCTGGGACTCAAAACCGCGCAGAAAATTTAGTGAACCACGTTAATCAGAATTTGCGATCTAGACGCAAGTTCGACCAATCGAAAAGAATGATTTGCCACCTAGACACAAATTCCAACAGTAATTAAGAAAGTTTTGTGCCCTGCTCGAAACATGCATCACACCTGATGCAATATCTAGATTAATACGACAGGAGTTACTGAGCATTTGATCGAAGACACCAGTGTCAATAAATGAAATATCTTTAATGATCCGTCAACATGTACATTGGGGTTAGCTACAAAAACTTATTTTTTCTCTTTAGAGGTTTGTATCGGGTCAGACAAACTACATCATTGATTTTTGTTCTTGTAGTACAAAATTCTTTTTAATAATGTCTTTGAAGACATAGACATAAATAAAACTACAGAATGCCTACATTATTTAACAAGCATCAGGAACATATTCAATTTGCTTGACTACCAAGCTAACAACCGTGTTTCTTTCCAGCTACAAATTTCTTTCAAGCTACAGTTTGACAAATCTAGCTTGGTTTGCCAAGGTCAGATGCGCGGTAGACACGGCGGAATGTAGTGGGGACACCCCAGTACAAACCAGCAGCGATCGAAGTAGCATCGTGGTACAGCTCCAGTAAAAGTTTTAATTGCGTTAGCTATAGGTTGTTTTAATTTATACTGAAAAATGGAGAGTAAAGTTTCAAATATAGTTGTAAGTGGTCAAAGCCGAGAAATTGTTGCCTCGGTATTGAGATTCATGCAGAATGAGGCTGGAAATGGAGTGGCTGTTCCTTTACTCAGAGTAAATATAATTACGATTACAATATATTACGAATGGCGATTATTACTATGATTATTATTAATATTATTATTATTATTATTGTTATTATTATTGTTATTATTATTGTTATTATTATTATTATTATGCAGATTCGAAAATTTAACCAACAATTAAAAATAAATTACTTTGACTATAGTACTAGTGTATGAAACCAATTCTGATAAGACGTACATCAATCATTGAGGCTGATGATGATAAATGAATGTGTTTGAAGATTCATTCCTGTGAGATATGTGTAAAATTCTCTAAAGGTGCTGATAGTTTGGATAGTGAACTGTTGATCCATTTTAAAATTTTCGAAAATGATAACAGAATCTTTAGGGTTTAAAACCCCACCTGAAGCTTTTTTGTATTATTGTTTTTCAGTTAGAATCAATATTTCTTTCCTTATTTGAGAAATTAAGCTTAGAGCAGGGCATATCTCATAAATTGTGGGACATTGTGAATGACAACATCCTTGTACACAATTTACTGTTTTCTGAAAAGATCTAAACATTAGGCTCAGAAAGAATTGCATCCCAACATGTTTTCCTTAAAGTTCTAGTGAAATACCAAATTCGGATGTCTTTTATAAATTTCTCTCAGTGTAGTTGGTAAGCGAAGTTGGGGTTGTCTATGAAGGAATATGTAGCCTTTCATCGTATTAAATGGAATAACCCAAATTGGCACGCTGTAGCTGAACTTGCCGCGTCGACCGTACTTCTATATATCCGTCGGCTATTACCGTCTCTCTCAGACATCTACCGTCTCACTCTGTTTTCTGTGCATCTCGCGGCTCAAGCTGGATTTGCCGACCTGCACTTTTATGTTTATCGCCTGTTTAGAGCTAAAATTGACCTGCTTTATCGCAACACTAAGCCATTGATACCGCTCGCATCCTCTACTGGACGGTGGCAAAGTAGGGGTGGTGTAGTCGTTCCACTGTACAGAAGAGAACGCCAGCGGTATCACTGAATTCCTGTTGCGATAAGTCAGTCTAAATACGGGTTCAGCATGAAAGGGAAATTGAATATTTACACGATGTTTGTTGCGTCTGTAATTTTACTTGAATCTTAAAAAAAATATTAGGCAGGTTTTTGTACAGCAAGGACAAAAATCAATGATTTAGTTTGAATGACATGCAAGGTTATTACGTAAGAACCCTAGATAATGTCAAAAAGAACCGAGAATTTGCTGACTAGACAGAAGCTAGCTAAGACTTTATTTTAAAAAATATATTCATTTACCTTCAAAGCTACATCACAAAAAATTAGGAATTACACATCTAGTTCACGTTTCATAAATATTCCTGTCTGTAGACTATTTTCTCACCTGTTAGTTGTAATATACTTCACCAACCCGGGATTTGCTTATTTCATCTCACGCAATTTTGAAATTCAGCAAATTTGCATATGTAATTTTTAGAATGCAGTAAGAGTGGCTGCAAAACTAATTTCTAGCTTTGCATACCTACATCTCAAGTAAGACTATCTATATGAGGCAATGAACCAAGGCAATTATCATCGACGCACATTTCCACCTATTACTAGCGGTGGAAGAAAATGGCACCTATTACTACTTGTAGTATACAACTTACATCTTAGACCTCCAATAATACCATATCTGAAGCAGCTACACAACGAGTGCACGTCAAGTGAACAACACTAGTTCCAAGTTGATATATTATAGGAAAACCTGCATAATGTCAAAAAACGAGATAATGTCACTTTTAAATATATGGAATACCCCTGAAGATAGAATAGATTTTTATAGTTAACCTCACTGGAGATATTGATGGATTGAAAAGAAATATCCTTTTTTTTTAATTATCGCTCCTAGGTAAGTAGCGACACCGTTGTTTTTAATAAAATTCTCAGTAATTGCTGTCATATCAATCTAGATATTATATCCGGTTTGTTCCATGTTTCGAGCAGAACACGAAACATTCCTTTTGATTGGTCGAACTTGCGAATCCTTCTTTTGGTTGATGGAAATTTTGACCTAGTCGTAAATTTTGTGACCGGGATCAAATGAAGAAAAAGCCTTTGGTAGCTTAACTAGGTGATATATGAAGTATTTCTTTATTTAATATGAGAATTAGTCTTACTCAAATCTATAATTTTTCTATAGTTTGAGAGATATTTTACCAGAAATCGACTAAATTTATTAGATCCAAAACTTCAATAGCACGAATTAGTAAAATCGACCATTAGTGATTTGACTTTTAGCAACTTGTATTTTTGACTGTAGATTCCATACCAAGTTCAGTTTACTTTATCTTACTAAGGCCGTATAATTATTTCTAAACTAGGAATCCAGCGGTAGAGGCTTACATTCACAATAATTATGATGAAACCAGATACTTACCTTGTAAAAAATACTGTTAGCAGCATTTCGTTCTATAAAGCTCGGATAATTCTCAATAATTCCACGTAATTGCTTTTCTCTTTGTTTGCTTATTTTGAAAAAACGTAATGGCAACGTTTCTTTATACTTAGACAGGTATCTTGAAAAATATATTAATAATTACACAGAATCAAGGTAAGGCTTCAAAGTAGTTGAGCTAATAATGTGCAAAACGTGTTAAGGCGATTTTGAATGCTTTTTGCACAGTAATTATTAGTGGTCGCGTGATTTTAGAGTTAAGCCTCGAGAGCGGGTTGCACTGGTTGGGTTTCTGCGATTTTTAGTAGCATGGTTTTGAAATATTGCATATCAAAAGGTTTGCTCATTAATTTTGGCCGCTTTAGATTGTCCATATTTTTAAATATTCGTTTATGTATATAGTTATTCAGATTTATAATATACCATCTCATAGACAGCAACAAACCGAACAAAAAAGTCCATAATTTACTGAAATACAGGGTGTTCAAATTCATTTCTTCTAATACTGATATATTTAATTGCTGTTAAATTACGACGAAAGGACAGTAGGTAATATTTGTAGAATGGAAAGTGAATCAGAAACTAAAAAACTTCCTACAAGTTCTAAAACGTTTCATTATCAAGATACGTGGTGTTGTAATTTCTACGGCTCTGATGGGACTGTATAAGGACAGAACATGGATACAGCTTGGATAACGCTATTGTGAGATAGGATCACTCTCCTAATACACTACTACTACACCAAAAGGAGTAGACTGACAAAAATGTTTCAAGAGTAAAGTAAGAGTAAAATTGAATATACCTGTATAATTCAAATATTTAATAGATGCTTCAGTGGGGTAGAAAATAATTTTCAATTTCTTCTGTAGTGGCCAAAATTTCCTAATCTCTACGCCACTGTAGGTACTAGTTTCTGGAATGGACTTTTTGTTATATGGTGGCTACGCTATCAATGCAACATGTACAGAATATTAACTCGATATCTTAATGCAACCCGAAGATATACATTTTGTTTATTGATTTCTCAGTTAGAACTTCAATACCCTGTATGTGGTAAACGGTTTTTTTGGATCTATTTTTATAGAGCTTTTCGTACTGCTATTTATACCCTAGATATATTGTTACTGTTTTCTGAATTGTCCTGTCTTTCTTAATTTTTGTTTGAATTTGTATTAACTGTTGTTTGTTATAATGGAAAGCGTCCAATTTTGATGAATAATCGTTTTTAATTAACCTTCTAGCAACGCAATCGGAAAGGTTCCGAAAACCCATTAACTGGAACCGGATTCCGAGGCTATAGGAGTTTATATGGGAACTGAATTCATCTATGGTGGAGCTATGAACTCTTACGTTCTATTCTGAACTGAATCAAATGCAAACTGTGCTGGAGAAATATAGATAAATACTAACGGCTCAGGTTTCTTTCCAGGAATAATCTCCTCATCTCCAAGAATAACGTGGTCATTATCAGGTTTTGCATTTTGCCTAGTATTGATAACACCTTCCGATTTCAAGACACTATATTCAGAGGTCACCTCAAATATCTAAAAAATCGTTAATGAATATAAAGAAAAATAGTGCAGCACTTAATGATATGTACAAGAGTTGCGTATGGAGGTATTGGCATATATGTTAGTTGAATTATTCTTCCGGCAATAATTTGCTGTTGGAAGAACTACTTCAACTTTCCAAAGATAAAATTAGTTCATAAAAGCTGTACGATCTTGGATAACTAAGCAAACATCTAACTATATTATAGTATCTGTCGATAGTGCGATCCTATTACGCTGGTTTGTATGCGAGAATATTCTTTAGCATATCATCTCTGTTTTGACTTAGATCCCAGTAGTAAATGAACACTTTTGGTTCAACAGAAATATTAATATGAATGAACATTTGGATTAAGGTTACTAAAATATTGTTCTTTACCCTACCGAAAAGTCGCGGATCTAGTGGTGGTCAGAGACGGAAAAATATTTAAAAACATTTGATTCCTGCTTTATTTATTACGGTCATTTAAATATTAAATTAAATATTATATGTAGAGAGTAGTTTTCACTACAGTTTGGTAGCTTGATGCATAAGCTACAAAAGCTGAATATACGATGTTTTCATTTCTATTTCCGTTTACGATTTCGACGTGATTTTATTGAAATTGCTCCGTAAAATTCTATTCGTGAAAATGTGTATTCCAAAGTTAGCCAATTAGTTATTTGAAGCGCTAATTTAGAGCGTAGGTCTTTTCAAAATGATCTTAGCGATCAACTTTGGTAGATTTTTATTTTCTATTTATTGTTATTGAATAATTATACTGGAGGACTAAGACTTCTTTTTTGGTAAAAACCGTGATACTTTTTAACTGATCACAGTTTCCTGTGATAATTTGTGGTTATCCTCAATGGATTTCGAGGATTCATATTTTATGTGCGGCACAAGTAACAATAGAAATAATCCGCAAGTACACAAAAACAACACGCGGGCTAGAGTTACAAACGGTGCTTCGGTAATGCAGTACGATAAATGCTTTTAATAAATACTAACCATCCCCTCGATGGTTCACTGACAGGATCCTTGCCTTTCAGCCTCAATATACTCTTGTACTTTTTTTAGTTCAGTGTGAACTTATGCTAAATAGGTATAGTAGTTCCAGAGGTATGTACCTTATATACCATATGTTAATATCGTCCAAGTATTATATATTTTCGTTCAAATTTTATATGCATCACGCAAAATCTGCTCAGCCTAGGACTGCCTGGGGGTAGGCATTTCTGCTCCCCAAAAAGGACGTCCAGCCCCCCGAACAACAAACAAGCATAAAGTTATCTGTCGTTTTTCCAAATGTACCAGATACGTCACCCTTGTTCATCGTCCGGAAGATGCCAAAAGTCCTCAAAAAAAAAAAAGAAAACCCTCCCAGTACTGTTATGGAAGGTTCAACAACAAACCATGAGAAAATACCTGGATAAAAGACTCATGATCCATTAGTTTGGTTGTATATCAACTAGATCTTTCCTTAAAGGATATGAAACCAAATTGACTAATTCCTTTACCCTGATTTTGTTATTGTTATCCTCCCATTTTGCCCTATGTCCTGTTTTCCATACATGTCCGCTCAGTGCTGATTATAATGGTTCTACCTTTGTTATATAAGCTTTATTTAGTTCTATATTCAACAGGTTTTGATGTTTCACCTATATAGCATTTACCGCTGTCATAGTCTATTTTATATATTGAACATTTTGTGTCTGTATTTTCATTAGTAGGTTTTGCGTGGTACAGTAGGAATATTAGTGTGTTAGTTGAATTCAAGGCAGTTCTTATATTAGTTTCTCTGAAAACACCTCGAAGTCTTTCGGATAGACCTCTCTCGTATGGTATAGTGAGTGGGTGGCGGCTGCATTGGGGGTATAGATGGAAAGTTAGGTCTTTGAATTTGAGATTCAACAATTTTTTAAGGATAAGTCGAGAGAGCAGCACACAAAACATGTGAGCTCGGTCTTATCTGGGTCTTGTACAGGGTGAGGAGGTTATGTGAAGGGAAGTACCACTTAGTCCTAACCAAATAGCCTAGCCTTTTTCCAGCAGCTGCCGCGATTGATGAGATGCGCTTCAACCAAATAAAGATCTCGGTGACGGTGAACTGTGCTCCGACAAGCCGAAATGAACGGCTCTTTGGTATAAGTCGGTCATTCGTCGAAATCGGATGAGCGCTAGGGCACTTCTTGTTAGTCAAGGTACAGGTATTTTGGAATCATTAAACAGTACCAGATTGTTGCGACCCAAACAGTGATGACCTCCAGAGAGGGAGTCGCTGCTGGTCTTCTTTTTTCCAGCTCACCGGCAGAGATCAGCTTGGCATATAACCCGTCAGCCACCCCTCTGCAAAGCATCTGTAGAATAGGCGTTGGCATGCCATGCATACTGCCCCTCGCTGGTCAGGCCGTGATATTCAAGGTACTCCAGAAGCTTCAGATTTATTCACCTCTCCTTCGCCTTACTTATAACAGAAAGCAGAGATATACATATGTAGGTCTGTACTTGTGAGAATCGGTATCGTAGATCCTTTTCTTGGGACGGGCTGGATATGCGCTAATTTTAAGTTTTCTGGACAAGACGGAAAATAATTAGGGCAAGCTACGCTGCACATTCCGTGCAACAGCAGGAATCAAGTCCGGACCAGAAGTTCGGGCGTTCGAGGACATGTTACATGTTCATAGTATAGTTGGCAGCGAAGGTATTGGGTTGCAAACATCCTGGTATGTAAACGCTGGAACGCTACTCTTTGAGAAGTTCCCCTCAATCTGCTTGGCCAGCATCCAGAATACTGCCATTGCACTGCGACATCACCCTGTGCATAAATTTTGCATTGTGCTCCACTTTGTCATTGAGAATCGCTGTTTCTGAAGTCGGCATAAACTTGTGTATTCTGTCGACGAGCATTGTCGCACGATTCGTTGAACCAGCTGTCAAATAATGATGTAAGCATAAGTCCACCGAAAAGTTCGCAAAATGACACAATTTTCATTACACCAGGGTTTCGAGGGTCATATCAAGGACACTGTCTAGAAAAACCGAACAAGAGAGGAGAACCGCGTGTCATTTAGGTTTTTGTGGTTGATGAGCCAGAATCACAGGCGAGTCACTATCTATGGGGGCATCTGAATGTCATTTCAAGGTCACCTCATGGACTAATTCAAGATAAGTCTAGGATTTGAGACCAGGCGCGTGTTAGATAAGTGTTGTACATAAGAAGGTATTTGAATACCACTAGAAGAATAAATTCAAAAAGGTACCCAACCACCTGCAATAATATAGCAGATTATAAGGTTATATTTCTCAGTAGTTTGCAAAAACTGACACTAGATTTTATCTGGTTCACAAACATAATTTATACCAATTGAGGCAAAGGGCGAAACCTCATTATAAACCACTTTCAGGAATAGTAATATAAAGAAGTGAAGCTAAAAATAGTAATCAATTCAACTCACGATGTACACAAAAATGACAACAACGACTGTTTTGTATTCCATCAAATAGAAGTTCACATACTTTTTATTATGATCCACTCCACAGCCAGATGTTCAAATATGTTCAACTCACATAACACAACAGGTGACTCGGAAGTTCTCCAAGTTTGCCGTTAAAAAGTAGTTTTGAATGATACACCAAAAGCTTCAAGTTTGATAGTCTGCCATGGTGAAGGTAATGTGGGTAAAGTTTTGTCCAAATTATTGTTTAAGGACAATGAGAAATAGCTTTCGTTCATGACTTATACTTTGTTTTCTAAATTTCTGTCAGCTATGGAGCGGGGGCAGATGTGTGGGAAAAGGAACCTCACAACAGCCGAATGTTGTTTCTCAAATTGAAGTTCACCTCGTAGTTCCGAATCTAAGACGGTCGGTCGAGCGTAAATTGGACTTGACCAAGAAAAGCATGTAGTGATGATGTGACTGCAGATAGTGGTGAACAGCATCAGTCTTGCTGCTAGTCCCACAGATGTTCCGCCAAAGAATCTAATTTCAATGATCCAAATCAAAATCTTCCATATTAAGATGGTTGTTAGGTACACTTTGTGTTCCCTTACCGGTCTGGTATTACGCCAAAGTTGCAGTCTTCAAAAAAGTACAAACTTTACAAAAATGCATTCATTTCTAAACCAAATATATGTATGACATACTTACAATGTTCTTCAAGATATTACTGTTTGTCGTCACTACGACGAGTGGCATTGAAAAATCGGAACTGTTCCGAAAACTCAATTTGAACTTAATTGAGATGCTCTCCTTGTTGTGAACGACTTGTTCTGAAATGTAATGTGCATCCATTTCAACACCACTTAGAAATGGATTTATTTGTACCACTTCTTTGATGTATAACGTTTTTCCTAGAACAACGAGTTTGTGAGTCATAATCATTTTAAAACTCATGAAAATGAAATATCGGACTGTCTGATATTCTTTTTGAAATATAAAGCTTAAAGCAGCAGATTTTCGGCATCTCTCTCGTTAAATCACACACAATATTTGTTGTATTGATTGAACACCTGGCGCAATAGTTCAATAATACGCTAATAGGAGGTCATGTAAATTTGTCATACTAGGCTTAAGTGGACCGCAGGCCACGCAGCATGACGTTTAATTTTCATATTTTAAGAATTTAGTAAAACGAGGGGGAATTATTGTAATATTGTATACTACACTTGCTTAGACAATTTCACCAAAAATGTTATTCAAGTTATTCAAAACAATTGTAGACGTTTCATCTTTGTCTTACGTAAATTTGATCATCTATCAGCGAAATATCCCGTTCTAAACTGGTTAAAAATTAGTGACTTGGTCAAGTCTCACTATTTAGTTTTTGTTCGCAAGTTGCTGCTCACGTCAAAATTCTATTACTTGAGGGAAAAAACTTCATTTAATAAAGGAGTTCACTGTAGAACTCTCAGAGAAAATTATATTAGAATACACCAACGTACGCACTTATTAAACGCAGTTTTTCCTACAATGTTGCTATTATTTATAATGACCTTCCTAAAGTATATAAATAATTTTCATTACCAGTCTTTCGACAAAAAGTTAAAACAATATCACTCAACCCTACAAATATATAATTTTCGTAATCAAGCATTCCTTTTTCATCCCTTCTTTAATTCAGGTTAATAATTGTTGGTGTACCTACTTGGGTTTGGAAAGTATGCCTTTTTTGTTTTTTATTTTTTACTTTCGATCTAATGAAACAAATCAGTTTGTGACTAGTGTATAATTTTTAACATCTGCTAGCGACTATAGAAAGTGGTTTCCTAAATTGCATATATCGATTACTTGATCTTAGAATTAGTGTTGCTACTTCTATGTTTTTCGTGTCAAGTAAAAAACCAGTGAATTCTGGATGATGTTCTCAGTCGAAGTAAGCATTGTTTTGGAAGGAACAATTCCTTTTAATGTCGATAATTACCTGATCTATTCGTAAAAAGGAGTGTAGCCTCCACTGGATGTTTGGTTTTTGTCCTTATCGTTATTGTATTTTGTTGCGCAGATATTTCTTCAGATGGATAGAAAGATAGATCTTCACCTTCAGCACGATGATTTTGGATTTTCATTGATAAAATGTCTTCTGTAGAGTCAAACACAGTTCTGCAAATCCAAGAAGGGATGAAACATTTTTCGACATATTAATGTATTTCTGATCAGACAAAGAATGCAAGAGAAGAATTGGAGATGGGTGCCGCATATAAGTGCGTCGGTATCTTCTGAAAAGTTCCTTCTGATTAAGTCAATTATTTGCTCCTGTTGGGTATTTCACACCAACCAAGGTCAGCTTCAGAGTTTTGTGCGCCCTGGTGCAAAGCATAAAATATGCTCTCTAGCCCTACATTGATTGAGAACGACTGCGGATCCAGCCTTTCTCGAAAGCTCTTTTCAGACTTTAAAACACTTTAATAGCCTACATCGGGTAGAATGCTTTTTGAGCGTGCAATATTTCCAGTGAACATATTTCGAATTCAACTCAAGAACTCTATTTGAGGTGCAATGTTTAACAACATCGTTACTTCCTGTCCGCAGTCTTTGTCTTGCATTATCTCGCTGATAAGATAATTGATACGTATTTCAACTAATTCACTGATGTCTCAATCAACAAGTTTCTTTGAAACTAAACTCCTGTTGGTAGCTACATGGGCACCCGCAGGGGTTAGTGGCAGGGGATCCGTGCCCCCCTCTTGGAATCCGGTTGGACCTTAAAATGTGAATACTTCATCATCATTATTTTGCACACAATTTTGAGAATTTGATGACTTGATCCCCACTGGGAAAACTTACTACCTACCGCTCTTCAACAAGTTTTGGGGCAGGTACACTTTCACAAAAAGCTATCTCTTACCGATCATCGGTCCCCTGATAAAAGTTCCTGCGAGTGTACCATGGGCATCTATGAAAATTCCATCAGGTAAATAATATCTCATGGAACAATTACTGCTGATCATTCAGAGATTAAAAATAACAATTCAATCACAATAAAAGTGTTATATTAAAGCCAAAAAACATATATATTTGTTTGGGGCGCATGCATCGGTTGTAACATGTGGCGCAATAACATGCCATATATAATGCCGTATCCATGATACTATACAAAATGAATCTTTTTGATAGGCCATTAATTAAACTACAACCAGTAAATGAAGTAAAGTATTCAATCCAAAGCAAATAACCTGATTTTAGCTTGAAAAGGATGCACAAGACATGGAATATTACGAGTAGCCATTTTTAAAATGTTACCAAGGCAGATTTGTCGACCAAAAGAAATATGTTAGAACATAGAGGAAATGTAGCTTTATCTATAAAGAATCCACTTCCGTGCCGTGATTCAAAACAACTTCAAGCAGAAATGGAGTAGTAATCTTCATGGTCTTCTAAGCGTGACAATTTACAGTATAACTTCGATAATCCAGACACATTTCATACCAAGTAGCACCGGATTACCGAGGGATCCGGATAACTGGAATCAGTTTTTTTATAATTTTTTTATATCTCATATTCTTTTCTAATTATAAATAAGTCGTTATTTATACATAAAAAAACGTTTTATTCAAATTTAAATTAAACAGAAATAATAAGAACTTAAATACACATCGCTAAGTACACATATGAATGAAATAATTTATATAGCACATATGTAGTAAACAAATCAGACATGTAAATTTAAGTGGCCTTAAAAAAAATATCTTTTTTTTCTGAACAGTCTTGGAGGTAGCTGCGTCAACTGCTTTCTCTTTCACCTTTTTTATTCAAGAGCAAAATTTCGTGCCTTTACAGCATTGACGTGTTTTACTTTAACCACAATATTCTCATCGTCCGTGTCTAAAGATTCGTTGTTTTCCGCATCCTTAGTTTTTAATGCATCACCTAATTGCTCCTCTTCAGTTAGATCGATAAAAACTTCTTTTTTGCCTAATGCCCATTCAACAATTTCTTCCACCTTTAAGACATTTTCTGGATATACAATGCGCAAGGAATCTGTAATGGTACTAAAATGTTCCTTGTTTAATGGACAAAGTTGCCGTTGAAGTTTAGCGCGTGAAATGTTTTCTTCATCAGACTCCTCTTCATGTGCATCCTTTCCTTGGTTCGCCCAAAATGTTCCCAAACTTTTTTTGGATTTTTTTTTTAGATATGGATTTCCAAGCAATATCTAGATTAAAAACTGCGTCTTTTAAATTGAACTGCTTCAAAACTGTGACTAAATCGTTACCCTCATGAGCGATAATATGATTTACTAACCGTTTCCTGTAGGTTACTTGTGTTTTGGATTAAATTTTGATCCACTGGCTGTAAAACCGCTGTGCAGTTGGAAAAACTCTAATGTTAGGAGGGAATTTTATTTCTGTTTCAGGCGGATGGAAAGGAGCTTTATCTATAAGTAACAAAGCTTTATGTGGTCTGTTGACTTAGGATAAAACATTTTTGACGTCGGGTAAAACAAGTCTTAAACCAGTTCTTCACGGACTTCTTAACGTAAAGTGATACATGTCGTCAAAACCGTTAACTCGCAAAGCATGGTTTTGACAAGTTTAATCAGGTCTAATCAGGTGTGTATATCTGTCCGGACTGCAGAGGCAAAATATCCGGACACCAGGGATCACCGGATTACTGGAGTGTCCGAGTCAGCGAGTGTCCGAACTACTGAAGTTGTACTGTAATGTGTTTTTTTTATTACTCCATATTTTGGCCATTATTTGGCCTATCAATTGGTTTAACAACATGTATTTAGGATAATCGATTCTCAGATTTTTGATAAAAATTGAAGGAGTCTACCTAACTTGACATACCAGTTATGTACAAAAATAGTTAAAATACCATACCTTCTCAGAAAATCTATACTCACTTATCTTTAACATATTGCAGACGGATTTGGTGATCAGTTCTCTTCAAGTGGATATCACGTTGACTACTTGAAGTGAAATTGAAATCGCATAACATGCAGTACTTCTTGTTTACGTAATTTGATTCTGAGAATGTGTTTTCCACTTCCCTCACTGTAAGAATGAATATTGAGCTGGAAATTTTTATCCGCAAGCATCAGATAGCGATTACTCGAAATGCCAATGTTACAATGTAATAGACAATGATTCTGAAACTTTTTCTCCGTGGAACACCGGTGTTTCTGGTTATACCGGAAGTAAATATCAAGTAATTATTTGAGATGGTGCAACCTGTATAGTATTTGAGTTTATTTTACGTGTGGACTCCTATATCAATAGAAATATAACCCATTTGAAATTTTCTTGATCTTTTAACGCTGACATTTCGCAAAATATTCCTCCAGCTCTTTGTTGATAACCGGGCCAATAGACATACACGTATACAATCCAATGCGTCTTGAAATTTCAGGAATATGAGTCCTCAGATAATTTTATGTAGAAAAGCTTACATGAACAAAATATGTCCGCACGGCTTAATTTCTTTATTACGGGGTGTTATTAGCACATTACAAAAGAATGTAAAATGGCAACTTTAAGCACGAACGCTTATTCCATTGATCCACAGTGACCTCCATGAAGACACGTTATGTGATATCTTTACAAAAAAAATTGGTAGTCTACTGATATTTTGTATGTAACTATTTTTTCTGGTAAGTTCGATCTGTTCTACACAAAAATGCACTCTTGCTTTTCCTCGTCAGATGATTAAAATAATGGTAAATATTGAAACTCATTATCTATTAAAACTAAATAAATGACATTGACAAAAGTGTACATTCATTTTTATGAAAACCTCCACTTAATATGCCTGCTTCTGCGCTTCGAACTGAATTGCGCACTCTCGAATATTCTTGGCATATTTCGTATTGCTTGATATGTGACAATAATGCCCTGCTGAATATAGTAGAGTTTTCGGTTTTAGGTAACCCCATTAAAAATAGTCAAAACTATTTAGGTAGAGATATCTTGGTGGCCATTGCTGAGATCCTCCGCGACCGATCCAGTGATTATGGTAAATTACTTATTTAAATAATCTCGAGCAGCAACACTAAAATAATGAGGCTATCCAACCTGCATAAACCACATACATATTAATCTTTCTTCATAAAATTGTTTGGGGAATCATATACTGGACTATTAGCACATCATTAGGGAGCCTCTGAACTGACTGACTTTTTTCCAATAACTTTGAGTTATATTTGTAAAATGACGTTTTCCATCACTTTTCAATACATTTCGGGAGGAATATATTTTGAATAGCTTCCCGAGCGTTGTTCTTCAACTGATGCAAAAACTTGGCAATATTTATAGGACAGAGATTATATCAAAAAATAACAGAAGAAGTGTCTATAAATATAGCTTCTAAAATGTCCTGTTACCAACTTACAGGGTGTCGTATTAAAAAGGACAAAACTCCACACAATTTTCAATATTAAATTTCACTAACTTCAGCTTATTTCCAAAGTATAATTGGTTGAATGAGGATTTTTATATAGATCTTACCTCAAGTATTCTAAACAGTTTTTCTCCAAATATGCTAGTCTGAGAGAGGTAATTCATATTAAATCATAACTTATTCAAAAATGCAACAGGTCTCACAAGAATATTTTTAATATATTTAGCAGGGGTCCAAATTTATCAGTCTCTACGCCGCTGGGATAGCCTCAGGCCTTAACAGTTTTCTGTGTTTTCGATATGATATCAGTACTATATGCTCAACTTCTACTTCAGTATCCCAACTCAGTCTTAAGATTATATTTCTCAAGTATAATGTATTAAAACTTTGGGATATCACGTCTATTGTCATTCTTCATTGTTTCATACATTTATTATCTTCTTGTTTGTGTAAACTAGCGTCCTTGACATATTGGTATATTTAGCTTCATTTTTACTTTACTTTACACATATAAAGGGTGTTCCAGAAATAACACGCCAGAGTGACGTTAGTAAAAGTTTTCTAGTTTTCGAGTTTCCTCCCGTGTGACTCTGGCGTGTTATTTCTGGGTCACCCTGTAGATACTGTCATCAATCTATATTCCACAAGTCCTGGAGAAGACGTCAAATAAACGTGGAAATGCCCTCTTTTTGGGAAAGATGCATCTCTGGACACCTTGTTCATTTTATCCCAAAAAAACTAGGAACACGTTTGAGCTACTAGGATAAGAACTAACTTTAGTTGTTTGATGATACATGAAAACCATGATCTGCCTTTAAAATATTACTTGAAGTAAGTTCATGTCACCTTTATCTGTTTGGCTCAAGTAATTGACCCATTGCTGATCGAAATAGATATACTTCTTGCTGTATCTACTGATGTACCAATAATACCACAGATGTAACAGGAAGTCTTCAAAGCTGCATTTAGTTTTCTTCTTTGCGTATTCAGTTCCGTAAAATGCCTGTACTACTTTAAGTTTGGCCGTGTAGTTGTGAATTTTCTTGCAGCGGATGAGATCTATGACAAAATCCTCTGAAATAAAAATGTATTTGATATAACTAAATTTAATCTACTAAAAATTGCTACGAATGTTTTTGTTCTCATAAGCAAGCAAATTATATTACTCATAAATCAAATCATAGATTCTTGAATAATGAATACTTGTCTACTATGAAGTGTTTCATGATATGACCGATTCAAATTCGACAGATTACACAGTACAGATACAACTTTTTGCATTCGACTAACATGACATTTATATCTTTATATTTGTCCAACCCTGCTCCTGGCTCTTGTTCTTAGCAGACTTTTCAGAAATAAAATCAAACACGTACATACGAGTATACAAAAAAACGCGAACGCAGTAACTGGAAAAAATCAAGTTTCAATTGTGGGGCAGTTCAAATGTCAAAATCCATCAAACCGTTGGGGCTGTAGCCCGTGAAAGATGTTTGATTTTATAAAATGTTCATATATATACTAAGTGACATATAAATCCGAACACCCAGTTTAAATGGTTTTATTTTAATAAAAGTTGGTGAATGTATTTATCTTACTGTAAATAACAAGTGAAAAAATTTTCAGCCTTATCAGTTGGACATTCCGGTTTTTATACTGCTTTTTTTTAATTCACTAACGCTCTAAAAATGAATATTTCAGCCGCAGTAAAGAATCAACGTTGGCGGATTTTGGTTCTTGACATCCTTTACCATCGGTTACGATGCCTAGAGTACGGAGACCTGTACGATTTCGTCAACTTAGTGAGTTTGATAGGGGCCGTATAGTGGGACTTCGGGAAGCTGGACTTTCTTTTCAGGCAATTGCAGTTAGAGTGCAAAGAAGTGTAGACACTGTGGTTAGGTGTTGTCAGGCATGGCTTCGAGAAAGCCGTACGCAAAGAGCAAAGGGCACTGGACGCCGCCGTAGAACAAAAGACCGTGAAGATCGCCGCCTAAGATTATTGGCCTTAAGGGACCGTTTCTCCACTACCAGGTCCATTGCAAATGAATGGTTTGCAGAACACGGAAGACCTATTGGCATGCGAAGTGTTTACCGACGAATGAGAAGTTTTGGCTTGTTTTCATACCGGCCACACTGGGTCCTCCCTTTAACTCGAGAACACCGACGTTATCGCCTTCAGTGGTGCAGACAACGGTCACTCTGGGATCAGGAATGGAACAGTATTGTCTTTAGTGACGAGTCTCGATTTTGTTTAGGCATGCACGATGGTCGTGCCAGGGTTAGAAGGCGACGTGGTGAAAGGAGGAATCCACAGTTTTTTGTTGAAAGACATGTTCATCACACTGTTGGAGTTATGGTTTGGGGTGCTATAGCTTATGGTTCCAGGTCACCTTTAATCTTCATCAGAGGTAACGTGAACGCGCAGCGTTATATCCACGAAGTTCTAGAACCCCGTCTTTTACCCTATCTTGACACCCTGGCAGATCCAACTTTCCAAAAGGATAATGCCCGACCACATGTTGCAAGAGTCACAATAGACTTCTTTCAACATAATGATGTCACAGTGTTACCATGGCCACCAAAATTTCCCGACTTATCCCCAATTGAGCACGTGTGGGATATGATGGGTAGGAGATTGCTCAATTTGCAACGTCCTCCTCAGACTCTAGAAGCACTTCGAGAGGAGTTGGTGGTTGCCTGGAATGAGATACCACAGGAGGACATTGATCAGAAGCATGCCTAGGCGCGTTGGAGAATGCGTAGCACATCAGGGTGCATCCACACATTATTAAAGGTCAAAGGGCTTTAAAGCAGTGCAATTATTTTGAAATTTTTATCATTTACTTATTATGCTTCATTAAGTACTTATACAAAATTTTATTAAAATAAAACCATTTAAACTGGGTGTTCGGATTTATATGTCACTTAGTATATATCCAATGTCAATTGCGCTGCTTAGACAAATTTAACATCACCCCATATATCAAAATCCATCACGCCGTTTGGTCTGTAATGCTTAAATTTGGATGAGAAAAGTCAATTACACCCTTCTGTGCTCATTCGTCACACTTCGAATTCGGTTGGCCTTCAAGCTCTTATACTTTGAATGTTCGAAGATGTACCAAAGAAGACCTTTGGATCAACGTGAACGTCTTGACGTAGGTACTTTTTCAGAATGTCGAATGTATAACCCCCTAATTTGTACCCGTTTACGTATATTAACAAGAGACTATAAAAATTACGTGTCATGTTGTTTTCTATGAACATAAATATATTCACAACTTGTAATCAAAGATTCTATATAGTCTAATGGTGGTGAAAGATGGAGCCACTGAGTGTTACGAAGATATATGTTGTATTAGCTGTGGTATTAGTAATATCATGTCACAAACTAAGATGGTGATCTGAATGCATATAGAATTCAAAAATATAGCTCCTCAAATATTCTCATAGGGATCTCCCCTGCGGAGATACAGGGCACTAACAGATGCTACTGGAACTTTTTTTTAAAAATACGTTTTGAACGACGCTTTATATTATAACGAAATTATACAGCATAGTAATCAACTTCTTGCGAAGTCTTTTAGGTTCCTACAATTGTAAGACGCCTTTATGGCCTCCTTGATTTTCTTTCAGCTAGAGGCTGGGGTTTTTCTAGATTTCTACTGTACAGTTTCAGCGTTTGATGCAAATAGATATTAGTAACATAACCTCACAATTGAGCGCTCATACAGACTAGCAGAAATCTAAAAGGGCAGGAAAAATATGAGGGCCATTAAGGTTTCCTACAATTATTGAAGGAACGACTTATGATGCATCCCTTAGCAATAGAGTTATCATAACACAAATATTATCATAAAATTTGGACTCGGGGAATCACAGAAGAGTTCACTGCATAATATATGGTTATCTCAGTTGAAGTAGAATATGATATCATGCTTTGATCATTTATCTCAATCACATGAATGTTTTCGGTTAGTTGTATTAATATCTTGTAAGTAATATATATGAGCAGTGAAAGGAAATTATCAAATTATATTTGCAGGAAAATTTGATGAGCGTAATAAAAAGTGCTTTTCATATTCTATGATATTTTGATCCTTGCTAGAACTATTTTTAGTTATCTACAATTTATTTTTGTAGCTTCACTTTAAGAGCTCCGACAGATCGATGATTTAGACCTTTAGAGATAAGGGCTAAGTTATAAGTTGATACAGCTTTTCATCTTAAGGAGCAGCGATCGCCTGTCCATTTTTGTTTATAACGTCTCCACGATTTGGGTGAAATTGAAATGCATTTATATGTATTAAAGTCCTTGCATTGCGATTTTGCACTTGTGATAATAGAGTTTGGTGAATTGATTCGGTATTTCCCACATTACTGACATTGGAACAAGCAATGGCATTGATATTACTACGTTTATATGAACATGTCAGTCCTATCAAGCATATTACTGTTGAAATATATCGTATGCATAAAACACCGGCAAAAAAAGATTTACCTCTAAACCACGCTTCAGTTATAATAAAACATATTGGAACGTAAATCTAAATGAAGCAAAACACTTACCTAAAATTTGCAACTCATCACCCATGCCTGAAAAATGTATAACTAAGACAACCACAACTCAATGAAAAATTTTACGTGTAGACTATCACTGTTTCAAATATGTAATAAACACGACTAAGCCAGCGGACGCTGGCACTGAGTTAAAAATAGTATCGGCTGTTGGAAAATCCCCCAAGTGTATGCAGTATGCAGGTTTCAATACAATAGTGATATCAAGCAAGCTGAGCGTATGTGCATGTAGTAATCAAAAGGAAGATAGCCATTATCTACTTCTATGCATCGATTTTGATGAATAAGATATATTATCTCATTTACATGTCTACAGTATACTGAGGTATTTTTTCAAGGTTAACATCTTTTAATATCCTGTAAGAAAATCATATATTTTTACACATCTAGTAAGTAAAAATTGGATACCATACAATATAGTTCAGGCGACAATGTCTTAGATTGTCGCTTGGTAGCAGAAATAGTCTAGGTGTTTCCCGTTACACACCAGCGTTAAAAAGTCGCGCGGAAAAAATACGCATGTTCAGCACTAAATTGATGTAGATGGAACAGGACTGGTATTCTTATTCTTTAGGTTGAAAGCGATACGGTTTCAAAACGCTTAGCGGATCATGACGTTCGGCAAAAGCGTTAAGCGTCTGGTTTAGGTATTCACGACACTGTGCAAACAATGCCAGTTGCAATTCGACAAGCCGATCTCTGCCGGTGATCTGAAAAAAAGAAGACTAACTGCGACTTCCTCTCAAAGCAGAGACCTGGAGGTTATCACTGCTTGGAGACGCAACAATCTTGTACAGTTTAATGCTTCCAAAACACAGTACTGTACCTTGACGAACAAAAAGCGTCCTAGCATCCGATTTAGATGGATGGCCGAGTACTGCCAAAGAGCCGTTCATTTCGGCTGGCCGAAGTCCAGAACACCGAGGCCTTAATCTGGCACAAGCATTTTCTTAAGGCTAAGAAGTACTTTTCTCCGCATGACCTCCTCACTATAAAAGGCCCAGATAAGCCACGAGTATTCCTCACACGTTTGGGGTGCTGCCGCCCCGACTACTTTATGCTCCATCTGTCCGGAGGAGGGCTATTCGACTGACCGAGACCTTTTCGCACCAGCGGGCCGTCGGCGATCTAACTCTCTTTTCTACCGCTTCACCAACGAGCTCTGCCCTCAGAGCTCTCCACCATGATGCCGCCGCGCAATGTGCCTGCTATACCGGCCTGCCTGACTAAGGCCTCCCATTCTGATAGTGTGGAACTTCATACATCCAAAACTGGCCGTTACGACCGCTCCTTTATCCCGAGGGTGTTGAGATTGTGGAACAATCAACAAGACGAAGCTTTTCCCAGTTCTATACCAACCTTAGGCGGTTCAAAACTCGGATTTTCAAAATTTGTTTGGGATGGCCGTATCCTGGCATGTAGGCTTCTTGCTGCGCGGCTGCTTCGGTATAGAAGAAACCTCCGATTTTTTTTCCAAAAATGATCAGGATCCTCTGGAACGTCAAAAAACGTAGTTCGAGCGATTTTTACTCATCTCGTATTAAGCCATTTGCTCTGTCGTCACTAAACCGATTTGCAAAAACTACAAAGCTATTGCGTCTTTGGCAACATTGTGTACAAATTTCATCGAAATCAGAGCAGTTCTTCTCAATTTAGAGGCGGTTATAAGATTAGCGGACAGACCGACAAACCGACAGACTGACACATACAATATCCAAAAAACATACACAATCGCGTTTTCAAAAATTTTCGCGATTACAATTCTTCCCCGGCAGTTGGTGGGGGAAGTAAAAGCATAAGTGCTTAATTACTATTCTACATGTATATACTTTTTGTCAGCTGTGCAAGTATGAATAGTTCATTAGTGTTACTTACTTTTGCTCGATTACTTATCACGTGCGATCTACATATAAGTATTTATTTCAAATTTTACATATCCTGCTTTATTAGACGGTGTAGTCTTACCATTTCTTTTACAAATTCCGAGAATTTAAAGGTGTCATTGACCTCGAATCTACTATATGCCTCTCCAAGTTTTCAATATTTCCAATGAAATGAACGCTAGTAAATAGTTTGTGGAATTCATGCAAAAACTCCACAGCATCTTATCAATAACACCGAGAATCCTAGATATAAATAATAACTCAGACAGTGATATGCAAAACACTAACCACTTTGTAGTGGTTTTGAAGTCGACAAGCGATTTTCAAAAACGCTAAGCGTAAGACAAAGGGGCATACATACCATATTTTCTCAAGCACATCGAAAACTAGTGCAAATTACTTCATATTTGCTGAGCGACTTCAAATGCTTTGCGTGTTGAAGAACCAGAGTGCCAGCCCAGGGGCCTGATTCTAAATAAATTTCGACTGTTGAAATTAATTTCGGTGTCCCGTTCCCGTCATACCATTAAACCGCTATGATAATTTTGGTTGGTATCGCGAAACTAGCCGCCGTCTTAATTGTATTGCAATGACGGTAATGCGTGTGTGGGTAGATGAAGGTAGAGGAACACGAAGAGACCACTGGTCTATCGAGGCATACCACAGACGTCAAGATAGGCACTTGAGACAACTAGCCCTAGGAGACCATTGTCGCCAACGTTTGAAGTGGAGCAGAGAACGGCAACTTAGGAGGCAGAATAGCATGCCATCTTCAGCGACGAATCGCAATTCTGTCTAGGTTCTGTCGATATTTTCATCGGTTCTTAAAGGCCTTCCGCTTCGTGGTTCAACTTTGATCGACTTCTGAAAATGCCTTAAACCACCGAAAAACACTATCGCCGTAGGCCTTAAGCAAAACCTGATAGCACACATCACAATACAATAGAAAAAATTGTTTCACAAAGAAATCGCTACGAACAACCAACTGACTCGAGCAAATTCGAACTTGTACTGAAGGCGGATCCAGTGATGCCAACATTTTCCGCAAACATATCTGTAGGTCGTAGGGCATGTTCATATTTTTTTGCTATAATTTATTGCTATTGCCTTAATATGGATGATGACTAATGAATATAAAAGAGGAAAAGGTGAAATACTCTTTAAATGAATTATAATAATAATAATGATAATAATAAATCGTCTTTATTTAGGGGGCGAAGTTTAGCATAATGCTACTCTGCCACTTAACCCCCCCCAAAAAAAGAAAAACTGAAAAACAATACAAAAAATATAATTTTAGTCATTAAAGTAACAAAGTTATGGCCCTTTAGAAGTTTGAGTACCGCCCTGTCTCAATAATAATATTATGTGCTCGTGTTTGGGAACAACGGATATAATCCGCGTTATCGGTTCATCGCATCGGAAACAAAAAAGCGAAAGAGTTTGAAACGCTTATCACGATGTTTTTACTACAATTTTATTCAGTTGTATTCAGTCAATGCGTCAGTCGGTAACGCGTGAGTGAATAGTGGTGTTTGTTGCGTGGCTCAAACGAAATAAAAATTGGCACATGTTTACGAAAATGCTGAACTTGTGGACATGATTCTTATTTACGGGGGGGGGGGAGTTTTTACAAAATGCTGCCGCGGCATCACGGATTTATGCGGATCGGTTTTCCAATCAAGTACAACCAACCCCTCGTGCCTTTGTTAATGTAGTACAAAGGGCTCGTGAATCAGGTGACTTAAGACCTCACAGGGGAGGGCATGTCGGTGCTCCAAGACCGCACGATCAAATACAGGTCCGCACTGAAATACTTGTCGGGAGGATACTTTATAAAACAAGGTAACATTTTTTTTTGATTTTTTCTTTATTTTTACACACATATTTTGGTTTATCTTCCTTCTACAATCATTATCTGAAAATTAATGACTCAACTTCAAAGTGAAGGCTATTCAATATTTCATGAGTTAAAAGTATAAAATTGTAACAGACATACAAAACAAAGTAATGCTATATTGGTGACAGCTGCAAGACATATACGATTCCCATATTTATAACCAAGATGCACAACAAAAAAATGTTAAATTCAAACCGTGAAATACTGAACATCCTTTATTGAATGCGAATACTGTATCCTGCGTCAATTAATCTCCATATAAGTTGTGACAGCAGGGGGTTCTACCTTCTAACCTAGATACGTCATAACAGAAATCTCATATCCTGACCGTGAGACTTTCGCTACTAGCACAGGTGGCATTGCATAGATTTGTGGCAGAAATGCCAAACATTCTTTGTTGGAAGTTGTCTTGGAATACTATACAGTTCTCAAATTCTGATCGTGAGAGCTTCATGACTAGCGCAAATTGTGATCAAGAGATTTGCGATGGAAATGCCAAACATTCTTTGTTGAAAGTTTTCTTAAAATACTATACAGTGCCTTTATTTAAGCACTTACAATATATAGCATGACAGCTTGGGGTACCACGTGCTATATATAGGAGCAGGAGCATACATGGAAATACTAAATTCTCTTTATAGATAGTTTTCTGGGAATAGTGAACCGTAATAAAAAGTCCCTTCTTTCACCAGTCATTCCTATTTTGTCTTGTGTGGATGTTGTCGAATTAATTCGGACTAGTATTATGAGAATACCTAAACGTCCTATCGAGCTTGCCCGGCCATGCTATATATACCACAGTGAGGTGACTTTCTGTCGCAGGCATTGTATGGGGCAAGCCTCACCCCATTCAGGTGGTTGACAATTCACAATTCGAATTTATGGTAGTTATCATTGTTAGTGTATACAATTCGTACGTTGTGTATCTTCAGCTTAACAATGGTATCGAGCACATCTATATCTTTGATGAGCTTTCAAGAAGAATCTATCGTTATCCTTAACGTGAAATTTGAAAATTTCCAGAAGGTTGCGCGCATCCGTTTTTCCCACACTATATTTGATACCTTGGCGATACCTTTCCAGAAACTTAACGTAATGAAACGTAACTCAATTTCTCTTAGTTTTTCTTAGTAATGATGTCATTTCCGCGCATTCATGTATTTATCATGCGTTGATGTTCTCCAATGAAATAAAAACAACTCAATATGTCAGGTATTTATTTAATAATAATGCATGGTATAATCCTATAGTAACCTAAATAGATGGTGTTCAATCCTCATACACGAGTTTATATTTGAGTATAATTGCCGGAGGTAAATACCTTGCAATTTCACTCAGAAATGATCTAAGGTTATAGTTAATCATATCATTACAAAACTGGTCAATAGTACAATCTTCTTGTAGGTACTGCGTGCACAACTTCTGCCCTTCCTCGTATTTACGAGCTAGTCTCCTGATCCTTTCAACCTCGTTATCATCCCAACAAATATTCATATCGTAGTTTGTTGAATGTTCGGCGTCAAGCATCAAATCCGTTAACTGGCACACTAATCTCATGATAGCTGTACGTAGATCCTTTGAAGCAGGCCAACGCAATGAAGCATAATGCATCCACATCTTGTCAAACCAGAGGGGGTGTACTGCTTCTGGAAAGATCAATGTAATGCTCAATATCAAGTGGAACATGATATTTGTCAAAACAAATTTGCCTGCTGCATTTTCCTAAACCAGTTCTGATTTGAACCTTTATATTATTTATACCAAACATCAAACATATTAGCCTATACTACCTCATATCTTTGAACTAATTCGGATTATGGTGGAGGGATGACAAAATTGAAGTGGGAAAAGAGCGCTGCTGTTCGTTCGCCCGGTCGATGAGTTATAGTGGTGAGGGGTGACGGGGGAGGGGGTGTATCAGTTAACCACACCTTCCTTCCGACTCATTTTTGTTATACAACACGTTCTTGATAGGGGACCGAACTGCTGAGAAGTTTTACAATTTGCATGGTCATTGAGAGGACTCAGAACTCAAACACCGGGAGGTTTTTGAACTGGCAAAGAGTGCCACACTACTTCGGACATAAGTTATAATGAACTTTTTTGCTTAGAATAATGCAAGGAATCACCTCTTAAAGTTACGAATATTATTTTCCTAACACCTTGAATACAAAGTGTGGAGTGAGCGCATCGGCATTATCATTTGTGAACCAAGTAAGCATTGAGCAAGTTTGTAAATGCGCGGGTGTCATAATTGAATCACAAGTTAGCAAAGTCGTGTTTTTAGTGCATTCTCTACGCCCAAATAATGGTTTTATTTTAAACTCACACATTTTTGAATTGAGAATTGCGTCGAATCTGTTTAAGATCGACTCAGGATCAGCGCTTCATTTTAGGTTGAAATGAAAGGTCAGGATCGCCACAAATTGCATCATTGGTTCGTTTGATAGCACCACAATTTGTACATTTCAAGGCAAATTTTTCACCTTCATGATCATAGCTGAGCGATTTTGGTCAGTACAAATCTGCTCTCATTGGTGCATGTCGTCCTTCGAAATTGTTTTCACCTGCGTACACGCAGGCAGTAATTTGGATTAACCGCTCGCTGCCGCAAAATGTAACAATAACTTAGGATGTGTTTATTTCATCGCATCAAAATTTAAATAAATAATTCTAATAAAATGAAAACAAAATATTAAATTAAATTTCTGGACAGACCTTCTGCTTGGGTTTGACAGTAACCTAACCTATTGTAGAAGCCTGTGCGAACATTTTCTGATATAACATATTGGAAAAGCGGCAGATTGCACGAACTTCTGCGACACCGTCACTAGGCAATCTGCTGACGACCTTAGCTCTTCAGCCGGCTTCTATCTCATTATAAAATGTGTTGATACACACCTCTCGCGCTTCTCTCTCATACAGATACCGTCTGACAAATTTGATTTTCCCTGTATAATGCATGTTTGATGTTTTAATGTGAGTTGAGTCGCCTCAACCACTTTCGAAACACGGAGTCCTACCTTGAAAGAGGCTGACGCACCATGAGGAAATGTGTATTTAAAATGTTCAAAAGAATGTATGGAAGGTATTCGTCCAACTCATCAAGGAATTTCTGTTGACGAGTTCATGTTCTAAATGAATTGGTGTGAATATTCTCTAATTTTGTTTTTAAGTAATAAATGATTCATGATCATTTTTGTTTCACTATTACCGACCAAATTAGACCCAGAGCACCTGCTTTGTTTCAAAAGCCTTTGCAATTTTTTTGCTTTAATGCGTAGCTTTCGCGATACAGCTTGCTGATAGTTTAACGATGAGGGGATTGCGGGAGAAAGGGAGCGCATACCTGCATTCCTGCATACTGGTGGCTTCTCACTACGCGTGCTACTACGCGTCGCGCCGCTCCACGCGCAAGAACACGCCACGCGACACGCCGCGCCACCCGTTTGTGCGGCGCGGCGCGGCGCGTGCCTTCTGGCTTTACACCTCAGTTTGATTCAGTCTGTTTAGCGCAGCGCACTATGTCTTGTGAGTCGAATTGCCACCTCCAGCCATGGAGCAATGCCACTGAAGAAGAAGGCATGGCTGTTGCATCAGCCGTTTTTGTCTTATTTTGCCTTCATACAAAGTTAAAAATTCGGCGATCGTTTCATTCGGCCACTCCATATTCACCACAGTACCTCAACGTAGGACGAGTCAAAATGAAATGAACGAGTTCAATCGTGTTCGTCTGTCTGGGTAGGTACACGCCGCGCCGCGCCTTTGAAGTTACCGACTTTTAGCGGATAGGTCGCGCCACGCCGCGCCTGCCCGCGCCAAGCTCTTCACACTGCGCGAGGCGCGTGCCGGCGCGGCGTGGCGCGGGTCAACACGCGCAGTGAGAAGCCGGCATACCACCAAACTGCCGCCGTACCGTCCACCGGGGTTGCCAGGTTTCCAGTCACATTGGTCGCAAAGTTTTGATGAGGAAATCGCCAGAAAATAGGCATCAACCATAAAACGTCGGATTAGGTTAGGCATAATAATAATATTATATGGTAATAAACAATTCCTTGAAAAGGGAGAGGGGGTGAGGATGGGGGGTTGTTAGAAACGTGTAGTCTGGACGATACTATAAGGCCGGCTCCACACGTTGGCACCAACGTAGGTCGGTTAAGTTGGTGAAGTGTCCACACGTTGGCTATTATACTAGTTCCTTTCTGTCAGAGCCAATGTGAAGATGTCCGACACCGAAACCGAAATTGCTCTAAGCGCTTTTACAGTACTGATGAGTGCGTATAATTTATATTTCTTTTTGGCCAGTAGTTGACAATATAAATCTACCTCATCCACTTCAACGCGCGGTCGATCTGAGATATTTTTAAGGACATTTACAGCTGTCTCCATTTGAGCTCGTACTTCAGAAATTTCAGATTCTCTGCGTTTTTCAACTGATGGTGTGGAAGTATCGCCAGCTGACAAATTATTTTGAGTGCTGTCCTCGTCAGGAAACTTCATACTCTAAAATCAAAACACCACAGGTTAATTTTCATATGTTTTTTTCTGTTTCAGATGCCTCAAAATGATCAGGGATGGCTTGAAGTTGCTAGAGGCTTTGAAACAAAATGGAAATGTCCACATTGTTTGGGTGCTATAGATGGCAAACACATAAAAATAGAGTCACCAATTAATAGTGGATCAGAGTTCTATAACTATAAACACAATTTCAGTATAATATTGCTAGCAGTAGCTGACTTTTACTTTGCCGACGTAGGAACACATGGACGAATGAATGACGCTGGAGTTTTTAATGATACCATAACAAAATATATGGTTCCAATTCCAATTTTCCGGAAGACACTTCTCTATACCTGACCGACATCTTCCTGTGCCCTATGTTTTTGTGCCAGATGGAGCTTTTGGATTATCTAGAAGAATCATGAAACCGTTTTTTAAAAAACACCGAGCACTCTCGACGGATGTATATGCCAGAGGGTAACATATATAATGTTTTACAAGAGCAACAATTAAGGTCCTTAGATCAAATACCAATAAGAGAAACCGAAAATGCAAGAGAAATAAGAAATGAATTCGCATCATACCTTTACTCACATTGAATAAACTATGTACCAAAGCAATTTGTCATAATCTAATGACTTTGTTTATGATTGTGTAAATAAATAAAAGTAATAATTAATTGATGCTTAACTGACCTCTGTATTAATCGTGTATGTATCTGTTTTATCATAAATCGGAGCAAGAAAGATGTCCATTAGATCATAGGCGAACCAATTCGGTTTAAAAATATCATCCACCGATGACCCAGAACGAGTAGAGTCCAAAATTTTCTTTCGATATAGGCGATATGTGCTCATCAATGAGCGTTTCTCTTTCTTTTTCAATTCCTCAATAGAATAAATCATTTTCATATTCTGTTGAATATTGCGCCATGCATCGGCTACTAAATATTTATTTTTATGGTCCTTGCGACTGGCGTTCCATATTATTGGATGCGCCTGGTATAACTCTAAAAATTCTAAAACTTTTTCGTTTGTCCAGCGATTTTGTTGATGACATATCTCCACATACGCACTCGACGCGTGTTACAAGACTGAGCCAGTGAGCCAATATGTGGACGGATCGCCAACGTTGGCGCAGATTCCTTTGAATAAAACCGACAATCGACAGCCAACTACCAAAGCTCGCTCCAATGTTGGGGCCAACGCTATTTTCTAGATACACACGTTGGGCGAGTGGCGTTGGGGCCAACGTGTGGAGCCGGCGTAAGTTCATTCAGATGGGGCGGATCCATTGTGCTTAGAGCACAGAACTTCCGCTGGTCCTCGTTTCATGTTTCATTAATCAATACAATTACTTTTTTACAATGCTATACCTCGATCCACAAAATTGCTATAATATGATGAACTTAAAAGATATATGAATAAATTTATTTTGAATACATAGTATATAAAGTATTGTGACAAATTGTACTGTTGGTGCCATCTTTTGGGCGAGTCTCCTACTCGCCAGAATTTCATGTCCGATCTCTGTGAGAAAACAAACTCATGGAAAATTGTGCCGATCTTTTAGAAAACTCAGTCAAGTTAGAAAATAGGCTCGTGGAAAATTGTGCCAACCTAGAAGGAAAACTCTTGGAGTTACACGAAAGTACAGCCAAATTAGAAGAGAAGCTTTTGGAAAATACTGCCAATTTAAAAAAAGAATTGGAAGATAAAATTATGGAAAAATCTTGCGAGCTGGAAAAATGGATTGTTACTCTGGAGGACAGAATTTAAGAAGTGTAAGGCAAGTTTGTTGCTTTGGACGTCAAGACCATCGACGAACGACAGCGTGGACTTGTGTTGGTAAAATCAAGTGAGGTTGGAGCTTCTGTTTGATCAGCCGCCGCCGTAATTTGATGGTACAACGCCTTGAAATGTCTACCGACGTCAGTTTGAGGCAGCCGCGAATGCAAATGGTGGGTCATCGACCGAAAAGGCAACTGCACTCACTTTGGTCCTACGAGGAGATGCTACAGCTATTCTTCAAAGAATATCACCAGGAGAGCAAGACGTCTACGAACAACTAGTAGCACATTTGGAGATGCGATATGGCCAGTCACATTTAGAACATGTCTACCATACTCAACTAAACAATCGGTTCCAGAAGTCAGGCGAGTCCTTGCAGGAGTTTGAAGCGGATATTGAGCTATTGGAACGACTAGCATATCCCAATGTTCAGGGAAGGATAATGGAGCGATTGGCAGTTCAAGCATTCCTTGATGGTGAAATGAGGCAAGCCTTACTACTGGCACATCTACCTAAGCTAGTAGACGCGCTAACTGGAGCCTTAGAATTTGAAGCCGCTAAAAACACAAATAAAAGCCAGGTTCGAGTCCGCCAGATGGTACCAGGAGATAACGAGTTAGAAGAGTCCGTCAAGCGCATTTTTAAGGAACTTGATGGTAAATGTCGCCGCCAGAACATCAGGTTGGAATGTTGGAAATGTGGAAAAATAGGGCACGTTAGGAGACGCTGTCCTGAAGGTGCTAGTCCTCATCCGGCCAATCCGGAAAACTAAGGGAGGTCGATGTGAAGGGGCTGTCGTGGACCGGTAAACAATAAGCCCCATCAGTGAATACCGTCCAAGCCTCTTGCTTAAACATCAGTTTAATAATGTTTTTGTCGATGCTTTTGTGGATGGGACTCTCCACACCGTACTGCCGGATACAGGTGCGACAAAGACCATCATAAGGCCCGACATGAAAGCATCGGCAAAGATTCGACCATCCAAATGGCGACTACGAACGGCGACGGGAGACCGAGCAAACGTGTACGGTGAAGTAAACATCACATTTGGAATAGGAAAAGCTACATCGAGCATCCGGCGATAGTAGCTGCTATTGAGGACGAGGTAATCATCGGAATGGACATCATGGACACAAAGGGCTCCGAGTTGAACTTTAAGCAAGGAATTTTGAGAATCAACAATAAGGAGGTCATATGACACCAGGAAAGGAATGAAAACGTACGAGTTCTATTGCCTGAAGATGCAGTGATCCCAGAAAGAAGCGAAGTTGTATTGAATGGCTCGATAGTGGGCCAGAATACAGACGGAGAAATAGTAGTTTGAACCCAGAATGCATGACGAGGCTATTGGCCGAGGGATAGTCGTTGCAAAGGCCCTTGTGCGTGCCGCAAAAACTATTTCTGTGATACTACTGAATGTCAGTCATTACCCTGTGTCGTTGAAGAAGGGTTCGGAGCTGGAACACTGCTGTCCAGTTTCTACAATCATTCGAAATATGCCAGCTGTGGAGAACTCAGGGGTCATTCCTAGGGAACTGGAAGAACTGATTTCGTCACCAAGCAGAGATCTAAGACCAGACCAAAGAAAGAAACTGAAACATCTAATACATATATCCATCCGGCTGATGGCAAGAAGGCTTCCACATGCTAAAAGGGAGAAGGCTGACAAGATCATAGAAAGTATGGCCCACGAAGGAATCATTGAACCGTCCAACAATCCATGGGCCTCACCGGTAGTTTTGGTTAAAAAGAAAGATGGTTCAACCAGATTTTGTGTGGACTACCGAATGTTAAACAACGTGGATACCCCAAGTGGATCAAAAATGTTTTCCACCCTAGACCTAAAAAGCGGATACTGGCAGGTAGAATTGGCCCCTGAAGATCGGGAGAAGACAGCATTCACGGTGGGCACCGGATTATGGCAGTTTAATGTGATGCTATTCGGCCTGTGCAATGCTCCTGCCACCTTTGAAGGGCTGATGGACACGATTCTAAGAGGACTATCCTGGAAAACGTGCGTGATGGTTTACCTTGATGACATTATCGTGGTGGGACAATCATTTGGGGACCACACGAAGAACCTAGGGGAAGTTTTCTTAAGACTACGAGGTTCTGGCTTGAATTTTTTTTTGTGAGGGGGGAATGCGTTTATGCACCATACCATAGCCCGAGCTACGGCGTGTGTGGGACTCCAGGATGTCTTGAGGAGACCACCTAATATCCACTAAACCCTAACCTCCGCGTGGCCCGACTCATCAGCGTCTTCGTAAGGCCATGTGTTGTGCGTGACCTGCGATCTGCTTGAAATTGAGCCCAAAGAAATGCCACCTGTTTCAAAGAGCTGTGCAGTAGCTTGGCCATGTTGTTACCGGTCGGGTAGTCGTGGTCAACAAGGAGAAAATCCAGACTGTAAAAGAATTGCCACTTCCGAAGGACAAACGTGAGTTACGCAGCTTCCTAGAATTGTGTACGTATTACCGACGTTACGTGGAAGGATTTGCTAACACCAAATAACCATTGAACAGGCTGACCGAACGGGAACGCAAATTCCAATGGGATCAGGATTTCCAACAAGCTTTTACCCACTTGAAAGAAGCTTTAACAAGCGCCCCTATACTCAGCTATCCTATGCCAGAAGGAAAGTTTGTGTTAGACACTGGTGCTAGCAATGTGGATATAGGTGCTGTATTATCCCAAGTCCAGGAAGGCAAAGAAGGGAAGGCCATTGGATATATTAGCAAAACACTGTCCAAACCAGAGCGTAACTATTGCGTTACCCGGAGGGAGTTGCTGGCCGTTGTAAAGGCAATGGACCATTTCTACGAATACCTCTATGGCAGAAAATTCTTACTCCCGACCGACCACGCAGCTTTAAAATGGCTTCTCCAGTTTAAGAATCCAGAGGGTCAAGTTGCAAGATGGATAGAGAGGCTGCAAGAGTTTGACTCCGACATCGAACATCGAGCGGGAAAAATCCATGGAAATGCAGATGCCTTATCGAGGAGACCATGTTTAGAGGATTGTAAGCATTGCCAGCGGGCAGAGGAGAAAGACGCCCAAGTATTAAGAACCACCATCGTTAGTGATACTTGGCAAAATGAAGACTTCACTAAAGATCAAGAGGGCGACCCCAAATAATTCTACACTGGATGAAAGAAAAACTGAAAGCCTGGGAAGATGTTGCCAAGTATTCCCCTACCATAAAATCATATTGGGCACAATGAAAGTATTTCGTTTTGGGCGACGGACTCTTACTGCGTAAAATAGTGAACCACGACGGCAAAGAGGAAAGAAGACAAATCGTTACCCCCAAATCTCGAATCCCGGAGCTGCTAGAAGAAATCCATTCCGCTGGGTCAGGAGGTCATCCCGGAGTTACAAAAACTCTGGGAAAAGTGAGGGAAATATTTTACTGGGTCAATAGAAAGGAGGACGTGAAATACTGGTGCAGGAAATGCGTTGTGTGTGCGGCAACTAATAGACCGCAAAGGAAACCAAAAGCTTCGATGCGCCAATACAACGTGGAGAGCCCCTTTGAAAGGATTGCTATTGATGTGGCGGGACCCTTTCCAGAAAGTGAAGCAGGAAATAAATACGTCGTTGTGGTAATGGATTACTTCAGCAAGTGGGTTGAGGCTCTGCCAAATCAGGAAGCCTCTACGGTATCCGATGCTTTAGTATAGGAATGGATCTGTCGATTTGGTGTACCTTCAAAGTTGCATTCGGACCAAGGGCGCAATTTCGAGTCAAATATGTTCCAAAGTATCTGTCAAATCTTTGGGATTAAGAAGACCAGGACTACTGCCTTACACCCGCAGTCAGATGGAATGGTGGAGCGCATGAATAGGACCATTAACCGGTATCTGGCTAAGGTAGTCTCTAGTCATAAAGGCTGTCCACCAGGAACTGATACTGCCGGAGAAGACTACGTAAGTGAGCTGCGTAGAAGAATGGACGCCATCCATAGCCAGGTTCGTGTTTCAATTCAAGGTGCCAGCGACCGGATGAAGGAAGCTTATGACGTTAATGCCAAAGACCAGAGGTATGGCAACGGTGATACGGGTTGGCTTTACGACCCAAAGAGGCGAAAAGGGCTGGCGCCTAAACTTCAATCATCCTGGGATGGGCCATATAAAGTTCTGGAAGCCATCAACGATGTTCTCTACAGGATTCAGAAGGCACCACGCGGTAAAACCCGAATTGTTCATTTCAACCGCCTTGCGCCTTATCGTGGAAATAACGAAGATGCGGCGGTGCGGCAAATCCAACCAGAACCGGACATGACACTTGACCAACTTATGGCTCACCATGCTAATGGCCATAAGAGTCGGTATAGCGTGACATGTGAAGTACAGCAAGATCTGTTTACCACGTCATCAGAGTATGCCCTGGCAGACTGTGTGCACTTGTGAATGTCGAGAGGTATAGCAAAGGCCTTTCTTAGGAAGTTTGGAAGAGTGCACGAGCTGCGACAATCTAACCCGGAAGTCGGAGAAGTACTCCAGATAACCGAAGAGGGTACAAACCGAAAGATCTTCTATCTGGTTACCAAGAAAGCTTCGTATCAGAAACCGAATTACGAATATGTTTGGAACGCTTTGTGTTCGCTTAGACAAGTCTTGCTTGCCGAGTACCTGAGAAAACCGTCAATACCTAAGCTGGCATGTGGACTGGAGAACCTGAACTGGAGAATCAACCGAAGCATACTTGGGGTAGTCTTCCGGTATACAGGCATTCGATTTCTGGTATGTTGTCACAGGCCTTGACGGCTACCTCCTGGAAAGAGTGTGGATTGTTACTTCTTCAAGTACTCCTACTGCAAGAGAGGGCCGTCGTGCCGATATCGACATCCACCGCCAGTAAGGTCATTCCGCGACGGAATGTCTTTAGGGAGGGGGCAGTGTGACAAATAGTGCTGTTGGCGCCATCTGTTGGACGAGTCTCCTACTCGCCAGAGCCAGTGCATTTCTTTTTGTGGAATCCAGTGTTTTAATCCACACCCAAAAGAACCCAGAAAAATGCTACAGTATATAAATTGGTTGATAAAATTTATCTGTCACCTCACACAAAAATATATCCAATATAGCATTCCTTTGTTTGTATACAATTTTATACTTTTAACTCATGAAATATTGAATAGCCTTCACTTATATGTGTTATATATATCATATTTTTTATACACCTAAGTATATTTATAAACTTGTAACCTATCAAATGTACATATTTATATTTCTTGTATTGTTTTTCAGTATTTATTTTTTTTGTTAAGTGGCAGAGTAGCATTATGCTAAACTTCGCCCGCCCAGATAAAGACGGTTTATTATTATTATATCGGCAAAAATAGATTACACATTAAGTGGCGACAGGAATGCTAAAAATCGCCAGATATCGTCAATTTTCTGGATACTGGGAGCCACGGGCGGCTGACCCTTAAGTTCTGCAGAGCTGCAGAACTGCCAAAACTTTTGTCTTGTCAGAAAAAAGCAGTAGTAATTTGCTCATTATTTATTTTCCATGTTATCACACAAATAGAAACAATACGTCTTCGCGACCGCAGCGTACCATTATTCATGGGCCACTCGAAAAGGGTCTGTGCACTACTTCGACACAAGCCGCACGCGCTTGCTTTTGTCTCTCTGTACAAAATCAAATGCGCGATTTAAGCATACGATATCTGATTGTTTGGTCGGTGCTCGGTCCTCGGTATTGGCATATTGGTCTTGTCGCGCGACGTGGCTTAAAATTTTTTATTCTGGTATTTTGGGTCTTACGTTGAGTGACTAGTGACTCACTGACTGATTGTGGCTGTCTAGAAGGGTAGTGCAAGACAATGGATGTGGTTTACAGACTTTGAAGAAAAAATTGAGCTGAAGGTGTCAGGTCGACCGCTGCCGGATATATTTATAGAAACACAGGGCGTTAGTCGGGGCAAGGGCTATACGCGGCATTTCAGCAGGGAGATTTACACTTTGGAGAATTCTGTGGTAAGTTTCCTGATGACAAGTTGGAAACTACCTGCTAGGCTTATCCCGAATTAGAAAAAAGTCATTTAAAGACAGAGTTGTCTGTTATTTATGCACGGAATGATTGCCGAGATTTACATGGAACTCTGTCTCTTTTGAAATTTTTGATACAAAATAGTTTGGAGGAAACACTAAAAGAAACAAAAAAGCTATTAGAAATTATTGTTACAACTCCTATGTCAACATCAGAGGCTGAGCGAAATTTCTCAACATTGAAAAGAATTAAGACTTTTCTTTGTAATACTATGACCTAGGATCGCCTTACAGCGTTGTCGATGCTGTCCGTTGAAAAGGAATTTATTCCGACCATAGAAAATTTCAACGGGAAGGTGATCGACAAATTTGCTGCCAAGAAGCAGCGCAAGATCGAACTGACATAAAAAATAGGTAAGTTCGGATTTGCAGAGCACCTGTTTTATTTTGCCACGAGCCGCCACTGCTGGGAGCCACTAAATTAGCCGATTGCCAAGCTATCAATTTTAGTCGCCATTTGAAGTTGTCAGCTCGCTACTTTTTCAAAAACTCGCCACGCCTGGCAGCCGTGCCGTGCCGTCCATGAGTTTACGACACAGACGATCTCTTACTACATGGTGGGGGTTATTCAGTAATAGTCCAGTTGAATTTTGAACCCTGAGCTCGCTTGTCAATTTGGTGTTCACCGACTTTTCCGAATGAACTAATTTTTGAAGTTTATGCGTTTAAGTGGAGTAATTTCTCTTCAGCTGCTTGTCGATTGACTGGATAAGTGAGGTAAGTGTGTATACATTTTAGAATTGAAGTTAAATATTTTTTCCATATATTTATTTCATTGGAGAAAAGAAATTATGGACAAACCATTTATCGGAAGATGCAACAATTTTCGATTTTGGTAGGATGACAATTTTTTTATTATGTTTCTGTTCAATTAACTCAAGTCTGAAATGTACACGCACATAGTCCTTTCACTCATCCAGTCAATCGGTAAGCGGCTGAAGAGAAATTACTGTATCTTGTACTCTACTTAAACGCATGAATTTCAAAAAATCATTAATGGCCTATCACTGAGAGTGAGACACTGATGGCGTCCAAATATTAAAAAGAGGATCGTTTACGTCAACGGTGTGGCGGTTGGTGATATGTGTACGACGTCCTTGACCTCGCAACCCGCAAGCCCCTCGCGCATAAGCGCGGAAACTAAAAAAAATGCTGAGACCTTTTTTGACGGCCCAAAAATTACCAAAATTTACGTGCAAAAAGATCCCAGATATCCTCAGCCATTTCAACGAAAAAGAGGTTTTTTGGGTTTTTCGCTGTTATGCAAAAAACGGCTGGTTTCCGGAAAACCAAACTCTTACGACAATATTCGCATGCCTTTATTACACCATTACGCCAGCGGAAATTTCGGCTATTTAACTGGACTGTATGACTACTCCCGTTCGAGGTGGTTGCCTAATTATCTTGTCAATTTAACAAAATTCATTAGATATTTTAATGAGTAGTAGTCGATGTCGGTGAAGCGCAATTTTATTCTGCAAATGTCAACTGTCGCTGAAATTGTGTTTAGTTTATACGGCAAACGAAAGTAACTGTTCAATAGACTTTTAGGCCCCTTGCACACGACCGGTTGTGTCACCGACCGGCAGAAAAAAACCGGAAAACACTATTTTACTTACATTCAAATACAATTTAACAAACTTGACGGCGCCGGCTATTCTTCCGACCGACCACCGCTAATATTAAAATTCGGACGGCGAACACACGGTAGTAGATCAGTAAATTAACCGGCGAATTCATTTCAGTACATGCAAGTCTATACTTGTTGACACACGACCGGGGATTCTTACGTCGCCGTGGTACAGAGGGGCAGTCACATTTTGCTGTAGTGTGTGGTGTAAGGTGACTGCTTAAGTTTTAAAAATGGAAAAAATAAATGCATTTATGTTTTCAGGTAAAGCACTATTCGTGACACTTTGTGAAATATTATAAAAAAATTAAAACCCTCAAATGAGGCTCTGGATTTAAGAACATAAGAAAATATATCTTTCACGATCAGTTGCAATTCCTACAAAAACAATAGACCACAATGCTACAACATCCAGTCGTTCCCAAGAACAAAATACAGATGCGATGGAGCAACAGAATGGTAATAGCAATGAAGACGATTCTCAAATTGATCATTGTTCATCCATCCAATCTAAGCAAACGGCTTCAACAACAGGCAACAGGAAATCAAGCCTCAGCACCGAAGAAATGTTGAGATGGTTTTGAAGCCAAAGTGCTAGGAATTTTGGAAAAACCGAACAGCATACCCACAGTCAGTGAAGATAAATCGTTTTTTGATTCTATTTTGCCGACTGTTGAAAACTTGGATGAAGATAACAAACTTCAATTTCGCATAAAAGTTTTGCAGCTTGTACAACACTTTACGCGAAAGCGAAAATGTGATGGTTTCAAAAATACTTCTGATACCAACAGATTGCTACCTTCGTGTACACCATCAGCAACTGTCATACGACACAACTACAGCCAGCAGTGGACACCGATAAACCATACATTACAGTGTTCACAGACTTCAACACCAAAATCATATACATCATATATGGTTCAGCTACATGTCACTATAATAATACTGAATATCCAAAGTCAAATAATCAAATGTTGAGACATCCTAAAGTAATTGAAAAATTTTGTTTCATGATTTCTTAGTATTCCAAACACGGTATAAAATGCTCCTATTGCACTTCTTTCTACTACAGGATGAAACCATAATCTTCTTGCTGCTGCTTTATTGTATTTTCTTCGTTTGTACAATAAATACACAAGTGCGATCTTCTTTTCACGTTTCATTTTTGGAGATGCACGAAACGAAAATTGTCTAGCTCTATCTACGTCGGGTAACAGTACAGCACTGGTCTTCATATCGAATGCAAGAAAACGGCACATAACCGGTCGGTCGCATTATCGTGTGTAAAATAATCCCGATTTTTTCGCCGGTCGGTGGAACAACCGGTCGGAGGAATAATCGGTTGTATGCAAGGAGCCTAGGCCTCTTGCACACGACCGATCATTCCGCCGACCGGTTGTTTCTCCGCCCGGCAAAGAAATCGGGATTATCTTACACATGATAAGCGATCGGCCGGTTACGTGCCGTTTACATTGCCTTCTGCATGAAGGCCAGTGCTGTACTGTCATCCGACGTAGAACGAGCTTGGCTATTTTCGTTTCGTGCATTGTCAAAAACGAAACGTGAAAAGAAGATCGTGCTTGTGTGTTTATTGTATAGACGAAGAAAATACAAGAAAGCTTTAGCAAGAAGATTATGGATTCATCCACTGGTAGCTGAATGAAGTGCAGTAGGAGCATTTTATACCTTGTTTACAAGACTACGAGAACATGAAGCAAAATTTTTCAATTACTTTAGGATGTGTGTTGCAACATTTGATTATTTACTACAGCGTTTGGACAAACATATAGCCCTCCAAGAAACAAACATGAGACAAGCGATACCACCCACAGAGATGCTTGAAGTTACAATAAGGTAAGTAATAGAATTAAAATGTGATTTTAGAACTAGATATATTTAAATAAGGAACATAACAGTGCCCCTACTGAGCGAGGGCCGTGGCAAATGCTTGTTCCGGAAGTTGTTGTATCCAGTATACAACTTCTTCCGTCCAAGTGATTGTGCACGCGTTAAGGAATACCTCAGTACCGATTGCCGGGTGGCGGTACAAGTCCGCCAACGGGCCACTTTAGGTCTATTTAACATCACTAATACGTAAAAAGAAGGTGGTAGACAAGGACCAGTCGACCGAGGCAGTACCACCCGCTAGCTTCTTATAAATGTCCGCATGTTTCCACACCTAAGCTATGCAGTCGGTTATCTACCAAAACAAAGAAATTAATGATGATGGATCCCTCGAGCACTAAAAACTCCGGACGTAAACTCACTCCACTCTCGGAATGTCCGGGTAGAGGGTGGGCTCGAGGGAACAACATCGAAGATAAAATTTGTTTTTCGAACATCTGCGGGATCAACAGCAACGTTGATGCTGTTCATCACTACCTGCAATCCAATCGTCCCGCCGTGCTTTTCTTGGCGGAGACAAAAATCTCAGAGGCTGCACCGATTAACCATCTCAACTTCCCAAACTACGAGGTGCACTCCAATCTGAGAAAGAACGGGGGAGTTGTGGCTTTTGTCCGCAGCAGTCTTTCCTGCTCCAGGGATCTTTCTTTGGAATCAGACCGGAAGGACATTCTGTGGCTTCGCCTCAACTCCAAAACATCACCCAAATTTATTTGCTGCCTTTATCGCTCTCCATCGAACCATAACTGGGATGACCTACTCGAATACCTCGCCGTCCAGATCGACTTCCTGAACATCAATCACCCCGCTTCAGAGGTAGTTCTTCTCGGTGATTTCAATGCCCATAATGAGCTTTGGTTGGGCTCAAATAAGACCGATGCAGCAGGTCGTGCAGTCGAAGCGTTCGCTCTTACTCAAGGGCTGACCCAGCTGGTGACGAGCCCTACTTTTTTCCCCCGCGTCTCGTCACACGCCAGTAGCCTGCTGGATCTCTTTCTGACCACGCATCCTGCCCCTTACAGCACTGCTGTCTTGTCCCCCCTGGGTAACTCAGATCACGGTGTTGTGGAGGTTAGGTTTCGGTCAGAAGCCGTTGTGGCAGCAGAAACTCGCACAGGCCGCAAAACTTGGCATTACGGACATGCCGACTGGGAGGGGCTCAGAGACTTCTTCTCTAGCTTTCCTTGGAGAGATGTCTGTTTCACTGACGCGGATGCGTCGACTGTCTGTTCTTCAATAACCGAAATTATCCACGTCGGAATGGAGGAATACATCCCTCACACAGTGAAAGTTCCTAAACCAGGGTTCAACGGCTGGTTCAACAAATCGTGTGACACTGCTCGCCAGCAGAAGATCAAGGCCCACAGAACCTACTTACAAAACCCCACTGTAGAGAACAGACAAGCCGATGTCGAGTCCAGAAACAAATATAACGAAGCGGTTCACAATGCCAAAAACCAGCATGATATAAAAGTTAGGCACAGGGTAATGTCGCAGCGCAATGGCAGTCGGTCTTTCTGGACGCTGGCCAAGCAGATTGAAAAGAACTTCTCACACAGTAGCCTTCCACCACTTACGTGTCAGGATGGAACTATTGTATTCGACTCAAAGGCCAAGGCGGAAGTGCTAGCCAAGATCTTTGCTGCCAACTCCACCATGGACGTCCCCACCAACGCCCAAGTGCCGTCAATTCAAAGGGTTCCCCACACTATGCGGGAGGTAACATTCAGGCATAAGACCGTAAGACGAGTGCTGTTGTCGCTCGACATCAACAAAGCTTCTGGTCCGGACTTGATTCCTGCCATTGTACTGAAGAGATGTGCAGCGGAGCTTGCTCCAGTTCTTTCGCGTCTCTTCCAGATATCTTATGAATCCGGCACCTTCCCAGAAAACTGGAAATTTGCTCAGAGGAGGGCGGTCCGACTGATCGATGACTCTTCTCTAACAGACAGTCTCGGGACTCTTTCGCACCGGCGGGCCGTCGGCGATCTAGCTCTTTTCTATCGCTACACCAACGGGTTTTGCTCCTCAGAGCTCTCTTCCATGATGCCGCCGCGCGATGTGCCTGCTAGACAGACCCGCCTGACTTCGGCGTCCCATCCTAACCGTGTCAAACTTCGTACATCCAGAACTGGCCGATACGACCACTCCTTTGTCCCGAGGGTGTCTAGATTGTGGAACAATCTACGGGAGGAAGCTTTTCCCAGTTCTACTAACCTTAGGCAGTTCAAAAATCGTATTAACAAAATTTCTTTGGGATCATCATAGCAGCCGCGGTGTTCCGGCATTTAGGCTTCTGCCTGCGCGGCTGTTTCGATATAAAAAAAAAATAACGAACAAATTAAACAAATCAAATTCTGGTTGTAGTTAAGTCAGCTTGGATAAACTATTGTGGTGTCAAAGATTGTGGATATTCAAGATTATTGTCACAGCGAGATGTAGTTGGATCAAATGACGTACTTGATTGTGGTATTGTCTGTGGACACTGCAATGTATGGTATGTCGGTGTCCACTGCTGGCTGTATGACTGAGTTGCTGGCGGTACAAACGAAGGTAGCGATCTATTGGTATCAGAAGTCATGTTAAAAGCATCACATTTTTGCTTTCGTTTAAAACGTTGTACAAGCTGCAAAACTTCTATGCGAAATTGAAGTTTGTCATCTTCATCAAAGTTTTCTACAATCGGCAAAATGGAATCAAAAAACGATTTATCTTCACTGATTGTGGGTATGCTGTCCGGCTTTTCCAAGATCTTTAGCGCTTTGGTTTCAAACTCGTCTTGACGTTTCTTTGGTGCTGAGGCACGCTTTTTTGTAAGTAAAGCTTGCGATGGCGTTTGTTTAGCGGTTGATGCATTTGGATTGGATAGATTGATCATATCCTAATCAATTTGAGAATCGCCTTCATTGCTACTATCATCTACATTCTGTTGCGCCATCGTTTCTGTATTTTTTTCTTGTGAAATACTGGATGTTGTAGTATTGTGTTCGATTGTTTTTGCAAGGAATTGCAACTGATCGTGGAAGATGTACTTTCTTATTCTCCTAAAACCAGAGCCTGACTTAAGAGTTTTATTTTTTTTATAACTCTTCACAAAACTGTCAAAAATGTTGTTCCATTTTTGCAATAGTGTTTTAGCTGAAAAAAAAAGAAATAATTAATTTTGTTGCAGGTATTTGGTAAGCGGTATGACTTTCACAGACCTTCACTACGCATACAGATTGGGACCATCAACAATACGTATTGTTAGGGATGTATGCAGGAAAATTTGGGAAATCCTACTTGATGAATGCATCCCACCGCCATCAGACAAGATGTGGAATGAATGTGAAGCAGGATTTGCTAATAAAGCCAATTTTCCAAATTGTTTCTGAGCGATAGATGGGAAACACATTCGAATTGTGAAGCCACAACGAAGTGGTTCATTATTTTACAACTACAAACATTTTTTTTCAATCGTGTTATTGGCTGTTGTGTACACATCATACTGTTTTCGATATGTTGACATTGGAGCATACGGTAAAGAATGTGATTCCTCCGTATTTGAAGAGTCAACATTTGTTCATGCATTGAATTCAGATTCTTTGTATACACCTTGCCCAAAATGCTTACCAGGAACAGAAAATCCGGCTGTACCATATAGTGATTAAGTGATAAATTGCTACGTCCATTTGGTGGAAACAACTTAACACAGCAACAACGTGTATTTAATTACCGTTTATCACGTGCCAGGCGTTATGTTGAATGTGGATTCGGTATTTTTAGCAACAAATCGAGAATCTTTCATCGACCTATAAACTTACATCCCGAATTCGTCATTGACATTGTTAAAGCATGTTGTATCTTGCATAATTTAGTACGAATGAGAGATGGTTTTAATATCGGCGATGTCTTATAAATCATAAACCTCGAAGACATACCAAGAGAGCGAAATTTGCGAGGATCAAGAAGCGGGAAGGATATACGGGACCATTTCACAAAATATTTCAATAGTAATGGATCTGTACCGTGGCAATTAAGTAAAATACAGTTAATATTGTTTCTTATCTTACATAGTTACATGCCTATTTCGGCTTTTTCTGCTTCGTTCAGGTTTTCATAAATAAATGTATCGATGATTTCTTGTCAGGCGGCTTTAGTTTTATTCCTATCCTTAAAATCCTCTCTTGTCTTGTCCCATATCACGGGCCTTTCTTCCACCATAGAAATAAATGCCTCAATATCTAAATTTTCCATTTCGCACCTCATGACTACACTGTCTAATCGGAAATGAAACTACGACTCTGTACCACGGCGACAGTAGAATCCCTGTTCGTGTGTCAACAGGCATAGACTTGCATGCATTGAAATGAACGCGCCGGTTAATTTACCGACCGGCAGCCGTGTGTTCGCCGTCCAAATTTTAATATGAACGGCGGCCGGTCGGCAGAATAGCCGGTACCGGCAAGTGTGTTAAGTTGTATTCGAATGTGGGTAAAATACCATCTTCCGATTTTCTTGCCGGTCGGTGGAACAGCCGGTCGGCGGATTGCACGTTCGTGTGCAAGAGCCCTAAGGCCTCTTGCACACGACCGATCATTCCGCCGACCGGTTGTTTCTCCGCCCGGCAAAGAAATCGGGATTATCTTACACACGATAAGCGATCGGCCGGTTACGTGCCGTTTACTTTGCCTTCTGCATGAAGGCCAGTGCTGTACTGTCATCCGACGTAGAAAGAGCTTGGCTATTTTCGTTTCGTGCATTGTCAAACATGAAACGTGAAAAGAAGATCGCGCTTGTGTGTTTATTGTATAGACAAAGAAAATACAAGAAAGCTTTAGCAAGAAAATTATGGATTCATCCACTGGTAGCTGAAAGAAGTGCAGTAGGATCATTTTATACCTTGTTTACAAGACTACGAGAGCATGAAGCAAAATTTTTCAATTACTTTAGGATGTCTGTTGCAACATTTGACACAGCAACAACGTGTATTTAATTACCGTTTATCACGTGTCAGGCGTTATGTTGAATGTGGATTCGGTATTTTTAGCAACAAATGGAGAATCTTTCATCGACCTATAAACGTATATTCCGAATTCGCCATTGACATTGTTAAAGCATGTTGTATCTTGCATAATTTAGTACGAATGCGAGATGGTTTTAATATCGGCGATGTCTTAGAAATCATAAACCTCGAAGACATACCAACAGAGCGAAATTTGCGAGGATCAAGAAGCGGGAAAGATATACGGGACCATTTCACAAAATATTTCAATAGTAATGAAGGATCTGTACCGTGGCAATTAAGTAAAATATAGTTCATATTGTTTCTTATCTTACATAGTTACATACCTATTTCGCCTTTTTCTGCTTCGTTCAGGTTTTCATAAATAAATGTATCGATGATTTCTTACAGGCGGCTTTAGTTTTATTCCTATCCTTAAAATCCTCTCTTGTCTTGTCCCATATCACGGGCCTTTCTTCCACCATAGAAATAAATGCCTCAATATCTAAATTTTCCATTTCGCACCTCATGACTACACTGTCTAAACGGAAATGAAACTACGACTCTGTACCACGGCGACAGTAGAATCCCCGTTCGTGTGTCAACAGGCATAAACTTGCATGCATTGAAATGAACGCGCCGGTTAATTTACCAACCGGCAGCCGTGTGTTCGCCGTCCAAATTTTAATATGAACGGCGGCCGGTCGGCAGACTAGCCGCTACCGGCAAGTGTGTTAAGTTGTATTCGAATGTGGGTAAAATACCATCTTCCGATTTTCTTGCCGGTCGGTGGAACAGCCGGTCGGCGGATTGCACGTTCGTGTGCAAGAGCCCTTACGTAGTTAATTTCACCGGAAAGATTCAGAATAGCTGCCGACGAGCTTCAAGTTAAACTGAATAATACACGTTATAGAGTTTTTGAAATTTTTATTCAATAATAGTACTGTTATTTTTTTGATTGTATAGTATAAATACATATAACAAATTATGCCGTGTCATTCATTATGTATAATTCGCTACAGGAAAAAATAAAAAAGTAAGTAAAATAATTTACATATACAACTATGTTTGATATCATAAATGCCAAGTGGATTCCTCCTTTACACATGTTTTAAGAAAAATCAAAAATGCACAATTGTAAAGCGTTATACAAAAGCAATATTGAACAACAATGGGTGCTACCAAGGCACTTGCATTATATAGTAAATACACTGGTACATTTATGCTCCAGTCAACAATTTCAATCAGTTCGCACAACTTGATCACTCTGAAGCAGAATTTGTGCTTTTCACGCTCCGCCTATTACTGTCTCTTGTTCAGAATAAAAAAATTACAATTGAAAATAATGGCATAGTATAATATAGTATGATAATAAGCACAATTTGATCTCCAGTAGCCTTAAAAAAAATGTTGATTCTAGATCCAATTGTGCGAACGTATCTATATCACACCCACATAACATTCAATTAAAAACCGAAGAAACACAAAAATTATATAACAAATAAATAGAAATACTATATCAGGTAAAAGGGACATTGATATAAGAATATAATATATGTATTGTATAACAAATCCTATAAAACTACACAATATATACACGTAAATACAAATTGGGCGGGGTGGGGGGTATTGGGGCGTAGTCCCTACTACAAAAAAGCCACTTTCACACTAGCGACTTATAATAATGAACAACAACCATGCAAGCATTATTGCACTGACTCCGAAACGAAAAGACAAGGACGTCCGGAACCACTGTGTATGGATCAAGGATATTAGAGACAGGATGGACGCTGTATCTACAATAACAGACAAAAATGAGGCTTAAGCTGCTTAAAAAAATGGACAGAGCTTACACAATAACATATTACAGTTAACAAATGAAATATAAAAAGGGAGAGAAAGGAGTCATATTTGAGAGGAGGGAAATAAAAGACATACGAGAAAAGGAGTGCGAAAGAGCGAGTGACAAATTTGATAAACGTGTGTGAGATTATATTCAGTAGGATCCGTCTTTTCTATGGCATTCATACCTAGGGTTACATGACCAAAAGCAAAGTGAAGCATAAGAATGAAGACCACATTTTAGTGATATGTAAGGCTGAAAGTACCAGGCAAAAAAACATGGAAATTAACCACCAGTTAATTTTAATGAACATTTCTCTAGTAATAGTTGTTGTGCTAATCTAATGTTCCGATGGGCGCAAAGCTAATCGAAAACGATTAGCGCAGCAAGATTGAAATCTTATAGGCGTGTATTTTTAAATTATTTGGAGATGGTGTTACACAATTCCATGGTGCAAAGAAACTTATGAAAACGTGAATATGATCGTGCACAAATACATTCCATTTAGATTTTTTGAGAAAAACAACGTTTTCAAGCACCCTGATGTAGTTCGCTTACCATCATTTTCCCACAACTCAGGGATACAATCAAATAGCAAAAGTCAAAACTTTCAAGGATAGGCATTTTTTCAGACAAATGAAAAAATATCCAAACGCCTGACTAGCAAAATCTTACAGTCATATCAATCTTGTTTTCAAAAGCTCTTTCCAAATATCTAATATAATCAGTACTTTATTAAAAAAATATGTTTGTTGTGCCACTGTATTGTGTGTTGTGTATTTCCAAATAATTTTGAGATGCATAACTATAAGATGTCAATCTTATTACGGAAACCGTTTTCGAATATCTCATATAAATCTATTAAACTTTCCATTTTCGTTCGGACACCCTGTATATATTGAAAGTGTTCACGTGATTTTTGTTATATGCATAAGCTAAGCCAAGTATTGAAGACGAGTTAGTTTTCGTAAAATCGTGCAGGCCGGCGTTTTCACAGGGGCTAAGGCACCAAACACCCTGTAGCTCAATAGAAAGCATTGAAACATTGGATCAGCACCAAAATGAACTATCACTATACGAATTTTCTTTAAATTTTACCGGTGATCAAACGTCATGTTTTATGCCTGGTACTTTATTAACTGAAGCTCAAGAAAAGCGATGAAAGCATCTACAGAAAAACAATGGATAAATGTAGCGTCGAATATTCAACATTTAGACAATACTCCTTTAATGTGGAAGCGAAGTCCCGTTTCCACTTTCTGACCAGCAAGAAAACCTCACTTAGGGTGAGCACATGGCGTTTCCTAGTCTCAAGTATCCAGTATGAAATGTAGGTTCGTTACAAAAATAATACATAGCCTGAAACGAAATGTAACGCATCAAAACGTTATATATAGTGATAGTGTGCACATAATATTACGGCATGTATATTAACATCTTGCGCTATTTTGACAAATATGTCATAGATTGTATTTCAAAATACCGTAATATGAACTTTCTATTGTCTCAAACTAGACATATAGGATTAACGGACTAACACAGAAACAGCATTTGCAGCACTTATCAAAACGATCCATTTATTCACGATATATAGTATGCCTGCAACATGTTTTTTCGTTAAATGAGATTTAGATCTTGTTACCAGTTGCAACACGTAAATAAATGACATCTCGAATCCACTTTCTGCAGAGTGGCTGTTAAACTAGTCTGTGATAAATTTGATATGGCAGTGACAGAATAGGGAGAAAAACAAACATGTATTCAAACAAAATCTTGTAAGATATTATTTGATGATGTGTTGAAGAATACAGTTCCATGAACTCAGGAACACCATATCACAAATCTCACAAACAATCCAATCTTGAATCAATCTATTTCGAGACTAACAGTGCAAAGTTAGGATATATCAAGAAACTGGTACTATATATGACAATCGAATGCGTTGCAATCTTTTACAAGGTATATATGATATTACCGTATCACTACAATATGATAAGCCTCAGGCTTCATATATTAATTTACACATTAAATTAACTATTTATTCTCATAGTATCATAGTTTTAGTAGATAGATTTATACAGTTTGAAAGGTGGTATGCTAGTAGCTAGGTAGGATGGTTACGGTTCCTCTTCTAAATCACTTTTTGTCACAACCTGCAACAGAAAATTGGTTATAAACTTTAAGTTAGGCTATTCAATCAAAAGCGCCAATTTTGATGAAATATTATTGACATATTTTATAAAATTTCCAATTCTCGGTTGGAACATATCTTGATTTCTATGATTGACAGCTCGTAAAAATATGTAACAATGAAAAAGAAAAGATCTAAGAAACAAAAAGCATTTTTTTGTGTCGCTACTTGTATTACAAAAATAATTTGTGAAATAATCTTTGGATTTGGAGCTATGATATCACCTCAATTACCCTAAGCAAGGCTCGGTGATTTGTTTCTATTTTTCCGTTTTCATTTTTAAACGTCAAATATTTTTGGACTTAGTTAAACATTTTTAAGTGAAGTGGATTTAATCCTTAGTCTTTATGAAATTCTAAATATTTATTTACTTGTATGCTATCATTAAGCGTGTACGACGAGTTGCTAGCTGGCGAAGTTAGAATCTCACTATCGTCGAGAGGCACTGGACTGTGCAGGTTATGTTCTTCGTGAAGCCTCTCCCTTACCCTGTGCAGTTCTTTCCTAAGCCTATCTCTCTCTTCTTCCACTTGTTTCACTTCGCTCTAAAACAAGAAAAAACATTAGTAAATATCTATCATCACATGCGAGTGTTGATTGTTATTTGAGTTGTCAGTATCCCTCAAGTTTTTAAATGGCAGATACAGAGACGGAAAAGTTTTAGGGCGTAAAACAATTCAAAAGTACCTACAGTAAAAATTAATAAATTGTCATCACTACTATTTTTAAACACATGTTCTTGCTCATGTTAACGTCTCTTTGGCATACGTTCCCTATTTATACTTTGAACGTGGTATAAAATTTTATAAAATACTTTATATTTTATAAAATTTTACTTTTGAGGTAAAAGTTTATAAAACGTACGTTCACTATGAACTATGGGTATGCAAAACTGGATGATAAAGATCCTGCCTGCAAAGAAGAATCCTTTCTATTATGAATACTACTGTTACGAGATAAATGGAACTACTAAAACTACACTCAAGTCTCCTTTAAATGAATGTTGTTAGTCCAACACCCAGCGACACTCGGTACTTATGTATCTCCAAACACCCAAAGTTTCGGCTATGTCTTGACCTTCCTACTTATATCAAAGTTTCAGAAAATACACTATATTGCTATCGCAAATTCCATGACACATTTTCCTACTTACCATTAATGTCGTGAGCAAAGAGCTAAGAGAAGTAGCGATGGTTTTTACGGGTCCAACAGGCACGGTGGGAGCACTGCCGTTTGTTGTTGGTTGTTCCTCGTCCACCTGTTGACTGGCACAAGCTGGGTGTTTACCACCCTTAGAAGTTAGTATGTCACTTTCATCGACATTCAATGACTGATTGACGATCTTCTGAAGTTGATCTACCTGCAACCAGAACAAAAAATAATTCAAAAACTATTTTCTGAACAAAGTGGAATGGATTATGTAATACAAAATGGAAACTTCCTTAAAATTAGCAAGAGCTCACTAATTATTCACATATACGACACGATAAAACAATGACGTTTTTTCAATACAGGTAAAAAACTGTACCCAACTAACAATTATCACTCCTATTAGAGTTGCAAGAATGATTATACAGTATTCCTTAAACAGCATTGTACACTGTAAGAACATTGGCAAAACCCTCTTAGAACAGCTATACAAGCGGAATGGACACACCTAATAGGACACTTCAGTCATTTAAGAGGTTGTATAAGGGCTGCAGGTAACAGTTATAAAACAAAAGTGTAAGCCTCTTGCAGCCGCTATAGGACATTTGCGTCAGTGCAAGATTCAGTTTTTGTCAACTATACAACTATTCAACAGATTGTACTTTATTGCAACCAAACTATTTCTTATGTATTGTATAGACGAAGTGAAGAATATATAACTAACACATTACAGTCATCTTGTTCACTTACATATCGGCCATTGTGAATTTCATACACAGGTATATGATAAACTTCTACACTTTGATATAGGGCTATTGAATTAGTTGCGCAGCAAATTTTATTGTGATTATCGTGCAAATTAGTTACCCAATTTCTACGGGCTTCGTATTTGATTCATATTTTGACAATGATCAAAAGTATGTCTAGATTTTTAAGATGGAATACTGCGTTAAATCTTCCACAAATCCTATATTTAGACACAATTACACTAATGTTTATCACTTTATATCTGTAATTTCGAACTGAAACATAATTATTTAATATTAAATAGGGGAATAAATGTTTGTCCAATACGGCGGGTGGTTGGGTACAATCATGGCATCGTCCATGTTGTCTTTAGGTTATTCGAATATTTTGGTGTTGCCTGCAGGTGTTATACAACAATTTGACAAATTTCTGAAATGAAATACCGGCAGAGTTGAATGATTTACCCAGAATTTGTACCAGATCTATATCTTCTGTTTGAACAGTTGATAAAACCTTTTCAACCAATATGCATGCGTTGTTTGTCTTACAACATTGGTTATGGCATTTTAACAAAAATATGACAGCAGAAAGTTAGGTTATGGTGAAGTTGTTTGCCAACATATCTAGCATAATATGTACAGCCTTTAACAGTTACTAAACAACAGTTGTATAAGTGCTTCCGTTGGGGGCAATTTGTTGGCTAAGGTAGTAAATTGCACAGCAAAACAACAAGGCTCGGGTTTGTTTTATAAACGTTACCATGGATGACTAACTTGCAAATATGCCGTATAAAATAGTTGTATAAACGTTTATGCAACAGTTAAAAATTTGCCCTATAAGGTGCTATAAAAATATTTTAAACACCTCATTTTAGAGTAAATATGTTGCAGAAAGCAAATTTGCATTCCACACAACATTAAGCCAGCATTTTGGTGTTCAGGCAACAACAATAGAGATCTTTTATGGCTGAACGGTTCTTTTACCAAAAGCTTATACCACTACTTTGCTAGTTAGGTAGTTTCACTAATCTATAAGTTGCAGGAATCGATCGAAATAATTTTAAATAACTAAAAAGTGTATAGAGTTTGGAAGAGCACTCCTTCAAAGTTATTGTATCTTCCACCATATTACCAACGTCAAAGACTATACATCTGACGGAAACTTAACCTCCATGGCAGAAGTAAACTCACATTCCAGGAGAGCTTTTGCGAGAATTTTCATGTTCGACCATTCTATGTTCAAAGAAATAAATGAAAATACTCAAAATATACTTTTTGGAGGTAAATATTTGCTATATTATAGAAAAAATTAGGAACTACCCCTTTATTTACGAAAAGAAAATATGATTTTATAAGTACCTGGTATATGGCAGCCATTAACTTCTCAGAAGGATCGGCATCACTTGATATGTCGGCGCCAGCCATATCTGCAATGTGGTGGAAATGCTCCCTTGGAATGCTCAACAGATCTGCCACAAGGCTTTCCTTGTCTTCCAAAGCCTGTTTGACCAGGGCATCCTTCCTTTTTATTTGCTCTGAAAACAACACGAAACGTTTTCAGTATATCAAAATATGAATGACAAGATATTGAGATATACATTATTATACAAACGAAATTAGTCTTCAGAGAATTCCCAGACAGTTAGTAGTTTAATTTAAAAGATTGTGGTTGGACAAAACCAATACTGAGATTGCACGATGCATTGACGTTTCTAAAAAAATCTTGAGCATAAAACCTTCTATACTTGCATACCTGCTTATAGTGGAACCCTGGTATCTTTGAAATACATCAGCAGTCTATGAGGAATAGATATGAAGCTTGTAATTTAGCTGTAATTATCAAGTATTTCCAACAAGAATTTTCTGACTATCACATACAGCCATCCATACAGATTAATGATGTTGCCTAGCTGGTATTATCCACTGGCAATCACGGTTCAGGACTGACAGAAATTCATTGTTGAAAGAACCGTTTGGCTAAGAAAATATCGAGGAAAGAACAATTCTCTGTACCCTGCAACTGCATGAATGATTTTAGAAAACGTTTCAGGCAAATTGCCCCAAATTGATAACCGACAATATGTTTCTCAATGGTGTTCCAATGATAGCGTTAATAAATAGCAACCACTGCCGAATAAATGCGAGTAGGTGCAAAATAAAGCATTTAGTACAGGTGCATACCTAGTGGTGTAAGCACTGGTTCAGCCGTGTGCACTGGAGGACTTGCGATACTGATCTGCGATGGCTGAATTAGTGGCCAATCTTCCGCACTCACCCTTGACGCTTGTGCTCCACCACCTGCCACCATGTCTACAACAAATTACCATTATCACCAATATCCGAAATATACAAACCACCAAGTATTATTATAGTACAACATTCAAAGTGACATTTCCAAGGGCTAAATTAATTTTATAGTTACTATCACCACAACCTTGAGCTTCAGAAAACTCTCTCGTTTCTAAATAATTGTTCCTAAAATATAAATGTTTCAGCTATAGTTGGATGTTGAGCACGAAAGTACTCGGTCAATTTTGTCTTTGGAAACATCACTTTTATAAAGGAATTGTAATAATGGAATAAGGAGGCTCTTAAATTATTGTTTAATTATTATGTAACATTAGCTGATATAAAAACGCAACTGCATACAGAATGTCAAAATACGTGTTTAACGTCAAAGGAAGCTGTCTTGTTTATATTGTGTCAAGTGGCTACTGAAGTATGAGCACTGGGAGTACACATTCGCTACATCAAGCCCGCCTCCATTTATTATTGTTCTTTGCAAAATTACTTGCGTATTTTTTCGGTCTATAGCAATATATGCCCTAATCCTTTATGACAAGTGATGAGAATTATCGCCTGAAGCTTAGTTTCTTGAGACTGGTTATGTTGTTGCACATAGCTGCTACGCGCTAGCGCAACTTGAAGTATTACTTAGACTGCTAGATGTTTTATCTTCCTGTCCCGCTTCGTAAAGTTTAAAATCCTTCTGAGTGATTGACAGAAGTTACGTATATGAAAAGGTTATGCTGGACTGTGCTAATCCAGCAGCTGTCCTAAGCCGCACGTCACGCAGCGCTATCTCATAGCAGCTAGGTGCATATGAACGTAACCATTGATAAGTTACTTCCTCTGAAAACCTAGACTTGTAGTTGTGATTTCAAAATATACACAAACTCTCTCAGTCTTTTCGTAAGATTGACGTAAAACGCAAAATATATTGCACATCAGGGCCGGAGCTACGATTGAAGAGGCAAAATGAAATTATAGAGCTTTCAGTTAAAGGAAATATCCGGTGGGAGCGTCCTTATAATCAAAAACAAAGTTTTCCAGCTCTGTGTTCCTATATTGGCACCGACCCTGCATTATACTTTGCTTAGATAGTGTATACAACGAGCTTAAGCGAGACAGTGTATAACAAAGTGATTACTTGCCATTCCGCCCCGACCACTACCTGTAAAAAGTCACATGCAATCGCAGTTCTGAAAAAAACTAGTCAAAGTCCCGCAAAACTCCTCACTTCTTATTTTTGCACTGAAGTTATTGCGTAGTAACCAATCGGGCCTGAACAGAAGAATTTCTAGCGTGTTTGTTATTTTAGAAAATATTTAGTTCGGCAGAAATTACATGATCAAATCCATGGAATGTAAGCATCGTTAACTGAAGTTTTACTGCAAAAATAGCCAGGCAACTGTGCGATCATTATAGATGGTCCGACTAACTTGTTTACACATGTGTTTGATCTGTTTTCAATTATCGAAATTAAAAGATAAAAGTCGGTTCAGTAGATAGTGGTAATAAGTTTGCTGGACTTTATACAATTTATCCCATGAAGTAATTGATTTATTATCATCTGTATGTACCATAAATCAGTGTATTCAGCAAGTTTAATCTTGGAATATCCCACCATGTATATCAATACTTAATGCGATTACATGGGATTCATTATTTCAATATAAAGAAGTTTATGGTCCATATGAAGCCTAAAATATGAATACCAGTTTTGTTCCAAATTGGAATTTAGAGCATCTTTTGTCAAACACCGTAATCGTGGATTCATGTAGACTTAATTTAAAACGCGATGGTAAAGGGCAGGGAATAGTATGCATTTTCTGATAATATACGGACGCTCGAAACGCGGTCTCGATGATGCGCTGTTCTGACAGTTACCATGGTCACGATATTTGGACAATGAGTGATATGACGCCGCCGTGGTAAGTTACCCTATTCATGGTCACTACATCATGTCAAATTTAACGCAACCATAACAAAAAATCATTTATGAACTTCCACATCCAAAACGGTTGGCGTAATGTCTGACCGAATATTTCATCAGTCCAAAGTTGGACTGCTCATTCGAAGCGGGGTGAATAGTTCTATATAAATAAACCACTTGAAAAATGAAGCAATACAACGAGCCGTTTGTTCCGTTATATTATGGAACGTAGCGTCTTGTTAACGTTGGTCTGTCAGTTAAATGACATTCCTGTAGTACAAAATTAAAATGACATGTCCGCATTAGCGAAGAATTGAACGCCCTGCAAAAAACGACATTCACTGTCACCCCAAAACGGCTAGGTGTCTTGTTACCTCATTTTCAGGTGCTCTATTCCTATAAAACATCCACGCTAGCTGCACATGGAGCAGCGCGGCCGATTTTGGCCAAACTCCCTTGATTACAGCGATAGTCTCCACATTTTTAACGTCGCAGCATCAACCTCCCTTAAGTGCGTTAGATTAAAATTTGTATACATCCATCACAATTCTTTATTTCGGTCATCATTAATGCTATCTCAACCTTGCCAGGCGAACTTGTATTTTTTCTATACGAGCTGAGTTGACTGATAATTTTTTATTCATAATGATATGTCTATCACTAAACACTATTTGTATTCTCAGACAACAAAAAGTTTTGAAGTCAAACATCTCGTATGAAGTGGGCCCTTTGTTGGTACTACATATAAGTACTAAAATGCTTAAAAGATAACTAGGAGGACTGCTGCGATTACTCGTTCCATTTCTTTGTCAATAGTTGTACTTTGTATTTTTTGATCATAATATAGGTTGAGCAATCAAGTGTAATTCAGTTTTCAAGTATTACGTTACGAAATCCCCAACACCACAAAAACCTCCCCACTTCATTATCCAATCCAATTTCCTTACTCCTAAGCCTTGTTTTCACTCACCTGGTGAGGGTTCCGCACTATTCAATCCTCCGTCGACATCTGCGGGATTCTTCTCTCTCGATTCCACCTCTTTCCCAGTCTCTTCCCCTTCTTGCTTCTCTGCACCGCCCGTCGTAGGCGTTGCCGTCGTTGGAACCGCCCCCGTAGTAGGTTGCGATTGATCGAGAGCCGCGTCCGACGAACCGGAAGAGTCGTCCGATTCATCGGCCGGCACAGGCTCCGCCCCGCGCTTCGACGAGGCGGAGCTCTGAGACGGTAGGCGACCCTCGCGACGCTGGTACGCTTTAGTGGCGTCCGAGAAGTGCTTGAACCACCTGAAATAAAGAATAAAGGAGAATTGAAACGACCTAAGTTCTAGCGATAATAAGAGAGAAGGTTACTGCTCCCAAGTAGACCAAATACGTTGTTTGCTTTTCGCTATATGTCTCCAAGGCGAGACCTATACTGCCCTTATGATTACTAACAAGAATGAAACCGCATTGTAATCAGTTGGTCACATGGACGCAAAGCCAACAGATCCAAATACATTATGCTCCTAATGGCTAATAGGATTGAAAATTTTTGAGGTTTCATCTATTTTAGAGAAGCCTGAATCTTCAATTGTTTGTATCTGACTTCGTGACAGCATTTTCGCATATTGAACAGACTCCACAACATCCAAAACGCATCCCGAATTTGCTAAGAAGTAAACCACGTTACCCCATGTCGCAGGCGTTTGATCAGGTATTGTGCCAAGCCTACGAGTTGTTTCTTTCACGGACATATTTGTAGCTGATCTAAATTCGGCAAACTTGAATCAATAAGGTAGACACCGTTTAGGCCTAGTATACATATTTTTAACAATCAGCTGGAGTCTAGCAACTATTTAAGCATCAAATAGTTGGATTGGAAAATAAATTGTGTAGACATAGTGGCCTTCTTGACCTGACAAAATAGCAATTTGTTTATTAGCAGTTTAGTACGTTTTAGAATTTAAAACAATAAAACTAACATAATACTCACGACAAATGTGACACGCTTTACAAAATAGATTTAAAAAACACTGTATTCAGTTCACCCTAAGCCGATAGAAAATAACTCAACCAAAGAAAAAGGAGGTGCAGTACATAACTGAAAACCATTCGCATCTTTTCGAATCTCAAAGAGTTGTAGGCAGCGAGCCAAGTCGAACACCTATATTCTGCACCATTTTTCACAACGTACAATACAGGACATAATCATTGTAGGACAACAAGTGCGAAATAATAATGATGCTCTTGTTCTATATATGTTTTACATAGGGTTTCTGATCGGTACCAGTAGTGTCTTTGAAATTCAAATATGGGTATTTAAGAAATGGTAGACATATAAATAACCAATTTTTTTTAGTATAGAGTGACAACATTACAGCAACTCCAGACTTACTATCTAAAAGGTTTATGTAAAAATATTGGTCGTATATCCAAACTTGCCGACTGCCGCTGTGATAACTTTGATGTGCATAATCTTCAAACTGTACTTGTATGTAGTTTATGTATTTGTTAATAAACTGAAAGTTAATTTTACAGGATCAAAATCAAAATGTGTTCATAAACCGTCATTTTTATATGACCGAAAATTAATTTTATCGAAGACCCTCTTACTATCCTAGTATGGTGCTTAAAACATAAATGGTATAGACGAAACTCACAAATATTTTTTGTTTACTGAATTTATCTGTATTTTATTTAGCTTCTGAAACGAACTAGTAAATATGATTTTTTGGACGTCCAGCAGCACCTACCAATTTCAGTCCATCCGACTGTAGTTTACAAAAAGATCGTAGATCTATATGGGATTTGTCACTGTGCCTGAATTGTTTTTTTTTTCAATCGAATATAAAAAACAATATTTTTGTGCGATAGTGTGCGTGACTTGCAAACATGACTGAAACAAATGGAGACTGGCGACCGAAGTCTGATCGTAATCAAAGTCTATATTCAATTAAATGGCACAGGCGTGTGATTTATAGATCGCGACGGCAGGTCAGGAGAATACAACGTAAGCATTGGACGAACTACTAACGCTGTATTTTGGTTGAGCAGCATGCGACGAGTTCGGATTTCACTAACAGCTTGCCCAGTTGTGCTGATGAGACCTAGTCTATGGCAGAAACATGTATGCCCAACACAAAGCCATGTATATTTAATATATGCAGTCAAAACTCAAAATCGGTCAAAACAACCTTTGACTGATTTTAGCGGTCAAATGCTTTTAACCGATCTTCTTGGTCAAAGTGGTTTTGCCTGACTTGGGGATCAAAACTCAATAAGATAGTTGCTGAAAATTACCATAAAAATCAACAAAAAGTTAGTTCAACTAGTTTTAAGTTTTTTATCCATATAAAAGTTAAGTGACATGGTAGGGACCTGTAAAATATAAACAGAACTCATTTATTTTTTGTAGGTAGAAACCATTTTATATTTTAGTCTATGGAGGATAGATTTGTTCGCGCCTGTGTATTTGGGCAGGATTTTATTTAACTTGATCTATTAGTTAGTTTTTTGAACCAGTCGACGCTAAACAAATGAGCTGAGATTTTGTATAAGTACGTCTAAAAAAGGTATTTGGAAACTAATGTTTAGAAAAACAATCTGCATTGTACTATAAAGAATGTTCACAAGTGAATTTACCTGATAGAGCAACTCAAAGATAACTGCTAAGATCACAATCAACCAAATGATTCATTCCACATTTCAAATAAATATTTCATCTTTTATCTGTATTTAAAGTATGATGACTAAAACTTTCAAATTTGGACGTAAACATTGCAATTCGCATATACCAAAGTTGGGGTTTTACTTTACCCGACGTATAATCTTGAGAAAATAAGCCGATTTTCTTAATAGCATATATACTAATGTCTTAAAAGAACCGAGATATTGGGCTCCGCAAACTCAATCAAACCTGAACCAAATCGAACCGGCTCCTGTCCTATCTCTCGATCACGTCCACAGCGCCGGCGCCAGAGTACAGTTATACGGCGTACGATTTTTTGTACCCAGAATTTTAAAAAATCTAGACAAAAATAAAAAAAATAAAATTACTGCTAATTGAATATATTTTAATGTTTATAACGCTATAAAATTCATTGCACTGAATTAGATAATTTCACAAGCATACACAACAGATAAGGGTCTATAACTGGAAATAATCCCTCTGAAAATATGGAGTTATGTAGATTGACTTGGTATTTCTCACACATGAATATCCACCCATTTTTTCATTTTCGAATAGGGTGTCCAACCTAGAGAAAATTGCATTTGAATAGGTTAAATATGGTCTTAGAGCCGGTGCCCCGAAACCCTGGTGTTAGGTTTTCCAGTCCCCGGAAAACTGGGTGCTCCGGCATGACGGTAACGAAAAGCAAAGCTTCCGATACCAGGAACTAGTCCCTCCTAAATTTTGTGGCAACAGATTATCAAAATAAGTGTATCTTTAGTTTTGAATGATAATAATAAATAAGCTTTATTTCGTACAAAAGTACAAAAAAAGGCGAAGTGTAAGAGTTGAAATCTGTACCATATTAAATTACGGCTAACACATGAACTTCTAAGCAGCATTTTTGTAAAATACAATGAAAGCAGTACTTACAAGACAATTTTTGAGAATTTTATTTACTATTGTAGAAAGCGCTCCTAATATTATGCTTCGTGCACATACACATCTTGATTGCTTTTATTTATTTAATCGGAACATGTCCCCAAAACGGCAGAAACGAAAGTGATTCCAATTTTGCAACACATTATTTTTAATAAACAGTCGACAACCAACTTTATGCCAATCCAGCACAATAAACAAGAAAAATTCACTATCTATAGTGTTTGTTTGTTTTTTACCTTCTAATGTGTGGGTACGATTCCCCATCTCGGGGGGCGAAGTCAAAAGCGGTGAGAGACAATCGGCCGCTTTTTGGGAACCGCAACCCCGCAACTGTCATATTTCATTAATTCCCGAGCACAAAGTATACCTGACAGTGGAAAACCGGCTCTCCTAGTAAACGAAATTTTATATTTGGATTTCGGAGGACAAGTATGTCACTTCATATACAAATTAAAAATCAAGTACCTGGTGACAAGGCTTCCTCTCCTTTTCTCAAACGGGGCAGAAGTAGGAGTAATATTGAGGCTTCCTCTACGCTCTAATTGGTTTGTTGGCCCTCCATTAGTCCTTTCACTCACGAGTAACTTTTGAGGATATCGGAAAGACACTGATTCTGAACGGGCACGATGGTGAGACATTGCGATATGAGGATTTTCAACTAACACCAAAATAGTTCAGTTACTTTTTCGTGTTTGGGGAATCGCATTTTCAATCTGGATATACGGAAAACCTGATGTGTATGATTACAAACACAAATTCGAAGTTTGGGTTTGGCGGAAGGTGTTTTGGATCAGGTCATTAACTGCATTATGGTTCGGGAATGGCATTTCTCCGCACAATTTGAAATTGAGTTCAATGGACTAATAAAATCTACTTTCGGTACACTGCACATTTTTTCGAGATTAATCGCAGAAATACTCAAACATGTCGCATCACCTTATTTTTATCCTAAGAATCTTATTTCATAATAAAAATAATATAAAGTTATAATAGTCTAATATTTAACTGAGAAAGGGTTATTACTGAAATTTAAACAAGGAACGCTGGTAAACGAAAATGAAAAATCAGTCATTACTAAGATGTGTTTTATCCCACATGTAATTTTAAGGTAACGCCTAAATAATATTAAACTGAAATTTTATCTGTATAAACGTTATGAGTTCTACTTCAATTTCTCGTTCATATAGTATCATTGTATTATCTTGCGACATTCAGTATTCTTTAAAAAAGAAGCAAATGTTATCGGCAAATTGCAAAAATGTTATAACATGTAAAAAAGAAAATTGCCAGAATTCCAGCCAAGTATATAGACAAGCAATAAAACTCTTCATTTTACTATTACATTTGGCAACATGCGAAGTGCTCTTAGCAGCCAGACTTCAGTAGAGTAAAGAAAGTGGTAAGGTGATCCCACATATTAATTCTTATGCGATATAGAAGACCGCAAATCAGAATAGAAACTGTTAATTCTGAATACAAGATAACACACACACGCACACACTTTTCGAGCACTTGTAGAAAAATTACAAAGGTACAAGAAAAATACACCCACTGCCACAACTTTTCGTATGAAATCATTTTTTTCCGCATGTGCCGCTAATCTCTCATGTACATGCGGTTTAAAAAAATGCGCGGCACGGTAAGGTGTGCACTGCTACTACTGAAATGCAACTCGTAGTATGTACCAAAAAGA